ACAACGTATACCAAAAAGGCTAGAATTATTTTATAGATGGTGCGTCGTTAATGGAGGATTCCTCTTTATTGAAAGAAAGATGGAGGGGCGATATAATAATATTATGATAACATAAATCAATATGACCGGCTAACATTTATTTTTCAGATTGTTCATTTTGTGATTAATGTCTTTAGCTATTTAGTGATAGTATAATTCCGTTATAATAATAAGTAGTATGATTAGATAGATAGATAGATACTCTTTATTGTTTCCTCCAAGAGATTACAATAGTAAACTTATTAATAATAAATAAATAGAATTATTAATAAATATAAACAATTACAAGAAATAATCACAGTGAGAAAACAATGGGCGACCTTATCGCTAAGAGCGATCTCTTCCAGGCAACCTTTGGATGGAGGGGAGTAATTATAAACAGTTTGGCACGATAAAATTCTATTATTTCTAAAATATAAAGATGTGATACATGTAATAATGTAAAATTTATATCACTACGATTATAATAAGAAAAAGAAAAAACTGGTAGAGAATGCCATATGACATTAAGCTCGCCACTTGTACAATTTTATTGTGCAATAAAGAGTAAATAAAAATAATAATAAAAAACAATATTCTCGTGGTATTCGTAGGATCACCGCAGCGCGCACAGTACGGGAGGACGCGACGAGTGCCAGCTGTGCCGGTGCACTTTTTGTAGAAACTTTTTTTTTCTACAAACACTTGTTTTTAACAGGGTATGCATGCAACGACAGCGACACCAACAGACTGCCAAGAACTTAGGGTTACCAAAATAAAAAAAGAGTATATTTAAGATTAGAAACGCGTGGAGGAATCAAGTTGAAATTTTCGACTTACACTTGACCGGCTTTTTTTTAATAAAATACAGCCTTCAAGTGCTAGCTTTCTACAGATAAAAGAATTTTTAAAACTTATACCTACAAGGTCGACCTCCACACAATTCCTCCTGGAAACTATCGTGGTTAATAATTGTCAAATTCGTCACGATGGGCCTACTGGTCGATAGTGTCTGAACGAAACAGGTTTTACAGTCGAAACCGAAACCGAACTTTCAGCCTTAGTCTCAGTTTCGGCCGAAACCGAAACTTACTGAAACATATTTAAAATTTCTCTTTTATACTGAAATCTAGTGTATTTTTACACAATTATTTAAACAAACACACGGATAGTTAAAGGGTAATAATAAACACTAATTAAAGTATGTAACAAATACGTCATATATATTTATATGTAAAAACATGTTAAAATTATGATTTACTCCTGGAAGTAAACTTAAAAAAAACAACTTTCAGTTAGACACACACACAACACAAACAAAGTTTCAGCGCGGCCGAAACCGAAATTAAGGCCGAAAATAAAATTTCTGGCCGAAACTAGCCAAAACCGAAACCGAAAGTTCGGTCACAACAACAATCAAAGACATTACTGGTCAGCTTCATCCTCACCTATCATCCCTCACTAGTACCCCGTCAGTGTATACCGATAGCACAAGCGGGATCATTATTTTATAATTACTCAGTAAAAAAAATATCGTGTACTGTTTTGTGCGTGTGTGCAGCCCTAGTGTAGACGTGTTCCTGGCGGATGTACTGAAATAATTCAGAGGAACAGCCATAGGGTGACTGATTACACAGTTTACAATGTAATACCACAGCATAGATAAAAGGTATTAGATATTTTTTTAATGGATGAAAATAGAATGATGTACCCGCATACAATTTGGCGTGAATTTACTGGGTACAAAGGAATAACACCCGAGTCCTCAGGAATGGCAACGCATGGGGGTATCATGGGTGAAACAGTATACTCTGTTATGTCCATGGTACTGATCATGTCTATAGGCGACGGTTACCACTTTCCATCAGGTGGACCGTCAGCTAGTTTGCCATTCTAAGTTGTATAAAAAAAAAACTAACACCCCCTTTCTCCGAAGGTACAGGGTTTTTTTTTAATGGGAGAGAATAGATTAGTAACTCCGCTTGCATTATCGGTATACACTGGCGAGGCACCAGAGAGAAATGACAGGTGAGGATGAAAGCAGGTCTAACTGGCCCATCGTGACGAATTCCACAAGGTTAATCCTTAATCCTACGATAATTTCCAGGGGCAACTGCATGAAGGTCGACCTGATAGGGTTTATTACTAACAATGTCGTTATTGGACTCGATTACTAACAATCCCTTTCCCCTAGGTATAGGTTATTACTTAATGGTAATTTCATTAAGAGGAAGGGACTGTTAATAATGGGGACCACCAGCCCCATTGATACAGTAGTATCATATTGGATGCATGCACCAGCATGATGGTTTCCAGGGGAACCACGGTCCCCCCACCCGTGGAAACCATCATGCTGAATTACAGGAGTATTTCATCATGATAGATTAATTATTTGCTTTCTGAATCTCAACTATTCTCAACATCACTAGTGCCCCACCAGCATATATCTTTAGCGCTGGTGGGGCTAACAATGCATTTATCATTCATTAAAAAAAATTGCATTATAATGAAAACAGTAAGAAGAGTATTATAGTATCTGTGGTAGAACCAACCAACTAACTCAATAGTCGGATGATATATTGCAGGTGGTGGAGAAGCCGTGGATGAAATTGGCACACTTGGCCCAAGCCTGCTTTTTTTTTACATGTGATGTAAAAAAAGCAGGCCAATGTCCAACAGCTAATTGATCTAAACTAATTAAATAGACAGATAGATGATCATTATTGCGAGCTAAGGAGATGAGTCCTTTCCTGTGACTCAAGTACAATCATTTAACAAATACATTTTGCACCTCAAAAAAAAAGCAGTTTTAACCATGACCAAATCTCGTTGAAAAAAAAAATTATTAATTTGATTTCATGCAAGTGGCTTGGGACATTCCTTATGGCATTATATGGGGAGGCCTATGTTCAGCAGTGGACAGATAATGGCTGAGATGATGATAATGTATTTTCATTACCATGTTCATAAAAGAGAACAAGACTGATTGCTGTCTTGTTTTATCTCATGCCTGCAATAACAGTAATGTATATACCAAATAGTTTAGTTTTTCATTTGCCACAGGGCACAGATTCCTTATGGCTACTCCATGAAAGTACTAAAGGCTTCTTCTCTCCTTATATATACAATACACTACATTTCTTGTTTCGACCAAAAATAATGAAATTATTATGGCAGGTATAATGAAGTTAATTTCCAGATAATCCATTTATTAACACAATAATGTTAATATGGTAAAATTAATAATATAATAATAACAACTAGCCTGTTACCACTGGCTGAATTACAGGAATTGATAAAACTGTGATGAGGAAAAATCTACAGTTAGGTACTAAAATAAATTGTTTTTAATTAAATAATGACAATTTCATTAATACCTAAGACATAGAATATCATTAATTGGATAGGTATATTTGCATTTATATGACTTCATATAAGCAAAGATAAATATTTGAAACTATTAAGTGTATAACTTTTTTTGGTAATAAACTAATACCATTTCATGTTTATAAATAAATCCTCTGTACCCTGTAAATTCATGCCATATCCCACTCTTCAAACCGAAACACAGCCATGCAAACACAACTGCTTCATGGTTGAAACACGAATGGGACAAAGGTACCCAAGTAATCGACTTTTGTACAAAGTCACCCTGGTCTGGTGATTTTCCTCTGATAGGAAGTTAAATAATGAAAAAATTAAAATGAGTATTAAATTAAAAAAAAAAATCTAAATCAATTTAAGATTGATGGTTCTCAGCGAAATGTTAGCCCGTATTTTATAGGTGGTAGCTAAAAGATGGAAAATCAATGCAATTTTGCATACAGTATGCAAGAACATCCAGACAATAGCATTTGACTAATTCCATACAGCAGTTGCATGTCTATCAATAATAATACACCTTGCTAGCAGCCCCAAGCACTGTTTACAGCCTTACAGTATGAGCATGTTCCCAGTAGGCACTAATGCCATTGGCCTCCACCTATTGTATGTTAAAATGACGAGGTATGCTCCAATAACTGTTGCATACATTTCTTCAAGTTCTATAAACTGTCTACAGTCAACTAATTAGTAACCTATCTAGAATTATAGTTAATAGCATATAAATAAGGAAATAACATTTTATTACTATGGAATTAAAAGAGACAATAATGATTTAGTAAATAATTACACAATGTTCTTAACAAATTTTATAAAGAGATAACTTCAGTTGACTCATTACTGCCGAGTCAAAATTCAGAGTGGAAATAGTTTTTCATCAGACAAATGTTATGAGTGAAATTTCAAAATATCATCCCTTAAAAGGGTTAATTAATATTTCATACAAAAGTTTGATTAAAACATTACAATTGCTAACAAATTTTCATTCATGGTCATCTTCATACTTATGCTTTAATCACTAACATTTTTTTTTGTATTGAAATTTTCATAACATTTGCAAAACACAAAATAAATAACTGACTCTTTTATTCTAGTATAAGATTTGTACAATCAGCTTCCCATTAATTATAATGGGAAGCTGATTGTACAAATCTTATATTAATAACATATTAATGTTTAATGGTATGAGAGAGTAAAAATAATACTTTACATGAAACTGCTTGGTTTTCATGGCCATAAGCTATTATCTTTTATTCTTATAGGCAAGGTTCATTATTATTTTATATTAGTCAACAGCAGTGATATATAAATGAGTTATTCTTCATCTTTTTTTATTCAGAAAGCTTTATGTCTTATGACAAGTTGAGGGTATATTGGACTCATCTTATCTTTGCTGCATTAACTCCAACTCAATCACTAAGACAAAAAATATAGGATTGCTGTGATGATGATCAGTATGTTTTATTAAAAATGGTCTTTAAACAGTCAGTCAGGAAAGTGACATTAAAACAAGAAATATAATTCTTGTTTTAATGCCACTTTGCAGGCATCCACTAACCAAAGATAGTGTTTTAACTCATTAAAATGCATGCTGCGCTCACCTTCAGGGTACGCCTGCTTCTTGGCGATGAGGTCGATGACCAGGTGCGTGGAGTTGTAGAGCATGCCCATGGCGCGCATATCGAACTCGTTGCGAGCTATATACGTCGCGTTGATCACCGGTGTCGAGTAAGACACGTTCGCCATCTCCATCACCCCCGACATCTCCATGCGAAGGTTGTGGGTGATGTTATTGAGGAACGACTGGCCGGCCGCCGGGGCGCAGCACACGCCCGCCGCCGCCACCATGAGCCACACCGCAGCCATCCTTCGGTTCGACATCTCGACACTTCTCTCACATCACACACAGAGCCGTAAACCTCCCGCTATCCACGCATCAGGGGCTCACTATTTATAAATCGAATGTGGGTAAACTATCTGTTTGCAAAACAAACATCGAAGTACTCGTCGTCTAATAAACATAAACACTCGCGATTCAGGTCGATATCGACTCTTCCAATTTACAAAACGAATCAAAACGGTCACTGACAAATTATCAGAATATCAACCTAACACTAAACTAAAACGACTAATTCTATTCAGGTTTTATGTCAGGATTTACATTTCAGAAAGTCCTTTGTTACGAAAATAATACGGTCGACAGATTCGTTACCGTCGACCATGAACAGTCCGACCGTTGTGAATGATTGAATTGAACGAGTGTCAACGACCGGACTAAATCCCACCACCGACAAAATGATAAATCTAATGTTGCCACTGTATTGCTAACAATTACTACAATTTAATATGTAGTATTTACTATTTTCGTCGTTCCGAAAGGTAATTTAATTGATTATTTAAATTATGATTTAAAACAAATCAATAATATATCTAAAGACATTAGAATAATAGATTTTACTTTTGTTCTATTCAATCATCTGCATGGATACTCCTATCCCATTCGTGTCTCTATCCCATTCGAAAAGCGACGGTAGAATAATTGTTTATTTAACAAGTCGTTAAAATCGTAAAAAAAAAATATCAAAATGTAACTTCAGGATTCAACAAAACTTTTGAGTATGAAAAAGTATCAACTATAATTATTATTATTAGATTGACTTCGACTCCAAAAACCATCTTTAACTATAATATTTTTTTTAATTTTCTGGAAATTAAAATGTTTTGTTGTATTTTCAGCGGTCAAATATTACTCGTATGACTTGATTGATATGAATTTATTTCTTGGATTTTTTGTAGATATGATTTGATATTATTTCTTTCCTATTTCCATTTCCACCTTCCATTATTTTGCATAAATATATTTTATAATCCAGGCAGCAGACACATGGGAAGTACCATATGAGTAATAACTATCTAGTCTTTATGTATTGCTGTATTGCTTAAAATCACTTCGTAAATAAGCCCTTTTTTCTCATAAAATGTAAAGGATAAAAAATGGGCAATAAACAGCTGAAATGATTGTCATATTTTATTATACTCTAATTTTAGTTTTATATCATACTGAACGCTAATTTATTTACATGTTTATTTATTACTACATAATTTATCAAAACAATTATTAGTTTTTTTTTTTTTTTAATATTTTAAGGGCTTTTACCTTCTTCAGGTATATCAGTCCTATTGTACCCTGAACTGATTTCTCCAACAAAACTTTATCTACCTTCCCTAGACGCGGAAAGAGAAGAATTAATGGGCATCAATAATTTACACAGATGTTCAAAAATTTCTGGTTTAAGTTCAGCTAACATAGTTTGAATAAGACCAACATTCAATTTATTTAAGTTAAAGTGGCGCATGAATTCTTCTCTTTCCTTCGTGTTAATACGACACTCTAATAGAATATGATGCACATCATCAATGGTATTACAAGTTTGACAATGGGGTGACAAGGACTTTCCCATCATATGTGCAAATTTTTTTGATGGATAATGACCAGATCGTAGACGAACAGCTAATTTAATACAGTACCTATTGATTTTAATTCCACAAAACCAAGGAATATGTGGAGGTTCAGCCTGAATAGTTTTGTACCAAATGCCTTTTTCTTTTGAAATTTCGTTAAAATATTCTTTCCAATCTTTTTGACATTGATTTTTGAATTTAGATATATAATCAGTAAAATGTGGTAATGACTGAGGGAATTTTAATATATAAATCTACCAATAATTATTATGGCAACATTAATGTGAACGAATATCGTATGAAATTGCTGACAATGAACTAAACTCACTCATTCAATCCAAAGAGATTCAATGTCATTCATAATCAATCAAATATATATAGATATTTTTCTTTGTGTGTATTGTGCGTGTGTAGTTATCTCGTATCCGTATCCTCTCTGTGCGTTCGTTAAAATTGCAAGAGTTGGAACCATTGAAAATTAGAAAATAATTCATATTTATGTAGTTTTTGTGACTCACTGACGTGTAATAATTTATTTTTCTCAAGAAATACATAAGTATAATTATTTATTTACAAAATAAAAAAAATAAACCTAATAATTTGTAGCATTTTGAATAATATAACTTGTATAAACAGGTGTGACTTTAGTGTGGAGGTTTTATTTATATTCATTTTAAAAATAGAATATCTATATTTTTTTTTTCTGTCACTAAATATTTTGTTAAAAAGGAACGTCATTTTAAAACTTAATTATTATTTTACTTTTTAATGGGTTATAATGGAATGGTAACACTGCTTGCGCTATCAGTATACGCTGGCAGAGTACAAGTGAGGGATAATAGGTGACGAAGACACTACGTCAGTTAGCTGGTCGTGATGAATTCCACTAGTTAGCCACAACGGTTTCCAGGGGGAACCGCATGGAGGTCGACCTGATAAGATATATTGCTGGCAATAGATCAGTTAGACCCCATTATTAATCCCTTTCCTCTACTATTATTGTACTAGGAATAATATATATTTATTTAGTATTTTCTATTTTATTGCTCTATGCAACGAACCCTTCACACTTAAATTATCTAACGAAAACTTTGAAACTTCATTATCTTTAAAATTAAAGTAATCAATATGAACTAAATTGATATTCTGATATATTTAAGTTAGAAACTGCTCATTGTTGGTTTATATGATAGCAATTACAGACATATCCGATGGCATTGCTGTTTTGAATTGTGTAGGCGTTGAACTGGGATCCCATGAACAACATCGTTCTCGTAATGGTTTTTAGTTTTTCATAATACATGATATATTTTGTCTTACAGCAGGAAGTTATGAAGATTCAAACGTAGAAATGTATTAAATAATTTAAAAAAATACTTAAAAAAGAGTTCACCATTTCTTCTTCTTACGGCGTTTCTACTACGTTATATCATGACGAACTACAGTAAGTACTAGCTATAAATATTATCAATATTGACAGATAAATCTTGATAAGTAAATAAAAAAAAAAATATTATGATGCAACAATAAACTTATAGTTTTCGGATTTTCCTTTTTACTTGTGCTGTACAACATTGCTTCTTTCGAAATTTTATGATTTTAGATCAACGAAAAGATCCTATTAGGTTTTGATTGTATTGACTTAACTATGTTTTTTTTTACAACTACAAGGGGTTGCGCACTTGAGTATTTGATAATAATTCCAAATTGATACCACCTTGCGTTTCTGAGAAAAAGAGTCTTGACAGAAAGACAGATGGACAACAAAATGATCTTTTAAGGTTTCTATTTTTCTTTCCACGATACGGAACCCTTTAAATAATAACAATATCACAGAATAAAGTACCCTTTTTTATCCAAAGCTTCGTACACTGTAATAATACATACATAAAGTTTCACGAGGAGAGGTAGTGGGCAAATCTTACGCTGAACAAGGGTAATTAAAATGTAGAAACAAAAATGAAAGTATGATTACTTCATTAACAACTATGTATAATTTACATCACCTTATTATAAACCGTGTTAAAATATCACATTATTCACCTATTTATAACTTCAGAAATGCGAGCTTCGCTGTAGCCTCTACCAATTCGGAATAGATTTTGATTATTTTATTTGTCGATCGAAAAATCACTCTCCTATCAGTGCCATTGTGAAGGTTGAAGACCATGGCCGTAATGGGATGGGGAGGGGGGGCATTGACAGGCAATGCCTACCTTAAAAGGCCCAGTAGCCTACCTTAATATGAAAGGCCCTAAAATAATTAGACAGATTCGCTTTTTCAAAGTCACTTATTTATGGCTTATGCCCTACCAAAAAGTTCTTTTGTCCTGACTTAAACATACGTCCAGCTACGGCCCTGTTGAAGACGCATATACTGAATTTATTGTTAACAATAATGATAGTCCTGAAAATAATTCGACTAGTAAGGGAGACTACGGATATTATCCTGTGTCCCCCCACCGAAATATCAAGCGTGGTCGTGTCCCGCGGGCAGCAGCGGGCCCGTCTCGGGGTCACGCGGCTCGCTCGCCGCCGCTAGTGCCTCGCTCGCGGTGCGACTGCGGAACGCACTTTTGTCCACGTGCTGAAGAGTGGACAGCGTCTCCTCCACCTCCGCCGACACGTTGAATATGATCAGCCGCTGGCCGTTGCTTTTCAATTTATTCGCGAGACGTTCTAATATCTGAAAAAAGATGCGGTTTTAGTCGCAATGCTAAGCACTTACGGATATTTTTTTACCACAACGGAATACCAGTGTTTGCCCTTTTAAAGGTAAAGGAATAACCTGAGTTGTGATCATTTTGTGTTACTGTGGCACACATACAAAATGAAAAATTATGTTACTTGTTTTATGTATTTTTTTTTGTATATGTATTTTTTATATCTTTTTTTTATCGCGTATATATGTATATCTTTATATATCTTTAACTAGAAATGAAATACTTCAGAATTTATCGTTTCAGGAATTTTTTTCTCATTAAGGAAACCAAAATAATGGGAATCAGTCGACGTCATAGAATGACCTTCCTGTTGAAATTTTCCTTACAGACTATACCAAGAGGTTGAATAAAAACGAGCAAAGACATTTCTTCAGTATCGACAATGCGCATACAATATTTCTGGGCTGTAATCTTGCTTGCTACCTTAGTAGTATAAAACAGTCTCAAGGTGAAATTCGAACTAAACAACTAGTAGCTAAAATTATTTTCCGGAGGACACGTATGCACTCTTCTGAAAAATTTGTCATGTTAAGGGTCCCGTGTACAGCAATATGGAATTTCTAAATTTCACATCTCAGGAGAAGTGGCCACTAGTGGAATGTCGGCTTGTTGCAGTTATCTGGGCCCTGAAGGCGACGCCGCCGAGGCTGGTATCACCTGCGCGGCGCAGTGGTCGAGGAGCGCGAGGCGGCCGCCGTCGAGCAGAAGCGGCGCGTGCGCGTGCGCCGCCGCCGCCGCCGCCGCCGCCGCCGCCGCCGCCGCCGCCGCCGCTCGCCGCGCCGCTCGCTCGGCGTTCACGTACACGAGCAGCGCCGCCGGCGCCCACACCGCCGCCGCGCCCCGCGAGCTCTGTGCACCGACACACGCGCTCTCATTCCACATGTTCACGCAAATCGAAAAACCGTGCTTTGTCGGTTTTAATTAATGAAGATGGAATGGTAACCCCGCCTGCGCTGTTACCATTCCATCATACACTGGCGGGATACCAGGTGACAAGTAAAAATGAAGGCAGTTCCGTTTTTTTTTAATGGGTGATAATGGAATGGGAACCAGTGAAAAATGATAGGTGAGAATGAAGTAGGTCAGTTAGCCCATCGTGACGAATTTAACATGAATTGTTCACGATGGTTTCCAGGGGGAACCACGTGGAGGTCGACCTAATAGAGCATATTGCTAGCAATGGGGCTGTTAAGCCATTGCTAACAATCCCTTTCCCCCTCAAGGCAGGTCAGTTGGCCCATAGTAACCAATTGAACTAGAATTAAACACTATGATTTCCGGACAAAAGCCCATGGAAGTTGACCTAATATTGCTAGCAATACACCCTGCTAGCAATAGGGCTGGTAAATCTCATCACTAACAATCCTTTTCCCCCCGTGTTTTGTCGGTTTGGAAACGTACAAAAATACAAAACAGGTATACGATAGAGAAAAATTACAGACATCTACTAGAGAAACCTATGTGGCGTGGAATAGATGATACTTGAAGGAGAAGTCGAGTTGAAGGAGAGCCCCTGAAATCTGTGTCAATAGTATTCTAAATTTTTTACCATTTGTAAATACTAATAGACCGTAAAAAATAATACTAGAAGCTGAGTGGTCCCGGAATAGAATAGGTCATCCCTTTCTTACCCGTGGGTGTTGTAAGAGGCGACATAAAGAAGACGAGAGGTAGGCAGCAGCATCCCTCTTAAAACATCTGTAAAAATCTAACTACGGTTGCCAATCCACCTGCCAAGCGTGGAAATTTATAGCAATCAGGAACCATCAGTAATTGGGTTTCTATTGTTGACAACAGCTTTTAACCCCAGGACAAATGGGCGAGATAGTTAGTGTCACCTTGACAGTGTAGACGTTGAGAGGCGGCATCATGATCGCGCGCAGCAGCATAGCAAGGTTGGCGAGCGCGCCCGCCAGCACGGCCAGCTCCACGGTCAGCGCGACCGCCACCACGAACGTCAGCACCACCACTACCAGCTCGCTCTTGCTCGACCGCCACAGCTTGCGCACTATGTCGATGTCCACCTGGACAAAAAGGATATGTCAATTTTGGATGGCGTCCCACGGAGACGAAAAGATCATCAAGGGACTTGTGTGTGTGAATATGACAAGGGCAATTTCTCAATTTACATTACGACACAGTCTCGCTGTTTTGCTGTCAAAAATTCCAAAAAGACTAGTGATTCATGGGTCTTGTTCTGTTCCCCTGGAACCTACGACACTCTATTAAACGACACCTCCAGGCACGGCCCGACCTCACTTTAACTTTGGCACTATTTGTATGCTATTGTATTTGTACGTACACTTTGAATATGTTTTAATCAAAAACGTATTAAGTGATACATAATACTATATACTAAGAATTGATATGCTACTCAAAGAGAAATAGTAACACTGGTAGACCTTGGTAACTCACCATAAACACGACAGCACAGATGAGAACTGACGAGATGCAAGCCTTCGGGATGAAGTAGAAGTACGGTGTTATGAACATTAGAGCTAGCAACGTGATGATTCCTGTAAAGATACAATTATTAAGATATAATTGTGTGCCTATATACAACTGTGGCTGTGGCATCATCATCATCACCTCGCCATAAGAGCTTCAGAATATTAAAGTCTCAGTCCTCGTTCTCAGTCGCTAAATATTTAGTGTGGCAGTATGAATCTCCGGAATAGAATCCAGCATCGAAGGTGGCGTTACACTTAGAGAGAGAAAGAGAGAGTGTGTTTTATCCATGATAATGGTTACCCCACCTGCGTTAACGGTACACACTGGTGGGACACCAGTGAGGGATGATAGGTGAGAATGAAAAGGCAGGCCCGTCAGCCCATCGTGATAAATTCGCTTGGAATTCAGCACGATGGTTTCCAGAGGGGACCACGTGGAGGTTGACTGGAGAGGGTATATTACTAGCAACGGGACTGATAGTCCGCATTACTAATAATCCCTTCTTCCTCAGTGAGAGTGTGTAGGTAGTGTGTAGCAGGGAGATAAACCAGAATTAATTCCAGAAGCAGATGTGAGTGCGCTGTGAAGTTTTGTTCTATACAACGTGTAGAGGCATGTGAGCGTTATGTGATGATGGGTGGTGGGGGGAGGGGGGGAAGGGGTACCGACCCGAGTAGAGGCCGGCGGCGGGCGAGCGCACGCCGCTGGAGTGCGAGACGGCGGAGCGCGTGAAGGCGCCGCACGCGGGCATGGCGTGCAGCAGCGCGCCCGCCACGTTGCACAGCCCCAGCGTCACCATCTCCTGCGTCGCGTCCACGCGCCCGCCGCCCGCTGCCGCGAACATACAACGCAACGTTCAGTCACAATCAATACGCTCGTACCCAGGGTGGTCACGCGCTATACACACATGCAGTTTGTAGCACAGGGTGAGTAGAGCCGATTAAAATTAATAATATATCCTAATTAGAAGCCCATGACTTACGAATTGATATTTTTTATGTAACTTTAAATGTCAAATGAGCTATCGGCCCACCTACTAGTAAGTAATGGAGATATTGTCAGTAATAAAGTCTAACAATCTCATTGCTAGCAATATACCCTATCAGATTGATCTCGACGCAGTTCCCCCTGAAAATTGTCGTGTTTAATTTATTATTAAATTTGTTGTTGTTGATCCTCACCTATCATCCTTCCACTGGTTTGCTAGGACCCTCCCACCCCCTGAAACCGAATTCATACCGGGCAAATTCGAACCGGGCAACCGAATTCGTCGTGGGAGTCATCATTACTAGCGAATCCGTGCGGTAGAATAAGATAGCAACGTCGGATGTCTCATTCCAACTCACGGGCTCGTTGACGATGTCGATTCCATTGACAAATTCGCTTACCACTTGTTTAGAGGGTCAGGTGTATTTTCATCACGATGAACAAAGTGATTTGTCTTTTTATCCTTCAACCATTGATTTCCCTTAGTCGCCTCTTACGACACTCACGAGAAAGGAAAAGGTGGCCCGTTCTATGCCGGGACCACACGGCACATCAATAATTCCTACTACGATATTTATGACTCCCGTGTATATTAAGATGATACTTACAGAATGCTTTTGCAATAGCGATGTTAGCTAACACCATGACAAAAGGTATCATGAGCAGCCCAGAGCCGAGCTCGTGCACCATCTCCGTGAAGGGTATAGTGTGGTTTTCTGAGGTGATGCTGAATGGTGGCAGTGCTATCGAGGGCAGGCCCGGTTCTACATAACCTATATACACATAAAATATGTTTTTTTATACAACTTAGAATGGCAAACAAGCTAACAGCCCATCTGATGGAAAGTGGTAACCGTCGCCTATAGACATGAGCAGTACCATGGACATAACAGTGTATACTGTTTCGCCCATGATACTCCCCATGCGTTGCTATTCCTGAGGACTCAGGAGATATGTTATAACCCTCTGTACCCTATAAATTCACGCCAAGGATATGGATAAACTTTAAATAGCTGACGGCCCCCTTGATTGGAAGCTCGTCGCTTTATGACATAAGCAGCACTATGGGCATAGAATATAAATTATGATACCCATATGATATCCCTAATACGTTGCCATTCTTGAAATATAGGGTTTATGGCATAAGAATGTGAATGGTTATATGTTTCCGTCTCTATCATTTTTTTTTACAACACAGGGGGCAAACGAGCATGCGGCTCACCTGATGGTAAGTGACTACCGGCGCCTATGGTCACCCACAACACCTACGGCATTGTGTGCTGCCGGCCAATCATACCATCGTAGAAATTTTAGAGCCATATCTTGTTCTCTAAGCTGAAATACAACTATGCAACTATCTGTAGTGATTATACTATGATTTAAAATATAGTGTACACACCCGAGAGTTTGACGAGAAGTTTATTCGGATTATAAGTACAGTAGGCAAACACAGCGGCGACAGTGACGACCAGCGCATTTCGACTGATCGAAATGAGCCACAGCGCTTTCTGCAATTTGGGCCGCTTCGGGCTCACCTTCACGTCTTTTAGTTTCTGAAGCAAATATACATAATAGATTTTTATGCTTATACATTTAGTAGAATTAACAAGACAAAGAGACAATGAGCCAACCGCATAACTCGGGTAACCAATAACTGATAAGGAGGAAAAGATTTCGAGTAGCGATTCTCTCAGGCAAGCATAGCATAGAGCAAACGGCTGCGAGAATGATGACCCCAAAAGTATTAAAAAAAATCAATGAATGCAAATGGCGCAGGCTTATATTTCTTTTATGGCGAAATATAAAGGAAATATAATATGTTCAGCAGTGGATGATATAGATACAGATATTTTATTGTTTCCTCCAAAGGATTACAATAGTAAATTTATTATAGATACAAACAAATTACAAGAAATAATCACAGTGGGAAAACAAATGGGCGCCCTTATCACTAAAAGCGATCTCTTCCAGGCAACCTTTGGATGGAGGGGAGTAATTATAAACAGTTTAAAATTTAATTAATTAATTAATTTAAATGATCGATTCTATAATTTAATTGGTCTAGTTTTAGATTATATAGACAGTGTCTCCACACAAATGCCCCGAAAAAAAGCGGATCAACTTATTTATACAATTTCACCACAATTTGGCGTGCAAAATTTGAATGGATGTGATGGTTGAATTATGATGCTGATGATGATGATGATACCATTGCCTATTCATCAAAAAGTTTTCTTTTGTAATATTTTTTTAATTAAAAATAAAAACAAAGGTACAATTAAATTTGTTACCCTGAGTAACAAGAGTACGGTGCAGCAGACCAGTCCCAGCAGGCAGTCTCCGAGGCGCACATCACCCCGCTTGGCGATAATTTTCTGTATATTCTCCAGCAAAGTCTCCGCGGTGAAGCTGAGGCCGAGGAGTCCCTTCACCTGCGACGCCATGATGATCACCGCAGTCGCTGATGTGAACCCGCTCGTTACTGATGGCGATATCAGCTGTACCAGGCAACCTGACCAGCCACTCGATTATTAAAACAATGTCACTCAACCAGTAGTTTCATTTTCCAAAATTCCTTTGATATAAGAAGTTAGACGTGAAAATGTAGGGCGCAAATTGATATCCAAACCTCAAAATCAAAATCGGAATTAGAATCAAAATTTTAGTCGGTACGGATTTGGATGCGGTTTGCACAGTTATGTTTCTGAAAATCTGACGTAGTAGAGTAAAAACTAGTGCAACAGAGTTTTATTTGATTGCACATCGATTCGGAAGTTACCTTGATAGTGTACTAGTTTCAGTTTAAAAGAAAAGAAAACCTAAATAATATACGTGGTACCTAGCCGGAGCACCCCCATGAGGAGCACGATGCAGCCCGAGAGGAAGGTGAGCAGCACGACGCTCTCGAGCGGCAGGTGGCGGCACGTCTGCAGCGTCAGCAGCGCCATCAGGCTCGTCGGCCCGATGGACACCTCCTTCACCGTGCCCAGGAACACGTACAAGATGGTGCCTGCGTTCGGAATCCACTTTATGATACACTAGTGACCCGCTCCGAGTGGGGAGAAAGGAATTCTTAATAATGGGTTCTAATAGCCCCATTGCTAGCAATATACTCTATCAGGTCGACCTCCACCTAGTTCCCTGGAAACGATCGTGTTTATTTCTAATTCACGATGTGCCATCTGACCTACCTTCATCCACACCTATTATCTCTCACTGGTGCCTCAACAGCGCATACCAATAGCGCAGGCGGGGTCACCATTCCATTATCATCCATTGAAAAATCCGCTCCGGATTCGCACCAGTACATAGCTAGAAAATCACTGTTTTTTTTTTGTAAATATAATACAGCCTATATAAATACGGGAGATTAATGAACTCGCTGTGTTTTTGTCGTTTCCGACAATTCGAAACACTTCACCCAGAAGTCTTCTTCAGGGGGCGTAGGGCGCTTTACGTTACAGCGTCTCGCCTTGCACTGTTTAACTGTGTATATTGTATACTGATTGGGATCATTAGTAATAAATATTTACATGTACATATATACACTACATATTTACATTTATTTATATCACACTACCTTACCCACTCATACATTTATACCTCTTTACAATTGGTGACCATGCATTTGTATTATTTAATCATTGCTGACAATATCTGAACTTTAGCAACATGAATTTTAATTATTTTATATATCAATTAACCTAACTTTATGGACACTCATTATTATATATGGTTTCTTTCGCGCTTTAAGCGCGAAACTTGGGGATTATTTTTGACAGTCGGCTGCGATTTGAAAGGCATATATTAAATGTAGTACAACAATGTTTTTATCGCCTTAAGGTCTTATATAAAATTCGTAATTTATTATCGGAAAAAGTTCGTATTACACTATGCGAATCATTAATCTTATCCAAATTTAATTATGGAGACATTGTGTATGGACCACGACTATTGGCCAGAACTCAACGCCTGACTCAGAGAGTGCAAAATGCATGTTGTCGTTTTTGCTTTAATATTCCCCCCGAAGCCATATTAGTCCCTATTTAAACAATGCTTCAATTTTGAATATGGAATCGCGAAGACAGTTACATCTGGCTAGTCTATTGTTCGATGTAATAAAAAGTGAACAGCCAGTTTATCTCTTTAAAAAGCTAAATTTCTCTTCACGTATGTATGGATACAGATTCATTTGTTCGAAATTATCATTTCAAGCACACAGAACTGTGGCATTTACTGGCAGCTTCCGCTACCAAGCAACAAAATGTTGGAACAACATCCCGCCACCATTTAGGCATCTGACTACCGTACAAAGTTTTAAAAAACATCACAAAGAATACTTATTAAAAAAACAAATTTTAGGCATTCCACAGAAATTTCTTGGCTAGCGGTTGCAAACTCATGTAATGATTTTTAATATTTTTTTTTCCATGTTTCTCTTATTAATATTTTCTTTTTTTTCGCTTTATCCTTACCACTCAGTTAAAATTATATCAAATTATACTCTTGAACTATTTACATTATTTTTATTATACACACACCGCACAGACAATCACCAAAAATATTACTCTTTTTATTTTATTTTATTTATTATTTTCACGTACCCTCAAATGGGTTAAAGCTGAAAATCAGTGTTTTGTTCCTTGAACAATGTTACACGCTGAGCTTCGACCTTTTTGTATTGCTGCAGATCACACATAATAACACAATTTTATAAATCTTATGTTGTTTTATGTATTATCTATTCTTATGTACATGTTGTGTGTGATTAGTAACAAACAAATAAACGATCTATCTATCTATCTATCTATCTATCTTTCATACATGTGCTTATATTGCTTGCATACACCCACTCTAACTTGCCTGCCTCGCTTTGGAATTATAATTCTCGTTTGTATAAATAAAATCCGTTATTGGCTGTATTCATAAGAGACTTAGCATGTTAAGTTATTTTTTAAGAGCTGTGGATTTTTGTATCAAATAAATAAAAAAAAAAAATCTTCCTATGAATATACTGAGTTGTCAATTTTTGATTAGAAATTATGTTTTTTTCCATTTGTTCCATATAAGTTTGATAGTGTTCACGTCGTATTGTATGTAGTACGCATATTTGCTTAACGTGTGTGGGTGCCTCACATAAATAATCCTATATTCTTTGAGTCATCTGAGGCAAGCACTGACAAATTTTTTATATTACGTGTAACGGAGAAACCCTATTAGTAACTTCATTACTGCTATCTTGTAGTTATTTTCTAATGTAAACAAGTCTTGGTTTTCCTGTTATAAGTAAATAAATATTCAATGTTATGTTCTTGTCAGACATTCAATCAAAGAATAAAATACAAAATTGAAAATAAAATTAATTCACTGTAGACTTCTTGATGGAAGTTCATTATACCAACTATTATAAGATAATATTATTCAAAATACTTGTACTTTGTTGCACTTTATTTATTAAAATGAGTTTTTATTAACAAAAAATCTAAAATAAGTGACTGCAAGTTCTAAAGGTCCTATAGGTGCTGTGAGTGATCAATAAATAATAAACGTTTGTACTACGTTATAATATTGTTACTCTAAGTTTAATTTATTTGATTGTAAGTACTAGCGATGTCATGTGCATTTAGTTAAACCTTGTGTTTATTTGCGGAAACCTGTAATTAGGTTTTTGTCTTTACTGTCTTTTTTTGTTATGCATTTTTAGCTGTTTTATTTTATTTTTTATTAAAGAAAAATTTCTTTAATAAAAAATAAAATAAAACAAATTACTAATAAAAAACGAATATTATCAAATTACATTCAGTTATTTAACCGTGAAATTCCGAGGAAGATTCTTGCATCGAGAGATTTTGTATGGGTATACCATATACTCGTACTTATATCCAGGGTGCTGCTCATGTCTGAACACACAATTAACGGTCACAGCTTTTTAACAAATAGTAAGTCACTTCGACAACTTGTCTGTCATTCCAAGTCATGTAAAAACAATATAATATTCTCATCATCACATCAGACTTTAACTGTACACTGCTGAACATAAGCCTCCCCCTTGGGGGGGTTTGCTAGTAGCTTAGATTTTGGCGGATTGGCCGCAGTTAGGCTTTGGAGTTTTAAGAGGGACGCTGCTGCTCATCCCTCGCCCTTCCTTAGTTGCCTCTTACGACACCCACGGGAAAGGAAGGGGTGGCCTAATCTATGCCGGGACCACACGGTGGAATATTCTCATAGGTAATAAATAATACCTGTGCTGTACTTACTTTTCTATTTTACTAGACAATATTCATCATTATTAATATTGTTGTGAAACCTCTTTCTATATCGTTATTTTATTTTTCTCTCAATGACAAATAATTTGAATATTTTTCTTGATGTTCTTTCTTATGGAATTGAATTGACGTATTAAAAATTTTCTGAACTCATCATCTATTATTTTTAAAACTAAACCTAATTTTATTTTATTTATATTATACTCATAAATATAATTACAATTTAAATTCTAGAATGAATAGCCCTTACCTAAGACAACTGCATTCAGTGAGTTCCAGCAATGTATTTGAAGTTATCGACTTTATCTATACTAGGAGACAGGGGGAGAGAGGAATAATTCATTTGTAATAGTATTTAGAGGCCTCGCTGCTAGCATACATACTCGTATAGCTGAGAGTTTATAATACAAAAAAGAGTTTATAATACAAAATAATTGGAAATGGAAAGAAAAAAAATAATAACAAAAATGGACAGAAAAGATGCAGCTAAAGACTAACAACAACAAAACAGAACACAAATTCAGAATACTTTCCATCAGGTGAACCGTCTGTTCATTTGCCTCCCTAACAATAAAAAAAAAATACCAAGAAAGATATCCTATCAGATAGATCTGTGTACTGTCCCCCCTGGAAATCGTTCCAGTAAATTTCTGGTGAATTCGTCTTGATGAATCAACTGGCATAACTTCATCGTCATCAACCATCAAACACTAATATCCTACCACCATAGATTAATAGGAGAGCTGGGGTTTTCACACCATTATCTCCCATTGAAAATAACATATTTAGAGTTAACATTATTAGGTAGGTATGTTGTGTACTACAAACCAATGTAGGAGGAATAAAGGCCGTACTGCAGCGGCACTCCAGCGAGCGAGGCGTACGCGAGGCTCTGCGGCACCAGCATGAGGCCGAGCGTGACGCCCGCGACCAGGTCCGCCACGGCCGCCAGCCGGTCGTACCGCCGCGCCCACTCCAGGATCGGCAGCCGCCGCCGCGCTACTTGCAGCCATCGGCTCTCCCCTTTACTGCTCGATGGACTCTCTTCTATGATTTCCATTTTTAATAATAAACTACCTATTTACACGTGAAGTTAGAATAAAAGAGAAACAGATCGCGACCGACGACTGACTCATTCACTGGTCAAGTTTATTTCTAAAAGATTAATTTTCGAATGGCCTTTCCTAACTCCACGTCGGGCCCGCGTCTGGGCCGGGCGTTTGCTCTTCACGCGCCTTGTCCACGGACTGGGGAGATCACGTAGTATCATAATTCATTATCTCGGCGTGATGCGAAACTCCTCGCATCTAAACACTTTAACTGTTTCAATAAACAATATTAATTCATTAATACTGATAATGTCACCTATAAACACATGTTATCGTACACTACGTACCTTATATGTATACGCACATGCACGACATGTATGTATCGTCGACTACTGACATTACCTATAGGCTCATAAATATAGTTCATGTTGAACGTATTTAATAATGAAGTTCAACTTATTAACTATAATGTTATTGGAAAAATGTGCATACTTATCACAGGACATGTGACCAAGAGAGAAAATATAAAAAATTAAGTCTCAAAAAAAGGTTTTTTTTTATACGTATTAGAATGGCAAACAAGCTGACGGCCCACCTGATAGAAAGCGGTAACCGTCGCCTATAGACATGAGCAGTACCATGGACATAACAGAGTATACTGTTTCGCCCATGATACCCCCCATGCGTTGCCATTAATGAGGACTCGGGTGTTATTCCTCTGTACCCTGTAAACTTACGCCATATCCCACCCTTCAAACCGAAACACAGCCATGCAAACACAACTGTTTCACGAATAAAAAAACATAGCTGTCAAATTTATTTTTTAACCATTTTTCCTTTAATTTTGAACATGAATTATATCACCTTGATTTATTTCAGCAATAAAAAAATCATGCAAAGAAGGGTTAAAACATGTATATTATATAAATTTAACGACATTGACTACTATTTCCCAAACTGCCAATCTGTAGGAAATATAGATTGAAAGAGACGTTTGCAATTGAGCAAGTCATATTCTCTATTATTGCAGGCGTTCATACGCTACAGTAACCCTTTACCATCAGGTGGGCCGTATGTTTGCTCGCCACCTCAATCATATAAAAAAAAAGTAATATTTACTGTATAATCATCCGACTTCAAAAAATAAGCTCTCCGTTTGTTGCTTCATAAATTTCTCAGTAAATTCTGTTTGATCTCAAAAGTTGTACTTACAGATTGATCCCAAACATACTTTATGTGAACAGATTCTGTAATTTACTTTATAAATAAAAATTATTGCTCTTGTCACAATTGTAGTCGTTTCTATGGAAAACAATCTTAATTATGTTTACAATGATCATACGTATTAATGATTAATGCATTTCCTTGGAATACCCGTAAAGTCGAGAGTTAACTAAATGTATAACCAAAGTAGACAAAGGGATCAGCGCTTCAACATATATTATTTGCACCTGTCTCGGTTTATTTGACGTGGCATTACGCGGAGCACGAATTAATTTATGATTTGTAGAATGTAGGACTCAACACGACTCTCTAAATATTTGTACAAAGATTATTAAATTGGACAACAGATTAAGATAAGCTATTTTTACATAAAGGTAACTGCTAGGGAGACAGCAATTTCGGAAGGCTACACTTTTCATTGAAGGAAAACTTCTCGATTAATAATATCCAGAAGGAGACTTTGTACAAAAGTCGTTAGCTTGGGTACTTCTTTCCCATTCGTGTTTCTACCGTGAAGCAATTGTTTGCATGGCTGTTTCGATTTGATTGGTGAGATATGGAAGTGAATTTACACGGTACAGAGGTATAGCACATAAGTATTCAGAAATAGCAACGCATTTAGAATATCATAGACGAAACAGTATATTCTGTTACGTCCATGGTACTGCTTATGTCTATAGGCGACGATTACCACTTTCCATGAGGTGGGCCGTCAGCTTGTTTGTTATTATAAGTTGCATAAAAAAATCATATAATAGATTTAGTTAAAATAATTTAGACCGATTAGATAATATGATTGGTCTAGTAAATTCATGCTTATCAGTCGACCAAGGGGTAATGCATCCCGAATTATCATACGACCATTCGGTGCATACCAATGTTGCACGCTAGTTGTAGTAGAGATATAGTTTAATTCACCTGAGAGTTGTTCCTTGCACTGTGACAGAACTTAGGGATAATATTACTTTAATTGTGTTGTGATAAAAAAGTTTTTCAGAAATACGTTTTCATCATAGATTATAGATACTTTATCTATAGATAAAGTATCTCCATACAAATGTTTCGAGAAAAACGGGTCATTCTTCACACAATTTTACGTGATAAATAGTTATGAATGATTCCTTTCGTTGACAATTAGCTGACAAAAAGTTGATCCGTTTTTAAGTGTCGATGCTTTATTTATATAATCTAAGTTTTCCATGATAAGATTACCTAGTCTGTTTTCCACATCTCTATTTCAAGCGATTACTTTAGTAATGTTTATTTATATATATTTGCGATGTCACATAGTACTGATTAGTTGTTACAATATAATAACATATAGTAGATATATGACCCTACGGTAAGCGTACTGCACACATCGGTACAGCCCCCCCCCCCCCCCCCCGCCCTGGAAACCATCGTGGTGAATTCCAGGTATATTTGTAGAATTGATAGTAGGGTTCATATTGTAAATAAATTTAATCAATAATTAAAAAAAAAAACAATAAGTATTTCACAATAAAACAAATAAACCGGGGGAAAAAAAGTATATACCTTTTTAAAAGGCCGGCAGCACACCTGCAATGCCGTTGGTGTTATGGGTGACCATGGGCGGCGGTAGTTACTTACCATCAGGTGAGCCGCATACTTGTTTGCCCCCTGTGTTGTAAAACAAAAACATAACATATAAAAATACCTGGCTTAAAGCCAGGCCAGGCTAGCGCTGGGGAATAATCTTAAAGACGCCAATGATACACAAACAAATACAGACAAAGGAATTATATGTTATTACCGCGCTCCACATTTCGCGCTTCTCTTAAAGGAATATATTATTAGTGTTTTATAGATAGATAGATAGATAGATACTCTTTATTGTTTCCTCCAAAAGATTACAATAGTAAACTTATTATAAATATAAATAATTACAAGAAATAATCACAATGAGAAAACAATGGGCGACCTTATCGCTAAGAGCGATCTCTTCCAGGCAACCTTTGGATGGAGAGGAGTAATTATAAACAGTTTGGTGGGAGGCACGATGAAAAATTTTGTTAGTTCTAAATATGGGAGATGTGATACATATAATAATATAAATATTATCCCTACTCATTATTATATTTATATACATACACCTACACACACATATACATATATATACATACACATACATACATACATATATATACACATACACATATATACATATACATACCATACACATACAAATACATATACATACATGGACATAAACGCCTACACAAATACATAAAAATATATAAATACTGTTCACGAAAAGTATGCAAGTAATAAGTATGCTAACCAGACATATAAACACATTAAGAAGATGACAACTTGCTCAAATAATAGTTCTTCAGTTTTGCCTTAAAACCAGCCGTACATTTTATATTTCGTAAGGAAACTGGTAAAGCATTCCAAAGCCGTACAGCTTGCACCGTAAATGATTTGTCATAAAAATTAGAGAAATGTACCGGAATCTTCAGCTGAAGGCCCCCAGAAGACCTAAGATTAAAAGAATTGACGGTATGCAAGAATTCAAACCGCTCCTTCAGATAGTGAGGGGAAGAAGAGTTGAAAAGGGCATTGTGGAGCAGTGAAAGAATATGAGTATTCCGGCGAAAACGAATAGGAAGCCACTTGAGCTTAGTGCGAAACTCGGAAATGTGATCATATTTTCTAAGACCGAAAATAAACCTGATAAAAACATTTTGAAGACGCTCAAGTTTGTTAAGCTTAATAATTGTTAAGTTTTATAATTGCTTGTGTATTTATATTGTTGATTTTATTACTTTTTCCACTATTTCAGTTTTATATACCTTTTTATATTAATACCCGCCCACTGTTTTTTTTTATACAACTTAGAATGGCAAACAAGCTGACGGCCCACCTGATGGAAAGTGGCAACCGTCGCCTATAGACATGAGCAGTACCGTGGACGTAACAGAGTATACTGCTTCGCCCATGATACCCCCCATGCGTTGCCATTCCTGAGGACTCAGGTGTTATTCCTCTGTACCCTGTAAATTCACGCCATATCCCACCCTTCAAACCGAAACACAACCATGTAAACACAACTGCTTCACGGTTAAAACACGAATGGGACAGAGGTGCCCAAGCAATCGACTTTTGTACAAATTCTCCCTTTTTATTACAACACATTTGTGATTTGTTAATCTTTGTCGGGTTCTCGCGATACAGGCTCGCCTAGTGTGGGGTCCATTGTAGCTTATGTTTGTAACTTTGTTTTTTTTTCAAATAAAATAAAAAAAAAAACTTTAAAACTTTGACATCTACAAAGCGGGGCAAAATAATAAAACACCTTAGTCGTACGACAATTTTATTGTTACACATCCGCCCTCCGTATATATATGTGTAAATGCACCGGTATGTCACCGCGTGTTAGTGCTAGCAACACAGAAATAACAACAACTACTATATATTATATTTATATATATATATTATATATATATATATATATATATATATATATATATATATATATATATATATATATATATATATATACTTCATTAATTATATTATCATACAAAGGCTCGTGATAAGCTCAGGTACTTACGCTAAATTTGTCCACTTACCGATACATTGCTAACAACACTACAATTTATTTACAACGTTACAACACGACGCCGCCATCGTTTGTACGGATCCAATACAACTTCATTGCTAATGATACATTATTGATGTTATAATCATCGGATATCGTTAATAAATAATTACTATACGCATATGTATAGCTTGCCATACCGTGGCATACTATATTTTGAGTTAAACCAATCTAGAATCATGTATAGTGCTTCCAAAAACGCTATGTTAATAGTACATTTTGTACATTACACTTAACGTAAAATGACCTCTTTGTATAAATCAAGTCACGATAGTACTAGTTGACGGCCCGCCTGATGGAAAGCGGTAACCATAACCATACATATGGCCAGCACTATATTCATAATACTGGTACCCTCGTGCGAGGACCATGGTGTTACGTCTCTGTAGCCTACAATCATGACTTCATAAGAGATTTACACTTGTATCCAACGCATCTAGTGTTACTATTGTGCAACTAAGAATATTTAATTTTTTTTTTTATTTTAATAATTTTAAGAATGCCAACTGTATGGTTAGCATATCAGCTTATAATGACTCCAACAATATAATAAAAATTAATTACTACTGTAAGAAATCGCATTACCCCTTTACTGAGTAATATATAACTATTTTTTTTTAATGTAATGGCGGCTGATTTTAAATTTTGTAAAGGCACCTAACTGTATGCACGTGTACGTAGATAATTCAACAAAAAAAAAATATTTTAATTTAATGCAGTTGTACATAAAAATATCAGACTTATTAAAAATTAAATAACGCCAAATATAGTACAATATTGTTGTTAATAAAAGCTCACAAAAAGTACTTCTTCATTAATTGATCTGAACATAAATAATAGGTAGCGACGACTCTAACGCCATCTTTTGTCGGAAAACGAGACAGAGCACTATCCTCTTCTAATGCGTGTTATCTACTTAATCTAACAACCTCTTCGAAATGAAAAAAAAACAAAGTGCTCGTGTGACCAAGTGTTCGAAATTAAAATGACGAGCCAACTGCATTTGAGCACTAACTAGATTGAACGTATTCATAAAATGTCCGATGCGATACAGAACGCCCTCTGTAGGTGAAGTAGACTAACTATCAGACTACATACGTAGGCACTTGTGGTTTACTTGACTTTCTTCATGATTAAATCTATCTGTTCGTCCACGCGCTGGCTCGTGCCTCTGGAGACAGAGAATAAAAAAATATATTATCGCCAGACATGAAAATAAATGAAGAACATTTCAGACATATTTTACTCTGTACGTTGAAGTAAGATTGCGGGTAGGGCATAACATATTTTAGCAGTTTTTACAGTACAAGAGTCGCTGATAGAGTTAAACACAATGTCGTTTAATTAAATTTAATTACATTCAGTACAAATGCATAGACGTAAGTCGAGTGATCGTTAACAGTTCGGAGTGTTGTATTCCGTGAGTTGTCAGCATCTATTTTAAGCGCTGCATTTCCTTCTTAATATTTTAACGACACTAACGACTTTTCGTATATACTCGTATTTGTGAGGGTTTTATAGATTTAGGCTAAATTAAAAAAAAAAGGTATTATTTGTCTAACTAATTAATAATTGTCTATATTCTGTAAGTTTTTTTTTTTTTAATGTAATTCACGATATATCCAATTTTGTTAATGTTATTTCTTAATGTTATGACAGCATACTTTTACTATTGTAATATTTGTAATGATATACTTATTAATGTACTTTTTTTAAATTTTGACTCTCTCAGTGTATCTATTGCTGGATGGAATAATACACGTATTTGAAAAAGTAATATTTCCACACCTATGTAACGGAAAATATTGCTAAACAATTGTAATTAATTTTAAAATTTGCTACTGACAGTTCCCAATATTTAGCAAATAATAGTACATTACTGCAGCGGCCAGCAACTGAAGCATTGATGGACGAACGTGCAAATGTGGGCCGAGGCGTAGCCGAGGCACACATACGTGAGTCCATCAATGCGTAGTTGTGGCCAAGGCTTGTATAATACTTTTTTCAAACAATGCGCGGAAATCAAAAACATAATTTTACTTTATAAATTCAATGACGAATAACGAACAATAATAATTTTTCACGCGACATAATGGTCTTTTGTTTTTTTTTTTTCAATAAACAGTTTTCTATTTGCAAGCCAGTTCGAAATTTAAATAAAATCTTTTACTAGTTATCTCCTTGGTAGCCATGTTTCGAAGTAAAAGGTCATTCCATTTTAAAATTACAGGACAGATATGAGTTTACATAGTAATTTATCTGGCCGCAAAACACGACAGATATGGAATTTCATACAACTTTTGCCGGCCACTGCCCGCATGTATCTGGTCAGGACGGCAATTTTGATTAATCTCGAAGAAGATTGTCAAAATAATGCTCACATTTCCAAGCATGTTTGAGAAAAGTATATTACCAATCCGTCTGTCAACCATGGCAACCACTGGCAAAACCCCCCAAGGGGGAGGCTTATGTTCAGCAGTGGACGGTTGTAGTAGAGTGGAAGGGAGAAGGACGTGTGAGCGAGAGCGGGTGAGCGTGTGTCGGACCTGAAGGCGGAGGGGTCGGGCCCGACGACGGCGACGAGCTGCGGCACGTCGTGCGAGTGCGCGGCCAGGCGCGCCAGCGCGCGCAGCGCGCGGAACAGGTGCTCCTCGGCCGGCGCCGCCTGCAGCAGCTGCAGCAGCTGCAGCAGCTGCAGCAGCGCCATCGCCAGCTCCACGCACACCTCGTCGAACACCTGCCGCGCACACCACACACCACCACTCCACACCTCACTCCTCAGGAATAGCAACGCATGGGGGTATCATGGGCGAAACAATATACTCTGTTATGTCCATGGTACTGCTCATGTCTATAGGCGACGGTTACCACTTTCCATCAGGTGGGCCGTCAGCTTGTTTACCGTTCTAAGTTGCATAAAAAAATACATACTATGCACGTAGACGCTATATAGTCAGAAAACCTTGTTTATGGATGTTTCAGTTATTTTATAGAATGGCAAACATACAGACAACCAAGTTAGAAAATGACAATCATCGCGAATAGACATAAATTATAATGAAAAATTAGCCCACCTCCACTATCTGAAATATACGCACACCCTGTAGCCCCACTTTCCACACATAAAAATACAAATCCTTTTTAAAAATACCCAAAATTAAGACTGTATTTTCCCTCGACTATGCAGGCTTTATAAAAATGTTTTTTATGAAATTCGGAATGGCAAACACAACATTAATCCACCTGACGGAAAATGGTAACCACCGTCGATAGGCACGACACTCTTATTACACGGGAAAGAAAAACGTGGAATGTGGGCCTTGAATTCCCCATTCTTTGCCATATCGAGGCTTGTATTCTAAACAAAAATATTAAGAAAAAGGAGTTAAAAACTCCATTCTTTTTTCAATTTCAAATATTTACAAGAAAATGTGTATCAATACTTCATCCATAACAACTCATGATCGTATTGCCGTGTACACATACTAAAATCAATACAATTAATGTGTTGTTTGTATGTCTCAGTAAGGGTGTTTGTATGAGTTGTTGAAATTGTAAATAGAGATATTTTGAAGCTCCTCACACATGCATCGTTATGTAGATATTTCTGTTATGTACACACATTTATCACTAGCTCGTTATTGTTATAAATTATTACATATTTTAATCTAATTTCAAATTACACAACGTCTCTGATAATGTCCATCATTTCGATTGTGTATTTTGCAAATCATTTCGATGACTGTGTGTCAAAATCATTTCATGATGTTGACAAATTTATCATTTCCTACAACGTATACGTCTCAACAGCAGCCCACTCTAACGTTCTAGATATGTAAATGACGCTGTAAATTTTCTGCCGTCTACTATGCATATTTATAATAATAATAATAAATATTTATTAAAACAACATAAGGTCCATTTTACTAGTTATAATTTACTTAACCTATGTTAGTAAATGCTCTTGCATTGATAACTTGCCCCACCCAATATTTTAGAATGGCACAGTCCATTTTACTGGCAAATGTCTCCAGGCCACTGTTTGAGCTAACACGCACCCTACCCAAAGGGGGGAAAGGGATTGTTAGTAATGGAGACTGAGAATCCCATTGCTAGCAATATACTCAACCAGGTCGACCTCCTCGCGGTTCCCCCTGGAAACTATCATGGTTAATTCCTGATGAATTCATCATGATGGGCTAACTGGCCTGTTTTCATTCTCATCTATCACCCTTCACTGGTGCTCCGCCAGCGTATCCCGTTAGCGCAGGCGGGGTCACCATACCATTTTCACCCACCAAAAAAAAACCAACAACGAAACAATTCGTTTGCGCAAACATCATCGGTACGCTTTATACTTGATCGTGATATTGCAGTGTTTATTAACAAATGATATGCATTTGATTCAACATTATCTGCTAAGCTCCAAGTTATTTGCGCACATAACAAACATTAGAAGCAAGGATGCGTATGCGCATGGTTGATGCACTGTTATTATAACCTATTGTTTTATATTATTTAACGAAGTGCTTTCTCACTGTACTGGGTTGACTGGAAGAGCTCTCTGTCAGAGATAAGTCCACCATAACTCACAACATTTATAAATGCATTATTTTATATGTAACTTACAAGTGCAACAAAAATATGCATATACATTTTTAGGCCTATGTTCAACAATGTACTGTAGAAAGCTAAGATGGAGTGATACTCTGATGTAATTAAACTATTGCTAAATGTCAATAACTTCTCGTGAATAGATTAAGGTTATATTATAATAATAAAAGATTAATGCAATTGGGAACGACAAAACAGTTGACGACTTTCCTAATATAAAGTGGCCTTAGACATGAATAATTAAAACTTTGTTCTACAAAAAGACAAAAAAAAAACTATTAGTAGTACTGTAAGTTTTTAATAAAGTCTATTTTAACGAAATTTCAAAAGAAAAAGGCATTTGGTACAAAACTATTCAGGCTGAACCTCCACATATTCCTTGGTTTTGTGGAATTAAAATCAATAGGTACTGTATTAAATTAGCTGTTCGTCTACGATCTGGTCATTATCCATCAAAAAAATTTGCACATATGATGGGGAAGTCCTTGTCACCCCATTGTCAAACTTGTAATACCATCGATGATGTGCATCATATTCTATTAGAGTGTCGTATTAACACGAAGGAAAGAGAAGAATTCATGCGCCACTTTAACTTAAATAAATTGAATGTTGGTCTTATTCAAACTATGTTAGCTGAACTTAAACCAGAAATTTTTGAACATCTCTGTAAATTATTGATGCCCATTAATTCTTCTCTTTCCGCGTCTAGGGAAGGTAGATAAAGTTTTGTTGGAGAAATCAGTTCAGAGTACAATAGGACTGATATACCTGAAGAAGGTAAAAGCCCTTAAAATATTAAAAAAAAAAAAGTTTTTAATAAAGTCATTAGCACGTACAATTGTGGTAAGGTGTCGTTAATACATGAGCAATAACTAGCGAGGGAGGTAAATAGTTCTACGGCCGATATGGTCACCGTGTCATCATGACGAATTTAAGCAGAACACTTGGCACATTGTGTGTGCTAACTATTCTGTTTATCAGTCACGACCACCACATGCATATTATTGTATGGATAAGGTGCCTGTCGATAGATTCCCAAAACAATGTATGTATTGTTTTGGGAATCTATCGACAGGCACCTTATCCGTATTAAGCGCATGAAATGGAACGAGATGTATTTATTTATTTATAGCAAGGCTTAAATAAATAAATACATCTCGTTCCGATTACAAATTAGTACATTAATAAAATAAATATTACATAAAACAGCATTAAATTTGCACTACAACAACTGCTTTTTTTTATACAACTCAGAATGGCAAACAAGCTGACGGCCCACCTGATAGAAAGTGGTAACCGTCGCCTATAGACATGAGCAGTACCATGGACATAACAGAGTATACTGTTTCGCCCATGATACCCCCCATGCGTTGCCATTCCTGAGGACTCAGATGTTATTCCTCTGTACTCAGTAAATTCACGCCATATACCACCCTTCAAACCGAAACACAGCCATGCAAACACAACTGCTCTGCATAACATTCGATATTATATACATTATATTTATTATATATGTATGAGAGAGAGCTTTTTCTAATGGATGATAATGAAATGGTATTTAATTTTTGTCTATTGTTAATTTTTTTTTTGTTATTATGTGTGAAATTAAGCACTAAATAAATAATAAAGGTTGCCTAGAAGAGATCGCTCTTAGCGTTAAGGTCGCCCATTGTTTTCTCATTGTGATTATTTCTTGTAATTGTTTGTATCTATACTAAGTTAACTATTGTAATCTATTGGAGGAAACAATAAAGAGTATCTATCTCTCTTTCTTTCTTCCTTTCTTTCTTTCTCTTTTAATTTCGGGCGATATTAATATACAGCAAATGATTTGTTACGTTTATGGAAATTGTAAAAGGTCGTACCGGCATTGAATAACAATTATTTCAACTGATTAAAAACAAGAATCAACCGCAGCGCCGCGTCTCCGCGTCACACGACGACACGGCGCTGTCAAGTTGTCGGACATGTGCGACAGCGTGATCCGCGACCAAACAGCGGCGCTGCGTCGCCAAACAGTATATCAAAACACTACGAGCACTGTAAATATCCTGTTGATACGACACTGTGTGCAAATATGACGTTCTAGATAGACAGCGCGAGAGGAGGAAAGTATCTGTGAAGAAGCTGACAAAATACCGCCAGGTCCCATCTAGAAACTATCGCGGTCAATCCTAAGTGATTTTTTTTATACCAATGAGGTGGCAAACAAGCATACGGCCCACCTACTGGTAAGTGGTTACCGTAGCCTATGAACACCTGCAATACCAGGGGTATTACGCGCGCGTTGCCGACCTTGAAGTAACGTTTTTACCCCTTTTTTGTAACCCATGCTGTAGTCTCTTAGAAAAATTTCGACAGGGAGCTCATTCTATAACCCGAGCGTTCGTAGAAGATAACATCTCTGAAATTGCGCTATACGTGACCATCAAGGCTCTAAGGTATGGGGGTGAACTCCCTGTCGATGGCGAGATGTACGATGGTAGAAAATGGGTATGGACATCATATTGAAATCGTTACGGATGAGACAACTAACCTAACGTCATCCACGGGAGGAGAAGGGATTCGTAGTAACGGGGATTAGTAGCCCCATTACTAGCAATATACCCTGTCAGGTCGACCTCCTCGTGGTTCCCCCTGGAAACCATCGTGATTGATTTATTGTTAGATTCGTCACGGTGGGCTAACTGATCTGCCTTCATTTTCACTTGCCACCCTTCACTGGTACACCGCCAGGGTATATGTACCGATAACACAGGCGTGGTTACCATTCCATTATCATCCACACCGTCATGCCCTTCTTGTACCTTGCCAGCGTGAACCACTAGTGGTTACAATTTCATATTCATGCTTAAATAATGGCGACTTATAAAGCAAGTGCACAGTGGATAGTAGACATTGCCTGCATCAAAGTCACATTTCACCAAGAAACGAGCGTGTATACATGAGATTAATTCTTTAAACGAATGAAGCAAGAAAGAGACGAATGCAAAGACAGAGAAACTTTTGGTGCATTCAATAGAATTCGAAAAAAAATTGCTCAAATATAATCAAATTTATTAAGAAATAAAGATTTAATAATGAAATAAGATTTGCCGTGTGGTTCCGGTATAGAAAAGGCCACCCCTTCCTATCTCGTGGGTGTGGTAATAGGCGACTAAGGGATGGCGAGGAATGGGCAGTAGCGTCCCCCTTAAAACAATTCTAAAACTTGACTGCAGTTGCCAAACGTTGCAACTACTGGCAAAACCTACCCGAGAGGAGGCTTATGTTCAACAGTGGACGGTTAAAGGCTGACGTGATGAAGAAATAATTTATTATATGATTCATAAAATATGTCGATGTAAGCTCTCTAATGAGTATATTTACACGTGAAGCATTACAATTAGAAAATTTCAAAACACTGTGACATATGAAGAGACCTGGTCGGTAATGATTTAGTCGTACGCACATACGAGTACAGTACGGAGGATGATTAACATAAAGAGGTCGGCATGCTCGTTTGTTAAGTGAAAACTTATAAGGAATTGCAACATTAAAAGCGGGTCTACGCTGCAGTGGCATAGACATTTCCCCGGCGTTCTGCGTTAAAACCTCCATAACGTAGAGCGCGTCTATAGTCTCTGTAGACGGGTGCAGGAGAGCAGAGCGTGGCGCAGGAGCGGTACCTTGGACTTGGCGTGCCTCGGCAGCAGGTCGCGGAGCGCGCGGCCCACGCTGAACCGCTGCAACACACGCACACGCGCTGCACCACACGCGCACGCACGCACGCACACGCACGCACGCACGCACGCACGCACACATATTCGTACGTCACGACCCTGTCCCCGCCTCTTACGCACTACTCGACCAACATGGGTATAACTTCGACACACCGACAAGTATAGTAGCACGGTTACAAGGTAAACTTCAACTTGAACAAAATTAATATAACCGCTATATCAAAATATATAAATCCTTTGCATTAAAACCAAATACATATAAACATATACATTGTTATATTATATTATATGATAGGAAGCTATCAGTTATTTTACTTTTTAAAATAGGTTAAAAAAATTAATACTTTAATAAAATATATAAATATTTTGTATCGATGTCGTGAAATACGAATCTGTGTTTAATATAATAAAAAAAAATATGTTAATGTAATCTAAATAAATAATATACTCGTATAAATAATACAAACTAAAATGGGGAATCACTGCCATTCTATGGTCCAAAAACAAATCATTAATCGAAGTAACGATCTTTTATTCATATTTGTTTTAAAATATAAAAGGAATAAATTAATTCAATAAAAAAACTCCTTCAAATGTGAACACACAAACATACATACACATATCATAACGATTAGTTGGTAGAGAATGCCGTATGGCATTATGCTCGCAAATTTGTACAAATTTTATTGTACATTATAGAATAAATAAATAAATACCGTAGGACGAGGAAGTGTAAAATATTTGAGTTTAGAATACAGAATTGTGGGTCTGCTAGTAAATTTTACTCCATAATTAGAGGTTTTTTGCAAAAAAAAAAAAAAACGCATCAATTGTCACAAAATTAAAAATGTTAAACCCCCTATAAATTTCCAAAACAATTATGAAAAGCAATTCAGGGTTGACGACATAATCGCGTAGTACAGGGTGGCCCATAAGTAAACCGATTAAACATTTCATTAGCACAATTCACTCTCTGAATAGCATCAGTTTCTTTTAATTCATGCACCAACTGAATTTTGTAAGGGTGCATAAGTAAATCTTTCTTCAAAATCCGTTGTAACGATGTCCTGGATACGTTTAATGCACTAGAACGCTTACGAGTTGACTGTGTAGGATTTTCACGAATAGATTGTGCCACTGTGTCGATGTTTTGTTCCGTACATGATGTCCTTGGGCGACCCAACCGCGGTTTATCTAACGTCGAACCGGTCTCCTCGAACTTAGCAACCCAATTCTTAATCGTTTGGAGAGCTGGGGTGTCATCAAAGTTGTGTAAACCTTTGTGTTCTCGAAATTTACGCCTCGCAACGGTTGCCGAATTGTTGTTTTGATAAAACTCGCGCACACAAAACGCACGGTCCGCTCCGGTGAAACGTTCCATCGCGACTAAATTCCCAGAAACCAAAGTTACTGCCCCCGCTTCCCCTGCACCGCTCACGCGCGCCGTTTTCGTTTAATTCAAATTTTACTTTTCTAAGGACTTTTGGGCCACCCTGTATAACCACAAACATGCAAATTTATCAGCTCCTTCGTTGGGAATCGCTTCAAAATTTTTTCACACACATAAATAAATAGTTTCATTTTACACTAGGTTTTTGTTCGCTACTTCGTACACGTGTATGTATTTCAGGAGTAAGAAAAGTAATTTAAAGTTGATATAATAAATTAAAGTTAAACCTTCAGAAATACAACATGGAAAAACGGATCCAATTTAGTACAGTCGTTGTTTGCATGACACCGGACAGAGACAATTTTTTTTTTTAACAATTATTGTTTTGACTCCTATTAGTCTTATTAAGGCTCCTCTTTTTTTTTAAGTATATTACGTACGGATACCGTTTAGTTTAGGTATTTTTTTATGCATCTTAGAATGGCAAACAATCTGACGGCCCACCGGATGGAAAGTGGTAACCGTCGCCTATAGACATGAGCAGTACCGTGGACATAACATTCTGTGTTCTTGTTAGAAACACTAAAGAATTACAGTGATTCCCCATACAATCTTGTTTATATTGATAAAAGAAATCTAAACTATGTAATAATAATAATTATTAGATATCTTATAAATAATAATATATAAAATGTTAGAACATGCACGTCCGTACAAGCAACATAAAAAGAAGAATTACATATACGAGGTATTAGTATATATAGAAAAGAAAAATTTCGACATCTCGTGTCGTGATAAAGTAATAACAATACACTTTTTCATTCTTAGGATTTTGAAAATAATAATTTGAAGAACCACCTTTATACCGTGCAGTAGTATTAATTACAGATACAAAGAACTTGCATTTTATAAGTGGAATAGAAGGATGCACTAAGCGGACATTTATAATATTACTAGAAATTGGTAAACAGTTGCAGCACAGCCACCAGAACTGCCTGACTGTCGACAACGGATGTGAGGCCAGTCCGCGAACATCTAGGCGCTCCACCCGGGCCCATGCTCATATACAAAACTCGAAACCTAAATTGGCACGACCAAAATTCGAACCTAGGATCTAATTCAAGCAAAGCGACCTGCCCATCAATTATGGTGGTTGTATAAAGGGATTTTATTATTTGGTTTTCTAAAAAACTGTAAATGAAGCCTCGTACGGCGCCATCTACAAACAATCTTTCAAATATATTTTAATTTTACCATATACTGAAGAAATACTCGTGCTTAATTAGCAAAGAATGAGTTATACGAATAAACTACATTGATTTTACTCTGTTCTCAACGTTGTTTCATAATAAAAGAACTATTAATACAACTACATTTCGAGTTTTTAGTTTGATTGTTATAATAGAAAATATTTTTTCATAAATCCTTTTTTTTATTTACATTTAATTTTGAAGTTACAATATTAAGAGTCCAGTTTTTGGTTGCAGTTGTGTTTGTACTATAGATGTCCTGGAAAATGTATATTAAATAAAGCACAAAAATAATAAGGGCGTCTTTTGAGTTTGCATGTTTAGCAACAATATTCTATAACTATTTTGCGCGTAATATTATATGTAACACGTTGTCAGTGGCAACGCTTGCTTAATTTTTTGCAAAAAGGGCGTAGAAACAAAGTATTCACTTATAGAGTGGTAATAAAGAAATGCAGAAAAAGCAGGAATGCACCAGAACAATAATTCAGTTTTCCAATATTAATTTCGTGTTGCATGCAACCACGTTACGCTACTAAAAAGTTAAAAACAGATAATTTGATGTAATACAAATTTAGGAAAGATTTCAAAAATAATCTCTTTTAAATAAACTTGATTCATAAAAAACTTTTTTTTTCTACAGTATATTTAATATTTCATAGAAAATAGGTTTAAATTAAAATTAATTCACATTTCCATTTATCAGATCCATCTAAATTCAGTATCAAACCCGCCAGCTGGTGTTCGGGCTTGATTCGATGTTCATACACATTCACAGATTAAAATGTATTAATAATGATTACAATAAATACACCGTATTGCTCAATACAGTAAGTTGTTGAAGTAATTATGTATCAGATGGACACACCTCTTAGACTACTCTCAATTAGGGCAATTGTTTAGACGCAATGATTTGATTCGAAGCCAAGTATCGGTTACGACACGAGTCGATTACAAAACGCAATGTTATTGACCCAATAACATGTAGAGAGTGTCACGCTACAGATGCATCGACAAAAACAATTCGACTTTTTTTTTTAATATAGTGCGCTTTAAGAAAATATACAATTGTACTAAAAATATATATTAATTTGTACAAAATGCATTAATTGATGATTCGTATCACAGACTGTCATCATACATAGTCATTATAATATCGATACTATGCTTTCACACGAAAAACGACGCATCAGCTATCTTTATATGTTATTTTTTGACACTCCATCTAGATGCATATAGTCTATAATGTTAACAAGATGCAAGTGAGTTGTACATGTGTCAAGTGTGGAGCGTGTGTAGCGTGTGTGTGTATGTGTGTGGGTGTGAGCGAGAAGGTGCGAGAGGGTGCAAGTGAAGATTCGAGCGGAAAGATACTGACCACGGTCTTTACCTCCTTGGTGGCGATGTTGTGCATGAGGGCGGTGCCCAGCTCGCGCAGCTCCGCGTCCTCGGCCAGGCAGCTGTGCACGCACACCTGCACACCGCGCACACACACTCACTGTCACTGCATATGCTAAACGAACCCTGTCACGGACGCATAGCATCCTAGTCCTCAAGGATGGCAACGCGTAAATGGAATAAAACTATTCCATATTATTACAATTTACTTAAGTTACTCAAATCCCAATTTACTTAAGTAGAACCCAGCCTTTTTATAATAGCTTAACACATGACCATACGATCTAAGTAAACACACAGTTTGTTCCATGAACGCGATCAAACAGAATAAGAAATCCTTCCTTCAACTGTTAACCTGTGGCTTCCTGCCTGCATGGATGGCGCCAACTCCGTGGATGCTCGGAGCACCCGTAACGCTAGACATCATAATATAACTAAAAAAAATCCTCATCTATCATCATGTACGTTTTTCAACTAAAATAATGATGGTGAGCACCCACGATATTTTCTAGAAGCTGTCGCCTCTGGCCTGTTTATTAGGATAAAAACAAGATGATAGGTCACCTTGCCTTTTGACCGAGGCGATAGAATGAAAGAAACATGAGCTCATTCGACAATGTTATGGCACAGCTCAAGTAGAAACTCGTAAATTTATTTGTCTACAGCAGTAAAAGGAAGATCCAGCTAGTTGATGTGGTAACTGGAGTATCACCTTAGTGGTGGCACGTATGTTGGACAGCGGTTGCCCGTTGTAGTCCCACTCGCTGATGTACAGCAACCACTCCGATGACGATATGTTCTCGAACAGGTTACACATCTGCCGACAAATACGTGCGTATGAGTTTACAGGTTAAGTTCAATTAAGTGGGTAATGTAAGAAAACCTAAACATAGCAGCGCATGGTGGCGGCGGTCCTGGTGCAGCAGCAGGAGTGCAGGAGTGCAGGAGGCGTGGTGCAGCAGGGACAAGGAGCGACTCACCAGCAGCGCGGTGGCTCGCTGCTCGGGCAGCGGGTGGCCGTCGAGCCCGTGCGCGTAGTTGAGCAGCGCGTGGTGGCGGCGGTCCTGGTGCAGCAGCAGGAGTGCAGGTGTGCAGGAGTGCAGGAGGCGTGGTGCAGCAGGGACAGGGAGCGACTCACCAGCAGCGCGGTGGCTCGCTGCTCAGGCAGCGGATGGCCGTCGAGCCCGTGCGCGTAGTTGAGCAGCGCGTGGTGGCGGCGGTCCTGGTGCAGCAGCAGGAGTGCAGGTGTGCAGGAGTGCAGGAGGCGTGGTGCAGCAGGGACAGGGAGCGACTCACCAGCAGCGCGGTGGCTCGTTGCTCAGGCAGCGGGTGGCCGTCGAGCCCGTGCGCGTAGTTGAGCAGCGCGTGGTGGCGGCGGTCCTGGTGCAGCAGCAGCGACACGTCATCCCGCAGCGCGCCCGCCGCCAAGCAGCGCAGCGCGTCCACGCGCGCCTCGCTGCTGATGCTGGGGTCGTTCAGCACGCGCCCTGTCGCACGTGACGGAACACATCACCATGGACACGTGTACGGGAGTACTCGTAACGTACACATTACACAGTATATGATCACTGAGAATGCAAGTAGTCCTGAGCAATGACGGTAGTGCCACAGTCGGCGTTAGGCAACCAAATATACCATCGCCGAACATAGCAGCCACATGCAGCATATTTTCGATTGTATGAACCAGCCGTACAACCGCTGAATCGGCAACCGAAGATACGTGGAATATGGCAAAACCATTACACAAACCTTGTCTACATGCATTTTGTACAAAAATTTTTTGTCACAGATGTCCATAGGCTATAGTATACCATCAGAAGAGCTATATGCTTGTTTGCCATCATTGTGGTATAAAAAATAAGGAATTCACATAATTCCATTCGCTGTAAACTTTTCACAAGTTTTCATGTACATGAACATACATACATGATTGTGCTTTGACTCGGCACTCAATAATTGCATATTAATAAATATATCATTTTATGAATGACTAACTATTACCAGTACTCAGCCTACATACATTTGGTTTTGGCACCATTTCGTATGATTCATTCTCCAATAGACATCGACAGTTTACAAACAGTCGATATTTATAAAGCAAACGACGTTTAGAAATTGTCAAAACAAACGGCTGTCAAGAGACTCGGAGCCTTAAAAATAACCAGATGCTCCATTTGAAACATTCCGTTGTAGTCAACTTGACAGACAGCTTATGATTGTTGAAAAATTATTTCGTTACAAATGTTTCCTTGTATGCGAAATATTTTTTGCTTGCTTACAATTTAATTCATACTGATTTAAATGGTTACTTTAAAGTCTTACTTCACTAATTAGAAATACTTTCATCATCATCATATCAGCCTTTCTACTGAATGTTTACTGCTGAATGCAAACCTCTCCCTTGGAGTTTTGGGTTTTGCCAGAAGTTGCTATGCTTGGCAGCCGGATTGATAACCGCAGTTAGGGTTTGGAGATGTTTTAAGAGGAATGCTGCTGCCCATCCCTCGCCCTCGTCCCTCTCTTAATCGCCTCTTATGACACCTACTCGAATGGAAGAGTTAGCCTATTCTAAGCCCGGACCACACAGTGAAATTGAAATACTTTATTTCGTCTAAAATATTAAAATACATTACATTATCTAACAAGAACATAAGAAGACGTCTTACCAATAAAGGTCAAGAACTCATCGCCGAGTACCCAGCTGCCCTCGCCCTGCACGAGGTACTGCTGCAGCTCATCGAGGCTCTGCCGCTCCTCCGGCGACAACTCCACACCTTCCAGCGCCTTCGACAGCTTCTCGAACTCAGCCGCACCCTGGAAAAAGGTCAATTTGAACGGTGAAATGTGGCAGTGAAATTTTTTATTTAAGCATAACATCTTAGCCCTCCATGAATAGTAAATGAAAGATATCACAAAGTATTCTGTAATATATTTGTTGAGTACAACTTGCTATTAAACTTATTTGTTATTACATGTTGAATAAAATAAATAGAAAAAAAGCATTTAACTACAGCATGAATGTATCGATTGCTGTAATTAAATCTGAGTAGTTACATTTCTGTGTCCCTCAAGTATTTTTTTTTTCCAATCCGGTGACATACTGAAAATTGGTGATGTTTTCTGTTGATACGTTATCTAGAAGTGGTCAATTTCATTGGTATTCCTACTTCTGAAATCCACGCACACGAAGTATCGGGAAACAAGTTAGTCATCAAATAAATTTTGCCATTACCAAATGCTTGCATGGCACCTTCCTCACCCGGTGAGGCAAGAGATCCTTTTGACTTTGACATTGTGTCGTATTATGGCCATGCGACGGTATAACGATATACGAGGTCTGTCCGGAAAGTTCGTATAAAAGTGTTCTGGAATGCGAGAAAGAGGAGTGGGGAGGCCAGGTAAGCGCAGGACCCCTTCCTTATGTCCCTAACAATGCTTCAGTTCTGGTCTGACCGCCGTGCGGTGCGAACTGGCTTGTCACGCCATCTGTGAAGTTACCTCTTAACGAAACCCCGTCGGCATGGAGCCCGCTTCCGTTGAAGAGCAGCGCGTCGTAATCAAGTTTCTCTCGAAACTCGGCAAGAATGGCCGTGAAATTTTTGCCGATCTCAGAACAGTTTATGGGGATGATGCTGTGAAGGAACCAACCGTCCACAAGTGGCTAAAAAGATTCAGAGAGGGCCGAGAAAGCGTTCAAGATGACCCACGTTCAGGACGTCCTTCCACTTCACATTCCGACGAAAACGTGGAAAGAATTCGAACTTGTGTTAATGGGGACCGTCGTTTAACGGTCAGACAGTCGTGTGGCACGAGTTCGTCCAGAATTGGCGCGAGAGGGGCGTTGGATTCTTCACCACGACAATGCCCCTGCCCACACCTCTCTTGTTGTCCGTGAGTTTTTGAGTAAAAATTCCATTACGGTGACCGAACACCCCCCTATTCGCCGGATTTGGCCCCGTGTGACTTCTTCTTGTTCCCAAAAACCAAATTGGTACTTCGGGGGCGGCATTTGGGGGACATAAATGAGATAAAAAAAGCTACGACGGGGCAGCTGAGAAACCTACAACCAGAGGACTTTCAAGGAGCCTTCTCACAGTGGAAACGGCGTTGGCACAAGTGCATTATGTCACAGGGGGAGTACTTTGAAGGGGATAAAATTGATTTACCTGAATAATTGTAAAATAAAATTTTTAAAAAACTTTTATACGTACTTTCCGGACAAACCTCGTAACGTTATAATCCAAAATAGACAGCGTGACAGCGCGACCGCCGACGCAGTGCTAAAGTTCCAGTGCACGCTTACTCACGCACCAGAAACGTCCAGTTTGTTTACGTACATGTTTAATGGCGCGACTACACATATATAATCACAGCGGATAACATCCAGCGCTGCGAAATTTATTAGGATTATAATTTATATAGGATACGAACAGTTCTGACTAGTGAGTCGAATGACATGTTCGAGTACTATGTACACAAAATTCGAATAAGGGTTTCGAGTACTTACAATACTCGAACACTAGTCGTGTGTTAATATAAGTTTTTTTTTTTTGTTACTATTCAATCATTTTATTACTATTTTCTTTAATTACAAAAGGAAAACATATTAAATAACTAAACACTTATTATGTCCACTAAAAGTTAACATCAGAAATCAATTGAAAATATATTCGAGTCTGATGAAATACACGTAATAAATCAAATACACGTACAAATATTCGAATAATCAATTATATTCAAACTCGAGTCCAATTCCTCAAACTAGAGTTATGATTAGGTTCTTCTTGAAGAAGTACCAAAATATTCGAACAGCAAAAAAGTTGAACTCGGCACATCACTAGTTTCGAGTCTGTGTTTACTAACACATGCGAGAAATGATGTAAACTAGTCTGTTTTAGTGTTTATGTTAAGTCAGCAGTAACTATTCTAATAAAAATATTTATTCAATTATTTGCATTGCAATATGCGCGGCGCAATGACATGGAAAACTGTTCCAGTTTTTAAATCGATAACATTAGTAGTTGTTGAGATATAGCGCTGTGACAGGCCAATGGATGGACAAAGTTCCACCATAAGGGTTCCTATATACCTTTTTAGTACAGAACCCTGAAATTATTGTAAAAATTAGCCTTTGAAAATGCCGTTACCGACAAATTCAGTCAGATAGGATAAATATACCATCAAACCTTCTTTGTGGAAAAGTAGGAAGTGTTTTCTAATAATACCAATATAACAGTTTTTAATACTTCAAATTCATTATTTGAAAAGGACTTTGATAGTGAAATAAAACGTTAATCATAATGATAAAATAAGTTACACATAAATCTACTATTAACACTTTTGGACTTGCTCATATATCGCAATTGAAATTTTTAGATATTTTTTTCTGTATTGCAAATCCAACTTGCCGGTTGACTTCTCTAATAAAAATTTCTTAGAACTTAGACTATCTCTAATAAAAATTTCATTGCATCATTGATTTTTATTCCACTAAAACCATTACATTATGCAACTAAATCTGGTGCAGCACACTGAGACAATTGTTATTTATTTATTCTTTACTGACCACGTTACAAAAAATGTCTGGTACAAAAGACGGACAAGATTTGGCAAAACAGAAATGTAATTAGTGTGTGGTCGTAGTATTGAAGGCTATGTATTATTATCCTTTGAATGTTCGCAGCTAATTTGCGATACCATGAGTAAGAGGTAAACATTTGGCTAGCTATCAACTACAATAAATAATATGCCTGAATCATGATATTATTTCAGCTAACTGTCCACTGCTGAACATTTCTCTTCCCAGCCTTCCTCATAAGGGAGTTTTGCCAGTAGCTGCCACGCTTGGCAGACGGGTTGGCAACGCAGTTAGGCTTTGGAGATGTTTCAAGAGGAACGCTGTTGCCCATCCCTCGCCCTTCCTTAGTCGCCTCTTACGACACCTATGGAAAAGGAAGGGGTAGTCCATTCTATGCCGGGACCACACGGCGGATCGAACCATGATATACTGACATATTATTATAAACAACACGGGTGTAACGATATTTGTGCCTGTTTAGAATTTATTGTTTAGAACTAGAAATATCCTACTACATATTGTATTATTGTTATATCTTTGATTACAATTGAGAATGATAAGCAAGGAATGATGGAAAGTGGTAATGGAGCTCTCTGGAGCAGAATAACGTATAAAAAGTTCTCCATTTGTTAAGAAGTGGTACGCTATCAGACCAACGTAAACAATTTACAACTTAGAATGGCAAACAAGCTGACGGTCCACCTGATGAAAAGTGGTAACCGTCGCCTATAGACATGAGCAGTACCATGGACATAACAGAGTATACTGTTTCGCCCATGATACCCCCATGCGTTGCCATTCCTGAGGACTCAGGTGTTATTCCTCTGTACCCAGTAAATTCACGCCATATCCCACACTTCAAACCGAAACACAGCCATGTAAACACATCTGCTTTACGGTTGAAACACGAATGGGACAGACGTACCCAAGCAATCGACTTTTGTACAAAGTCTCCCTCTGGTATGCCTGCGGGCAGAAATATAACATCACCATCATTACCACCATACTAGCCGTCCATTGTCCGCTGAAGGGGGGGGGGGGGGGTGGCAACCGCAGTTAGATTTTGGTTTTTGATTTTTTAAGAGGGATGTCGATTAAATTCTCTTAACCCTTTGAGTGCGACGAGCGGCGCTTTTAGTTACAATGCGCGTGCGCATTGCAACTAAAAGTGCCACGAGCGTCATAGCGCTCGTGAAATCAGTCGCTGTTTAGCTCGCTGAAAAAAAATATTAAAATTGGATATTTTTTGGAGGAGATACAGATTTTTTAGAGACAAGGGTAAATGACATCAACACGACAAGGATTTCTTTGGCATTTTTAAGTAGATATGAGTAAAAATCAATGGCACTAAAAGGGTTAATTGCCTTATACGTCCACGACAAAGGAAGCCTATTCTATTCCGGGGCCACAAGGCGTAAATTAATAAATATACAATAGTAAAACTAAAATATCATACATAGCGTATGTAAACGTGTTATGTGTTTGCACAGTAAACAGCTATTGTTTTCACTGGGAAAAGCTATTTATTAACAACAATCACCATCAGTAATTCTACTTTAAACATTTACTTTTTTCAGTATAACAAAAAAGAAAACAAAAGCTCTTTTGAACATATTTAGGGGAAAAATTGGCACGCAAATCACAAGCACGTGCGGCATCTATTTCGATCGGTGTCGGTGATTCCTGCGGATTTATTACTTGATAAATGTTGATGTATCTAACTTCTAATCTTTAATTGCCTATATTTTGAGCTTCACTCATCCGAACATTGTACGCCGCGAGTCGACGCACTTGTTTAAAAATACTTTTTATAAGATCGCGGACAGACTATGTCCGGAATATAAAACCGCATGCGCATTAAGTTAAATCAGTTTAATATTTGGGAGTTACATTTATTTAAAATTGAAATACTGAATGATTGTAATTTGATATTGTTCTGACATATTTATTGTTACCTACCTACTTACCAGAGGGAGACTTTGTACAAAAGTCGTTTGCACAAAATTGGGCACCTCTGTCACATTCGTGTTTCTACCTTCATGGTAGAAACACGATGCAGATGTGTTTGCATGGCTGTATTTCGATTTGAAGGGCATGTAAGTTTATATATGGCAGTAAGTTTACAGGGTACAGAAGAATAACATCTGAGTTCTCAGGAACAGCAACACATGGGTGAAACAGTATACTCTGTTGTGTCCATGGTACTGCTCATGTCTATAGGCGACAGTTACCACATTCCATCAGGTGGGTCGTCAGCTTGTTTGCCATTTTAAGTTGCATAAAAAACCTATTATATACTTTAATTTCATATAAAAATGCACGTTTTGCTGCGCTTCTTTGTTACAATGAAGTAGATATTAACGCATTTCAGTTATTTTAAGCGATTCAATAACAACGTAACGATCCGTTAATTGTTTATAAAAGTGTTTTTATCTTCGGTGTATGTTACCAATAACGTACAGTAAACGTAAACGCAGTATAAATATACAAACTTGTTATACACATAAACAGATTTCATTTATTATTTAGAGCATCAACCGAGTCCTTCAGAACTCGCCAGACCTTGAGATGGTACATTATCTACATCCACATCTACACTATCTACATCTACATTTGTATTTTTGTGTGTATGTTTGTAATGAATAAACTCAAAAACTACTTTGCCGTTTTCAAAAATTCTTTCACCATTAGAAAGCTACATTCACCCTGAGTAACATAGGCTATATTTATTGCTAAAAAAGATTAGGGATCCTTATTAAAACCTTAGTAACGTAACTCAAGGTGTAAAAAAAATGCTATAAAACATCGTTCGTCACGTGCGCTGCGGAAACTATTGGTGATAGAACAAAAGTATGTTCTACAATATAGAATAAAATATCAACAACTACAAAAAACTCCGCGATACTACATGTCCAACTATTATCGTTATGTCACAATAACCACTTTTTAAAATATTGTAAAAATGTTCACCCGTGCGAAGCGGGGACGGGCCGCTAGTAGTTTATATTATCATTATAGGCGGGGGAAAGTCTTCACCATTGCGCAAATTTTTTGCATGTACGTAAATAGTCAAATATATAGATGGAACCCTGAATCGGAATGAATTCTGTATTTCCAGAGCATATGAACTTCTTCGAGGTTCAAATAATGTTGTTCATGGACCTATGAAGCTTCACCTTCGTCCCCATCAGGTGGCATTGAAATCTAGCATCAGCTACACAGCTGTCATTTACTGATAGCATTTTTTTAAAAGAATATTATAATAATAATAATAATAATAATTTTTATTTCAGACTTTTTGGTCCATTAAATATTTATTAGTAACAATATTCTTAAAAACTAATGTTAGTAAATTTACATACACAATACACATACACACACATACACACATACAATATATTAAGTAGTATACAGATAATCACCGCTGCACAATTCCATTGGAAATTGCGCAGCAGTGATTAACGTACACACAGTCCAGCCTGCTTGCTATCATACTCAGGATGCTGTTGGTGCTGGCACGTACTCTGCGCACCAGAGACGCACACCTTTTTCGCATCGTGGCATAAAAACAATCTACACGATGCTCAGCGAACATCCCTGACGCGCTGCAGAATCGTGGCAGCCCCATCAACACCCTGAACGCGTTATTATATTGGATACGGAGGTCGCTGTAGGATTTTTGAGTATATACAGCCCACAGGTTGCATGCATAGAAAGATGTGCAATGTGATCTAAATAACGTAATTTTAACTTGTCTAGAGCACCGCGCAAACCTGCGTGCTATCATATTCGCCCTCACCGCCAGCGCCCTCCGCTCCCGTTCAATGTCATCATCATCTTTGAGATCCGAGGCCAATTGATGTCCTAAATATTTAAATTTATATACCCTCTTCAGCGCTATACCCTTAAGTTTAATATCTGGAAAGCCCATTGAGTTTTTGCCTCTGCTCTCAAAGACCATGACCACACTTTTCACAGCATTGTATATCAGTCCGTGGCATGCAGCATATGACTCGCAAATAGCCACGAGTTTTTTAAGCCCACATATCGACGCGCTGAGCAGCACCATGTCATCAGCATAACTTATATTATTAACATTAATGCCGTCTATGTGACAGCCGACACGGGTACCACTCAAAGCAACAATCAGATCATTAATATACAGATTAAATAGTACCGGCGAAGACAACCCTCCTTGCCTCACACCACACTCCAATCTGTATGACTGCGACATAGTCCCCGCCCATCGCACGCTGTTGAGCTGATTTCCATACCAATATTTGCAGATATTTATGAGCTCTGATGGTAATTGAAAATTTTCGAGCTTTTTCCACAAGATGTCATAAGAAACCAGATCAAAGAATATTATAAGTGCAACATATAAACATAAAAATATATTCAAATTAAGAACTTCCTACTTTTGAAACCGGAAAAAAGTGATAGACAATATTAACACAAATGGCAACTATTTTAGAATGTTGGCGGCACTTCTCATCCTTTATCTATTTATTGTTCCTTTAAATCGAGAACAATCTGTTAAAGTCAATGTCAGAATCATGACGTTATAAAAATGTTTATAAACAAATCAGTGAATAGAGGAAACTATTTTTATTTCAGTGTTTCTGTCTGTTCGTACATTGAAATACCTAAACGATAAGCGATAAGTTACTGTTTAATAGTTAACCCTGACGAATGCCCTTGCGTTCTAGCCAACGCCTGCATAATCTCACTAATATATTTAAAAAAAAAAAAAACTTTTAATTTTTAATATTTCTGCACGCCTATTTACAGTGTCCTAATATCAACAAAAAAAAAATTGTCATAAAATGGGAGAATAAAAAAATTTATTTCTTAATTATCTTTGGCCTTTTATATATTAAATCCATGTAACTATATTGAGTTTAAAGTTTTCAAATACTATTTCCATCATTAATCCAAATTTTCAATGACCAATAATAATAATAAAAAAAAGACAAAGATCATTGTAAAACTCCAATTACCTAGCTCATACTATGCCTAATTAAGACTTAAATAATGAACATCGTTCAATTGTTTTTAAGAATTAACACATAATTTCGGTGTTGCTACGCTTTAGCAAGCTTCTTTAGGAACGTTCATTAGTGCTTGTTGTAAATACTCGTAACAAGACACAAGATAAGTAATACATACAATGATGGAGCTATCCCATTAAGGAATCTCTTATTAACAGTTGAAAACTGAAGGTAAGCAACCGAGACGATCAACCGATTGGCCATTTTATCAACAAGCATGGGAAATGTTACACCAACACTTTATAGACACACGTAGACTCGCTTCATTCGTGCACGCACGTATATAATCGCTGTTAATAATAGATAATGAGCAATGTGAAGGCATAACACCATAGTCCTTAGGAATGATAGCACATAAGAGGTTATGCCCATGTCCACAATGCTGTTCATGTTCTATAGGCGACGGTTACCACTTTCGACCAGGCGGGCTGAGAGCTTCCGTGGCACTGTAAGCATCATAAACGAGCAGTACTTACATCGATGTCCTTGTAGACAATGGGCGGGTCGCGGCTGCGCTTGCGCTGCTCCTCCTGGCGGCGCTCGTCCGCCTCCAGCTCCAGCTCGGCCGCGCTGGGGCCCGCGCGCGGCAGCTCCTCCGACCGCGGCGCTTCCACGGCTTCGGCCATCTCGCTATCTGCACACACGCGGCACGCGCCTTAGTGTACACTAGGTAGGTGCACTACCTACTCCTAGCGTCACCTACACGTCGCCTTCGCACTGCGCAAGATTCCAGTCGAAACTGCGGCCGGATTTAAAATGTCCGCACATCCGGTGCAGGCGGTGAAAACCACACGAGGCGACCGCGTGGCCCTACAAAATTCACTTAGACGACTATTCGCCGCGATCACCCGGTACAGCCGGCGGCCCGTCGCGTACTATCTAGTAAGTAGGTCAATAACACGGGTTATGTACAAAATAATGAAGCGGGTGGGAATTTGCGGGAGCACGAAATGGGGTCAGCCGGCGGCGCGGGCGCAGCGGGCGCTGGGCACAAATAACGGCGGTATAAATATCTGAGCGGTGGCAGCGGAGAGGGCTGCTGGCGCTGACGGTGGTCGGCGGCGGGCGGCGGGCGGCGGGCGGCAGGCGGTGGGCGCAGCCCGCGGACGCACCTGGTGGCGGGAGCACTTGGCGATACGACGATGCGGCGGCGGCGAGCGTCGGCGCGGGAATGCCGCGCGCCGCCGGCCGCCTGGCACGCCGCCAGCGTGCCGCCGCCGCGGGTCCACGCGGCCTACGTATTTATAATCCGCCGTCCACTCGACCAACGAGGAGAAGTACGCTCGTGAACTTTAGGATTTGCGAGCGACTAGTGAACTCTCGCCGACCCGGGGTTGCGGGACGCGAAGTCCGTAGCGGCGACGGCGCCCCGCCCCGAGTCCGACCCGGTTGCGGATCGTTCCCCCGGGCGCAGGATCCATGCCGCGGTCGATCACACCCGACACCGATTGTTGTGGAACTCCTCGCTCGACTTTTTTTATCGATGACAGTGCGCCGACGTTTGAACCGGTGCCAACGACCGAGCCGCATATAAAGCTGCGCTCGATCGTTTCGGAATCTACCGTCGATGCCCACTCGTAACTTTAAATAAAAATATCGACAATACTGCGCCTGTTTATCTAAAGGATTAGAGAATAAAGGAAGCACTTAGGAACTTTACAATCTTAAATTCCTTTGAAACAACAACCCACCATAAGAAATATTAAAAAATGGCAACAGTCAAATATAAACGTGGACACCACCATGCACATAGGGTGAGAGGAGCAGAGATTGTTAGTAACGGGTACGATAATCCCCATTGCTAGCAATATACCCTACCAGGTCTACCTCCTCACGGTTCACTCTGGAAATCATCGTGATTAATTTTTGTTGAATCCGTCACAATGGGCTAACTAATCTGGTTTTATCCTCACCTATGATGCCTCGCTAGCGTGTACCGATAGCGCAAGTGGGGTTACTATTCCATTATCGTCTACTAAGAACCACCATGAACATGGTACCCCTGGAGACTAGTCTTACATTTCTTATATTCGAAATGTGACACCAAAACAAAAATTACCAGCTATGTTTTCTCTGAGATTAAAACAACGCACGCATTGTTGCAACACGCCGAAAATAGATGATCATTTTTTCAGTCTAAGCGACTTACACAAGTTTTATCACATCAGCCTTTAACTGTTCACTGCTGAACATAAGCCTCCCCCTTAGGGGGGGGGGGGTTGCCAGTAGTTGCCACACTTGGTGGGCGGATTAGCAACCGCAGTTAGGCTTTAGAGATATTTTAAGAGAGACGCTGCTGCTCATTCTTCGCCCACCCTTAGTCGGTTCTTACGGCACCCACGAGAAAAAAAGGGGTGGCCTATTCTATGCCAGGACCACACGGCCAAAACAAGTCTACCGCCAGTCAATTCTACATGCTACATGACATGACGCATGTAGAATTGACTGATTAAAATAGAGAATAGTACTTCAAATAGAGGTAGTGTTTCTACCGTGAAGCAGTTGTGTTTGCATGGGTGTGCATTGTACATATTTGCATTCGGTTTGAAGGGTATGAATATGGTGTGAATTTACTGGGTACAGACAAATAACATCTGAGTCCTAAGGAATGGCAACGCGTGGGGGTTATCATAGGCGAAATAGTTATGTCCATGGTACTGCTCACGTCTACAGGCGACGGTTACCACTTTCCATCAAGTAGGCCGTCAGCTCGTTTGCCATTCTAAGTTGTATAATAAAAAAGATTGTTAGCGGTCGGTGCCATGGATAGCAATACACTCTCTGTTAATCACGTCACGGGAGACCAACCAATATGTGACATTATCCTCAGTTATTACCATTGTCCATTAAACAAACATTTATACACAATAGGAGCCACAGACAGCCCTCAATGTCGAGGCTGTTTCGACGGCGAAGAAACAACTACTCACGTAATCCTGGAATATGAAGCTGTGGCCCATCAACGTTTAGAAATCCTCAGAACGTTAATCCTCATTGCTAGCAATATCCTCGGAACGGTGAGGTCGCTCCGTGCGGCCTGTGAAGATCCCAGAAAGCTTCTGTGCTTCTGGGCGGAGTTGGGTTGACTGTACTAGCCACGACTCATACGCACAACGGCCCAAATGAGAGTCTAAGCGCGGAAAAGGGAGTCCAATTTATATTACATTACAGTTATCTCTATGGTACTCTGCCAACATAAACTTATACCGCAGGCTATTTTACCATTTCAGTATCGTCCACTCAATTGAAACAAGTCATATAGTCACGATAAGTTGGACTGCTGCAGCGGGCTGTCTCCTTGCCAAACGAGCACGTGTTTTATTACTTTTCGATCACAAAATTGATAAGAATAATTAAATTAACAAAAGAATTTCAATTGCAATAATGTTAAAGTTCTTATAAAAACATATAATAGGAAATTGTTGTTTTATATATTTTGCTTTTTGTTTTGTTACCTTTTTTGTTTTTCATTCTTATATCTCTTTTACTGTGTATGCCTGTATTATGTGTATGTTTGTATTGTTATTTGTGTGCTGTTACTTACAGCACACAAATAAATTATCTATCTATCTATATACATAATCACGAGTACAATCCCCATGAGGGGTAGTCAGAGGCATTTATCGTAAACGTAACATAAATTTTTGCGATCAAATTCGAATCGCTTAGTATATCTATATTTATTTATTTATTCATAGGAAAACCAGAGCTACACTAGAGCAAAAAGATACACATATATCCCAGTTCTAACTTCTATAAAACGATCAAAATTGAAAACAGATCTTATGGTATACAGTGATAAAAAGCGATTCGATGAATGAAATCATCTGAAATGGAATGCTTTACAAAGATTCCAAAAGAAGAGAACTCGCAAATAATAAGCGTTGTTGACGAAATAGATACAGTGTGGGCGATATAAATAGACGCATCGAAGAAACATGGGTCGAAAAACGACCAAAACATTCGAACTTCCCTTACTAACACAACGCGTCCATCTACTCGTGTTAAATTCACATGAGAAACACTATTTTCTAGACATGTTTCTTTGTAAAGTATATACAGTTTCACTAGTAAAATAGTCTTTTATAAAGATCTATTGTGATTTACACACCACCTATTGGAAAAATACCAAAGTTGTAGCACCGACAAATAGAACACTCGGGTAATTGATGCTTCCTTTGCCTAGCAAATAAATACTCGTAGAGTGCTACTGTCCAGTTGTTACCGCAGTAAAATCAAAGAGGGCGTTGTATTGCACTTGTGTTAATATAAATACTATGCACATATATTCATACAAGTATTTTATACAATTAACAATACGAGAACTAACAAAGTAATAAGATATTATTTATTTGTACTTTTGCGCACATTATAATATGTATACAGGGCAGGCTTAATGCTTTATGGCATTCTCTATCAGTCAACCGTTACGATAAACAGAGAGAGTAAATGGCGGTGGATAGATTTAACAAAAAATATTTGTAAATAAATATTTTGAGACTGAAGACTTGAAGATAAATGAACATATAGAATGATATATTTAATCATGTCAGCTCTTAACTATCTACTGCTGAACATAAGCCTCCCCCTAGAGAGGGTTTTACCAGTAGTTGTCACGCTTGGCAGGTGGATTGACAACCGCAATCAGGCTTTAGAGATGTTTTAAGAGGGACGCTGCTGCCCATACGTCGTCCTCCCTTAGTCGCCTCTTACGACACCCACGGGAAAAGAAAGGTTGGCCGGGACTATATGGCCAGCCATATACTTACAAAAATATTATTTTAAAAAAGAACATTTTGCAAGAAAATCGAATGGAAAACTTCATATTTTTATTTATACCAAAAAGGTGGCAAACAAGCACGCAGCCCCGCTGATGGTAAACGGTTACTGTAACCTACAAACACCTACATACATATACAGCATTAGAGGTGTCATATGCGCGCTGCAGACCCTGAAAAAACGCCTTTTTTTAAGGGTCCCATACTGTAGTCTCTAAGGAAATCCTCGGCAGAGAGCACGTTCGCGGGAAAAAAATTCCTTTGGAACCGCACTGTACGTGACCATTTATATTCAAAGCGTGTGAGCGTGAATTCCCTGTCGATGGCGAGCGGTGCGATGATAAAAGGTGGCTGTGGGCATCATTTCAAACAATTACACAGAACACAATCAGTTATACAAGCGGTAGAACACACAAAGGGAAGCACAGTTTCGATTTAAACTTAAGGGCTCGATACCGCCTGTGAACTCGGGATCGTCAACAATTGTTATAGCTCGTCTTTGAACCGAGTCTATAGAACCAAGCGACCAAGTACTCCGGCCCACAAATGAGGGGCCGGACTTGCGACTTGTACAATAATAGTCTTTGTCATATAGAAAATAGTTTGATCCTTGGCTGTTAGTACTAGTTCACAAATTTGTGTGAAGAAACTAACGAATAGTATAAATATTTATAAGTACGATCAATGGGTTCGAGCCCACTGTTCAATACAAGTATTTAACACAAAAACGGCTTCAAACATCAAAGAGCCGTTATGTTTATGAAATATTATAGGATAAGTACCATATGCACGCAATCTCGGTCTTAGTATGTATGCAAATTAGTAATTTGAAAGACACGTACTAAAGATTATGCGAAATTGTTTTCACAGACTAAAAGTTCTGTATGGAGTGCGTGATTGTTTGAGTGTTGAAATGCGAGTAAAGCTATGTGAAGCATTAGTATGATCTGAATTAAATTATGTTGATACTGTGTTTGGGGAGTGTCTGCTAGCTCGAACTAAACTGACAACGTATCCAGAATGCGTGGACTCGATAGTTTTTCGATTCCTCGTCATGCTCATGTCACTCCCTATGTAAACCAAAATAGCCGCATGCCCGTTTGCCCCCCGTTTTCAAAAGAATATGGCATACAGCTGAGTGACACTATTTTAGTGCTTCTCGTTTCCTTTTTGTAATATAATTATTTTATTTATTTATTTATTCTTTATTGTACACAAAAAATTAAAAACATATAATATATATAAAATAAAGATGTACAATAGGCGAGCTTAACTCTGTAAGGATTCTCTTCCAGCAAACCCTGAGTGGAAAGGAGCATTAATTACTAGCGGGCAGTGTGCGTACAATAATAGAAGGAAACAGTATAGTTGTTTCTATTAAGAAATAATAAATATGTTGACATATATACAAGGTAACTAATATAATAAAAATAAAAATATGTTAAATATTTTTTGTAATTAACTGTAAAATTAAGCAGTAAATAATTTTGACTATATGATGTAAAGCGCGTGCGAGTGAGCGAGATGCACGTTCTCATTGCGGTGTTTGTTGCTTGCAAGCCCTAACTTAATGAGACGAGGGGAAAAAGGATTGTTAGCAATGGAGTTTAACAGCCCCATTGCTAACAATATACCTTATTAGATCGACCTCCACGTGGTTCCCCCCGGAAACCATCGTGAACAATTCTTGTTGAATTCGTCACGATGGGCTAACTGCCCTGCTTCATCCTCACCTATCATTCTTCACTGGTGCCCCGCCGGTGAATACCGATAGCGTGGGTGGGGTTACCATTCCATTATCATCCATTTAAAACTTAATGGGACGCGATTTGGACGCAAAGTGTCAGCGGGCCCACATAGTCATCATTATCGTGTTTAAGGAGCATCAGTTTTCCCTAGAAATAATTTTATGTAGTGTCGTAACTGTGAACAAGGAGCCCCGTCTGCAAACATGCCAATGAGCACCAATAGGAGTCTTCGGGAACAGTAGTGCCCCCCCCCCCCCCACTCCCGGGGTGAACAGTTAGTTACGGCCATGTTGTTATGCCGATTGCTAATAAGATATCGCCGAGCGCGTGTCGGCTGCGACTGACCTGCAGCCGCGTGGTCGCCGCGCTCGCGCTGCATCTTCTTCCGCTTCTTCTCCCGCTTGCGCTCCTTGCGCGCCAGCTTCTCCGCCAGCGAGCTGCGCCGCTGCTCCAGCTCGGCGCTCTGAACCCTGCACCACACACCCGCACACCACACGCGCACACGTCACACCAGTATCGCATATAATTACGCTTGATAAGAGACGGGAGTTAGAGTCATTATGTACATACGTAAAGTATGATCAATCCCCTGGGGTTATCTTGATGTCAATTCCCGTCTCTTATAAACCATAATTCTTATAATTAATATATTCTTACACCCACTGTTCGGAGCCGCACAACCGAACAACTCAACATGTATAATAATTGCATGGTACGCACAATTGATACGCGACAAATTATGTGTTATTTGGAAACCAAGTGGTACGCATGGAACAATCGCCGAATAGCACACAGCTGGCGGTTTCTAAAATGGTACTCCATTTTATTACCATTTTACCAGCCTATCATTTACCAACTAATTAATGCCAAATAGTGTGTACTTAATTGTAAATAAACTACTTTTATTAGACTGTTTTGTATATTCAATAATGTCTTAGCATTGTCATACCATTTCAATGTGATACGGAAACCAGTCCTAACCTTTAAAAGCAATATCTCGACGGTTACCACTTTCCATCAGGTGGGTCGTCAGCTTGATTGCCATTCTAAGTTGTATAAAAAAAATCTCAAAAGTGGCATACATACATGATTGTACATGGTCCTTCGAGCCAGATTTGAGAACTATCACAGAACTATCACAGAACTATCACTTCTATCTATCACAATTAACATGACAAATAAAAATTCTTCAATACGTGTTGGCTGGTTGCTCGCCTTTGAATACGAAGGCACTGTTAAACAGGACGGAACGTACTATAACAAAATAAACGTCAGCGCTGTATCAGCGCTTTGCACCTATTATTATAAGATGTTCACTAAATTTTAAATATTTTAATCTATACTCAATTTATTCAATTCGATCTATGTAAAAATAATATCGTGAGTTTGGAGTGGTTCAAAACCTATCCTAGCATTCCTAATGATACAACAATAGTAAAATAAATTATGTCAAAAAGAGGGTAAACAAGTGCCGGTACATATCTCTAGAAGTAACGAGTAAAATATTTGAAAGGCATTGCAATTAATTTATTTATTACATTAGTTGACTGTTTTCGATTTTTTAACAATTGCATGCATGGCGACAGTGTGCGATGGGTCGGGGTGCAGGTGGAGGGGGTCGCACCGGGCGGCGCGGGGGTCACGGCGGACGGCGGCGGGCGCGGGCTCGCAGCAGCAAGCGGCCGGCCGCCGCGCCCGCCCGCAGCAGCGCCGCCCAGCCCAGCCTCGGCGGCGCTCCGGACGGACACCTGCTAGGGGGGAGGCGGGCCGGTCATGGTGTCGCCCCCTTCTTGAAGGGGCCGCCAACCAGCTCAATGACCATCGCAAACTTTATACTGCAGTCGATCCGATGGCAGTAGAACTCAACTATCTAGTGAAAACGACGAGTTCTGTTTGAGCAGCATCCCCCTCCCCCTAACTTTGTTTACGGCGGTAATTTCTAAACGATTTTCGGCAAAAACGCATCATAGTTTACCCCTAGTGGACCTTGTTTCTGTTTAGCACTGCACGCAATAATATATAGAAATGACTCTACTCACCTATCACCAAACCTTAATCAGTTATAGATTATCCGCATCCGTACATCGAGCGAAACTTTGCAAGAAATTAACATAACATTTAAAAAAAATAGTAATCACCTAGCCTCCTCTATCTGCGTGTTGAGCGTAAGGAAGTCGGGGCTGTCGCGCCGACTGTGCCGCACTCCGTTCGCGTACACCGCCTGCACACGAGCAATAATCATTTAAACACGTTGTTTTTGTTCAATACAAATTAAAAGTTTTGATCATTACCATAACGGGGCATTCATATATTTTTTAAGATTCCACGCAATATCATGAAGTATAGGGAATGCAACGCACGAAGTCGATGAACTATAAACCGGATAGACAGCTGGTGCTGGTGCTAGCGGCCGGTGGCCGACGCTCACCTGCGTGGAGTCGGGCACGAGGTTGTCGAGCAGCGCCTGCAGCGCGAGCCGCTGCGGCGGCGTGAGCGCGAGCTCGGGCTGCTGTACAATGTGCTTGGGTACATGCGCGCCGCACAGGAACTGCGCCACCTCCTCGCTGAAGTGGTTGCAGTTGTGCTCCAGCAGCCGATACTCCGCGCCGCTGTAATATCATATACGTCCATGGTACTTATACATGTAATTATATCCTTATATATTCAGTTTTTTGTTGAGTTTATTATTTAGTTTAGCTGTACGGCCATTACTCTTGTACATTCTACAGTTTTCTTTCAGCTTCTCAAAAGTTGACTGTAAGAGATGCCTTTATGGGATAAGTCTGCCATTGTATATTAAATCTTTTGATGTATTCCGTATGAATTAGGTACAATAAAGATTTTACAATACAATAATATAAATAAATCATATGCGGTGTTATGGCGGATACTGACGTATAGGTGGTGGTGGCCAGCCCCTGCATGTAGTCCACGAACACCTGGAATGGCACGAAGGTCTCCCCGAGCCGCTCTACCTGATGCGGCGGGCCCAGCTGCGTGCCGCCCTGCCGACAACATACACCATCAGGTTAACGAGTTACATTACCCGAATCCGTAACATAAAAGTGATAAGTATTAACTTTTTTTATTAAAATCTAAAATCATGGCCAAAACATGTTCGGAGCAGAGGAGACGTTAATTGATGATTGTTACATTGATGAAATGGAAATTTATAAATATAGAAAGGAAATTAGAGATTTTTTATAAATTAAAAAATTAATTCATTTAAAATGAATTTGTTTGAAATTGAAAATTAAATTATATGAAATGAGAAAATATACAAAAATGAATGAAGTAGAAACATATATGTAAAGAGGTCTCTGCCTGTCTCGTTTCAATTCTGCACAGTTTCTAGGAATACGTAATTGACATTTAGATCAAAAACGAGAGTGTTGTGTCATTCCAACAAATACCTCGCGCATGGAAAATCGCATCCGGCAGACAATTCTATTTACTGTCGCACTCAGTTATAACGGCAGCGCCCAGGTGCGAGCGAGCCGGTACGGTTCTAAGAATGACCGGATATTTCGGGAGTTTCGGTATATAGAACAAGTGGAATATGTCACTGAGTGCAGAGGCTCACGTACCGAGTGCACTGTCTAATAATACATAGTAATTGCGGCTTCCTGAACACGAGCGCAGCCGGTGCACAACTGCACTCACTTCATTACAACCGACACGTGCACGTACACCTTATGAAACCTGTACATGGAGCGATAATTACAAAAACATTGTGAATAGCTACGTTATATCTTGTCGTAACAAAAAATCCTCAAAGTATCTGATGCGAACTCAAAATCGTTCGATCAGTCGTACTTTATACTCATAGAAGTTACTAACTGCGGTTGACAGAGGGGGGAAGGGATTGTTAGTAATGGGGACTACCAGTCCCATTGCTAGCAATATACCCTCTCAGGTCGACCTCCCCGTGGATCCCCCTGGAGCCATCGTGCTGAATGCCAGGTGTATCCATCACGATGGGCTAACTGACCTGCCTTTTCATTCTCACCTATCATTCATCACTGGTGCTCCGCCAGCGTATACCGATAGCGCAGGCAGGGTTACCATTCCATCTTCACCCATTAAAAAAAACTGCGATTGTCAACCCGCCCAATAAGTGTGGCAACTACTGGTAAATCTGCCCTTATGGGGAAGGCTTGTGTTTATGAAACAGCTGTGTGCATGTGTGAAACAGCTCAAATGAAAAGTTAATAACTCTCCCCAAGAGACACGCTCGAAACTTTATTTTATACATTTCATACCAAATAAATCAGGTGCAGTTTGTATACGAATATGAAATTATAGAAAATATTTCATATTTCAAGACAAACGAGTTCGCAAGTGGACGCCCTACGTGTTGCTGTGATGGTGACACTTGAAATATTAACATTTTACTATAGTATATTTAGATTTATCGTGGTCAAAAGACGAACCTACCGCCATCCTTGGATTCCTTTAACGAGTAATTTAGTTCTCGCTTTTTTCAATCGCTGGAGAGTGAATTATTTAACACACAATGCTTCTGATATTGACCAGAATCAAACTCAGAACCTTTGGGGTCTTAAATACGAGCAGTAACATTTAGGCCATTCTGTCCTCTTAAGGTTGTGTTATTTAGAGAAAAATATGGTTATGAGTATAATCCCACATGGGGTAGTCAGAGGCGTTTATTGATTTACTAATTTCGTTACAACACACACTCGACGTACACATATTGCGCCGAGCATATTAGACAAATATAGTGTGAAACATCATCTCTCAAGAATGACAACGCATGGTACTGTTCCTTTCCGTAAGTGACGGTTACCGCTATTCATCATTGGGGCCATCAGCGTGTTTGACATTGCTAGTTCTATAAAAAATATAAAAAACAAATAAAGGCGAGGTTTTAATTGTAGAGTGTCATGTTGGCGCCTCGCCGCGCGCCCACAAATAGACAATGTTTACGTCGAGTCGTCGACGTAATGACCGACCAGCGTACCACGAGCCGCCTCCTCTTGCAACTAGTACCAATTGGGAGGCATTCCCTACGGTGGTCAAGAACGTTCACATCGAATTATTTTCCAGTGTAATCGAATAAAAATAAACCAAAGAACGCGCGAAGTATGCGTCGCGTGTTATGAGTGTTATTAATACGCCGCTAATATTACACCGCTGATAATAATTGCGTGCGCGCCGCGCGATGCTCCGCGATGACACAAACAGTCGTGTTCACAGTGTGCTGCTATATGCAGTACAGCCATAGACTCTGCAGGGGATCGAAGTAGGAGTTTTATGTTCTTTGTACACGACACATGTAATGCATAAAATGCATTTTGACGGGAATAATCCGTGACAGAATTTAGAATTACAGCGACGTAATGCAGACAACTTCATCAATTTATAGTGAAACTAATAAAAAAATATTGTTAAACAAATTACCTATTTTTTTGTTAATATTTTATTAATGAATAAATATATAACCAGGTTTGTCTTTTTAAGTCTCAATAAGAAAGATTACTTATAGTTAATATTTTAATATTATTTCGTGATTAAAAATGATTGCGAATTTTTGGTTTAGATGTACTTTTCGGTGTCGTCACAGACCGCCCTGTGTGGATTTATCATTTATTGTCATGCAAAGATAATTCGTAGCTACTGGCCGCCATTCTTTTTATTTTAAATCCATGTATTTGTCAACAGCATGTTCACAGTGAGCCTTCGTAATGTCGCTTTCCGTAACTCATGTTTTCAGATTCCCGCCGGCATATTTTCAGAGAATAAAATTCATATCAGTAATTTAAAAAACATAAACCTATTTTAGATTATACTTGTTTAGAAATGACTACAGCACCATTTCCATTCTTCAATTTTACGGCTAATGCCTCACCTCAGCCAGCTAACGCTATACTCAATTATATTTTTTTTAAATTTGTATTTTTTATAACACAGGGAGCAAACAAGTGTGCGGCTCACCTGACGGTAAGTGACCACCGCCGCCCATGATCACTCACAACACCAACGGCATTGCAGGTGTGCTGCCGGCATTTTAAAAAGGAATATGTATTTTTTTTGGTTATTATGTCGTATCGATTTACAGTAATGATAGAATAAATTTTCGATCAATACAAAATTCACCGTATGGATTAATAGTTCAAATGAAGTTCCTAACTGCTTAGCGGAGAACAATTGTACAACAACCATTATACTATTCTCTCTCTAATGCAAGATTCTCCATTTGTTACACAATAACAGCACATGATGCGACAATTGCGTCATTTAATCCGCGGGCAAAATTTTCCTTTATATCCCTTTTATCTAACCGACATTTTATGTAACCCTTTTAAATAACCGACATAGTCCAAATGATAAGCAAGCTGAAGTGGCAATGGGCTGGTCACATAGCTCGGAGAACCGACAGCCGATGGAGAAGAAAGGTTATTGAGTGGCGATGGGTGAACGCAGTGTAGGATAACCCTCTACTAGATGGAGTGACGACCTGAAACGCGTTGCAGGGAGTCAGTAGATGTAGGTGGGTCAGGACCATTCCTTATGGTAGTCTATGGGGAGGCATGTCCAGCAGTAGACGGATAATGGCTTAAATGATGATAATTATCCCTTTTATCTATTATCTCCCCACGCTTCAACGAGAAACACTCTACGTCGTAAATATTAATCCAACCATAATAAAAAGATGATGCAGACGTACTGATCCCGGATGCTCATGATCATCAGGACAATTTTGTCCACTTTATAATCTGTTCCAGCTGAAAATCAGCACTGAGTTGACACGCGTGCAACGCAGCAGCTGGCTAAAATCCCTTTGAGAGCAGCTATGAACGTTCTTATAATTCAGTTGTGTTTTAAACTATGTGCATCGATGAATTGTGCTGAATAAATTATTCTTATTATTACATGAAAGGATGGCTATAAAGGTCGAAAGAAGACCTAAAAACACATGGACGGTTTATGTGGAAGATGATTTGGTTAGAATGGAAGTGAATGCGGAAATAGAGAAGAGAAAAGTATATTACGTAGACCCCAAATAATAATTGGGATAAGGGTAACAAGATGATGATGATTAAACAAAGGAAAATTTTGTCTACGGATAAAATGTCATCATCTTTACTGTTGGCCCGCGGTAGTGGACGACCTGCCAAGCAGTGTTGTCACACATGGAAATATGTATTTATACGCGCCACGCGCGCTTGGAACAATCTCAGCCTAATATGATGTACGGCGCGAATTAATTGAGCCACTACTTACGACGCGGCCGCGTGGACGACTACGCGACGAGCGTAGCTAGTCACGTTTGTTTATTATTTGTTACATTCTATACAATTTCGTTGGTCTTTGTTATATTTCTGTCTCTAGATATATCTAGAGATGCCGTGATCGCAATTCCAAAAATATAGACATGTCGTAGCGATAAAACAATAAAGTTTGTGTAAACTGTTTTCTTTTTCCTTCATATGCTTCTTGGAATGTCAAATAAGCTAACAGACTATATAGTAGAAAATGATAAACGTAGTAATATATATATATATATATATATATATATATATATATATATATATATATATATATATATATATATATATATATATATGTCATAGGCCTGTTTTGCGACTGTTATTCTAGTTTTAATATCCAATGTGCACCTATATATATATATATATATATATATATATATATATATATATATATTTTTTTTTTTTTTTTTTTTTTTTTTTTCTAGAAGAGTTTAGTTTTTTCTTTTTTACAAGAGCGCAGCTCTTAAATAGATAGAGAGAGAGTTTTCTTAGTTACGGAAATCAACCGAATACAAATTATACAGCATCCCATACTAGTACGGCGCAATCAAGGGAAAGGGATTGCTAGTAATGGGATCTAACTGACCCATAGCAATACACCCTATATCACCCTACGAGATCGACCAGTGGAAGTTAAAAAAATTCTAGTGGATTCACGAAATTTCTGTTGTATGTATGAGCAGATTATTTAATTTACGTACCGCTAATAATTTCGATTGAATCTTGTTTAGTGGTGAAAGGTGTAGTACCACTCCATTATATTGTGGGGAACAGTGAGTAAATGAGACCAGAAGGAGACTTTATACGAATGTCATCTGTTTGGGTACATCAGAGTGTCTACCATGAAATATTTTCCGAAATTTGGAAATTAATAATATTAAAGTATCGTTCCTTTGAACTGTTACGGTAGGATTTATGACGAACAAAATGTTAAGCTCCATTTACGGGGCCGATTTCGGTAAGAACAAAAACACGAAATTGAGTCCGAAAATTCGGAATTTAATTTCATAGTAGACCACGTGTTCCACTTATGCTCTTGTCGTGAAGCAGCTGTACTTGCAAGGTTGTTTCGGTTTGGATGGTAGGACTTGAAAATAACCAATTAAAAGGACGCATAACACTATAGTCCTCAAGAATGGTAATACATGAGGGGTACCATGGGAATCACTAAATATTTTGTGACACGCCTTGGTGTTGTTCATCTATGACTTTATACAAAAGTTTCTGTTGTGTTTACATGGCTGTGTTTCAGGTTGAAGCGTGGAATATGGCAGTGAAATTACAGGGTACAGAGGCATAACACTTTATTTGTCAGGAATAGCAATGCATGAAGGGTATCATAGGCGATACAGTCTGCTCTGTTATGCTCATGGTAGGTACTGTACGTTTTTTTATGCAACTAAGAATGGCAATCAAACTGACTGGCCCACCTGATGGAAAGTGGTAACCGCCGCCTGTAGACGTGGTATTGTTCATGTCTATAGGCGACGGTTACCACTATCCATCAGGTGGGCCGTTTGATTTAATGCCGTTTTATGTTGTATACAAGCAAGGTTACCGTTTTCTATTAAGACCATCAGCTTGTTTGTCATTTCAAATTTATTTAAAAAAGAAATAATACCGGCGCGCAGCTGGTGACCCCACCGCCGCCGTAGAAGAACTCCCGCTCGTACACCACGATGGACGTGTGCCACACGGCCTCGATCCGTTTGCCTGCAACACGTACACATTTATAGGTAAATGCAAGAACATTACTGGAGAGAGCCTGCACAAACTAGTGGATACACTCTGTTCCACTTGTACTTTAGCCGTCAAGCAGCTGTCTTCTGGGGTGAACGGGTGAGGTATAACAGAGAAATTACAAGGTACAGTAATACCTTAGTATTGAGAAATGGCAACGCTATAAGAGACATAGTGTATTCTGTCATGTCCACGAAACTATTGCCTATAGAAGACGTCAGCGTCAAAACTGTGGCGACGCTAGTTTCACGTCACATTTACACGACGAAAGCAGGCGATATTAAAAAACACGCGAATCATTAAACTGTTTTGATGTCGTAAAACTAATGTACGCGTTACGAAAGTACAGGTTTATACGTGAGGCCGTTGATAGAGTTAATGCCTTCAAACTAGTTTCATGCTAAAACTATGTACCTAAAACAAGACTAATGGCCTGCACAGACGAGAGAATTTCGCCCGCCGTCGTAATTTCCTTTTATCTTTGTCGTGCGATGTTCCTAACATTTGAAGTAGGGCAGGAAAACAATGCTCGGCGTAAATTTTAATCCGTCGTAATGAAACCTTTAAACTTGGGTGCAACAACGCATACGTGTTTTATAGGTACACGGCAGAAGCAAAGGGAAATTTAGCGCCGCAGACTGATGCGAATGGACGAATGTTCACCGTCTACACAAACCATAAATAATGTAATTAATGTAATCTTATCGCATGTGAAACAGAAGTCATCGTAGCGGGCCACGATGAATAATACATTAATGTTAGTTACTATATGTGTGATTAGTTCATTAACAATTCTATGTATAGATGTGTAAGTGGATCGACAGTGGCGTCCTTGAAACAATTCGGCTGATGAGTCCAGCTGTCTGTCAACCGTACCTCGGAATTGGGTCGCAAAAAAATCGCTCTCAAGTGTAGGTTACAAAACAAAGCGAGAATAGAAAATCAGACAGAGAGTATTTTTTAAGACAAAAAAATTCCCTCTTTACAAAATTGCTTCAAATAAAATAATAATAATAGTGAAAACATTAAAAAAAATGAAATACCATCAAAATTGAGAACTTCCATAATTTTTTAATTACTTAACAAGCAAAATAAATATATGTTTTCATGACTGTAATGCATAATGTGGCGGACAGAGGACTGTGTTGGCGACTCGTGCAAGAAAGTAACATTGAACTGTGTTAATATAATTTGTAAATACATTGCAATTACTTTTACTAGTACCTATACTTATCAGATACAAGCGAAAAATAATTAAATTTTTTTTTTTTTATACCACTGAGGTGGCAAACAAGCATACGGCCCATCTGATAGTAAGCGGTTACCGTAGCCTATGAACGCCTGCAATACCAGGGGTATTACGCGCGCGTTGCCGACCCTGAAGAAACCTCTTTACCCCCCTTTTGAAGAACCCCATGCTGTAGTCTCTTGGGAAAACCTCGGCAGGGAGCTCATTCCTGAATGTTCGTGGGAGAAAACATCTCTGAAACCGTGTTGTACGCGACCATTTAGGCTGTAGGGTATGAGGGTGAACTCCCTGTCGATGGCGATCCGTATGATGACAATGAAATTGGAACTTAATTGAAAGATAATCAAGTTTTGTTGAAATTATGAGCATCAGAGAAACACACTACAAATTTGATTTATTAATTGATCTTTTATTTGTACTACTATTGTATCAGTAGAAATCACTATTATTTCTGCCTAGCCTAATGGGAGACAGGTGTCACAGATATGTATGTATGTAAATCAGTAGACTTTCTCATGGTTGAGCTAATTATTTCTTGTTTTCATTAAGTTCTATTGAAACAAACTATAATACAACAAAATGATTTAGTACATCATATAAATTTAATATTTTTAATATAACCATAGGCATATTTAAAGTGGTGCCCACCCTAAGAAGCTAGCTGCCATACCTTTGTACACAAACAAGTTACGGCTGAGAATACATAAGATACAAAATCTAATTAATGTTTAATCTTAAATTGTCAGGTAGAATTCTATCTTTAGATAGAATATTAGGCTACACACCTCAACAAATAACATGGTTTAGTGAACCATGGATTTCATAATTATCTCTGTATTTCAAGATAATGGGTTATTAACTGTGTCACTTGAGAACAAAGTGTTTGAAAACAATTATTATAAATACTTGTACTTCGTTCTACTGTTTTTATTGTAAAATTTTAGTTTAATTAATGTGTGTATTCTCAAACTTTAACTCAAACACCAGACAATTATTTTCACTAACATGGTGAATGTATTTCAATAAAAAATTTAGATAGTTATTGTTTTTCTTATCTTTTTAACTTACCGAGTATAGCAGGTGATAGTATGGAAGCCAGTCCATGTGTGAGGTCATAAATATAGAGCTCCACCGGTACACCAGTCTCTGAAGCCATCTCCTCGCAATTGTATCACTGCTGGCACAACATTAAATTTTAATTGCATATATTTAATGCTCTATTATGAATTAAATAGATACATTTGATAAGATTCAACTGCATTTATTACAATACTTTCAAAAATTTTATGGGACTAAAACCTTAAACTTTTTATAAGGAAGTTTTATTTGTAGACATGTCAGTCTTATCATATAAGGTAGATTACACCTAACATTCATGCACTTTAACTGCCCGCTAATTATATCCTTTACTATTATACTGGGTTAGCTGATTAATTGATTAAAATTCAAAATATCTATATATTTCTATATAATCAAAGTATAGAAACTATTAGAGATTTATAATTTTTACTCAAAAGTAAAAAAAAAATTATAAGCATTCAAGTTAATAAAAAGTACTGAAATATTCAAACATTGATGGACATATATTTGCTATATACCCCGATTATTTACTGTACATGTTACTGTTTGTATTTCTAAAGTTTATTCTTGTTTGGAGAATAACAAATAGACAATATACATACGAAATATGCGAAACTTTAGTCACCGTTGAGAATTACACTCTTCACTCCAATAATTAACACTATATCGTTCATAACAAGTACCTAGTTATCATAATATTGTCAACAGTGACACGAGAGATCTACACTGTATCGATTGATCGTAAATCGCGAGCTCACGGGCAGCCTGCAAAGATGCAGCGCGACGACACCTGCGCCGCCGCGGAGTGCCGAGTGCGGCTTTACGTAGACACCTACCTACGCACCACCGCACCAATGTCTCGCGCCTAACTCCACGCCGCTACACCTACACTAACGATCCCGAAACACTTCGGTCGTTCTACAAACCAAACTTTAGACTTCAATATTATTAAAAGCATTACACCAAAAATTAAAACACGAAAATAAATATTGTACACAAACCTTGGTTAATAGATGTTTTCTTTTTTACCCAGTAGTTTTGAAAAACACTTAGTAACTACATTTAATATTGTAAATGTTGTACAAACTTCTGATCTTGCTTTAAATTCTACGTTTCTCCGAATTATTAATTAAAAATAAATATATAAGACATGCAACATTCCGAATTATGGCAGTTTTATATGGAACAAATCAAGGCATATCTGTATCCGGTATAATACAAACACGATTTTAAAAAATCTAAGATGACGAAAATACCTAGACAATTGATAACACGAAATGATTTAAATATTTTTTGTCATTAGAAACATATGAGTATGACATTTGGTATGACATTGACAACGTCACTTATGACACTACATGTTAGTACTAAAGGTTTTAGAGAACACGTAGCTAAAAATTTCAAAATAAATTCTTTGTACAAAATGCAAAATAATAAAAATATTTCATAAGTATATTTTGTTTTAATAGAACTTAATGAACTAATAATCAAGATTGTTCGAAATTATCACAGACACGCTACATAAAATTAGTAATAAATTACAAAATTGTCAAAACCTAATAACATCACTACAAAAATCACTTATATGACAATAGCACAGTTCTAAGGACCAATATAATCTAAATATCCAATAGATTTAAATACATATTTTTTAAAATTTTGTTTTAAAAAAGTAATTTCGAGAAACTATCAAACTCAAATAATAGATTAAAATATAGATAGGATTAGAGAAATGGTCTTTCAGAATCCACCCAAATGTCGCAGCGAAGTATTTATTACAATGATCTATATCAATTAAATTAGTAAAAGATTTGACTTATAATTATTACAAATTTAATTTATTATGCCAATAAAATAGTATTTTCGCGAAACAAGCATAGCAAATACTAATTTTAGAGACAAGCTTAGAGAATGGTCAGTCTGATATCTGTAACATATCAGACGAAAGAACAGCACTATAACGTCAATGGCATTTGTGTCATGTCATGACCGATGACATGTTTGTCATGTCAGTATTTTGTTCTGTTGGTGTTGTATAGTTTATTTTAGTTTACATTGAACATGTCGGGATCAAAGAAAATGGTAATATTAATATTATATCACAAAAAATAATAGGGTGTTCGTTGCCGAATCAACATATTACCAACAGTAATGTAACCGTTCAAAGGATATACACGAGGCTACCGAATTTCGCTGTTACTCAAAGATTTTCTAATATTTGCTTAATTTCAACTTAATCTACTTATATAAAGGAGTTTTTTAGTCGCTATTATTTACATTTTATCACCTGTGGAACGTTGTGTAGCAGGATGGCCTAATTACGATGACTGTGCAATTTCGATGACTACGGTCAGGGATCACTGATTATTCGCTATTAGTAGCAGTTTGTTTGATGTGTATGATTGTGGGTATGATTCAGACGCTGCGCGTGCAGTCGGCGGAGGGCACGGCGCGCGTGGAGGCGCTAGACACGGACGCGACGGCGACGCTGTTCGAGCGCGTATACGACTCACTGCGGCTCACCACATACGGTTTCACGCTGCACAAGGACCGCCAGCGCAAGGAGGAGATCACGTCGAGCAAGTCGCGGCAGTTGCGCGACTACAGCCTGCAGCACGGCGACATGCTCTACCTGAGCCCTGTCAATGGAGCTGTACTGTTTGACCAGCCGTCCACAAGTCAAGATGTAAGTGGAACATTTTTATAATGTAACATAGTTTATGTGAAATATAACATAAAAGTTGCATCAATTTATTATTCTGTCTGATTTATCAACATTGGAAAACTTTTAAGTACATCAGCCACAGTTAGGCAAAGCTAAATGTAAAAATCCTATCTGTTAGTTGGGATGTAACCCACTCATGTACCAATTGTCACTGAAATCTTTTCATTTGTTTATATTAGTATCAATAATATTAACAAACTTTTATATTTATAATATTAATAGGATTTCTAATCTCAGCATGTAGATGCCAAGGTTACTCTAGAGGATATTCTTAGTCAGTATAATGACTAAATTTTGTTTCAATTTGTAAGTTATTAAAAATTAAAAAACCGAGACCACAATAACTGTGTATCATTCATTATTGAAACATGACAATTGTTTTTGTTGCCAGACTATTATTAAAGCTTTCGAAGAGCCAAGTGAGGCAGGCCCATCAACAGCTCCCACTCCTGCTGCACCGCGGCAGGTTAACATTGAAGAGGATGAGGTGGATCTGCTGTTGTACAAATGTCCCGGTACTATTCAAAGACAACGAGATGAAAAATTGTAAGTGTATTAACCTTCTCAATTTTGATTACACACAAACAATATTGTGACATTTGTATGAATTTACCTAATTTGTTCATAACTTATGATTCTGTATTGGTGGTGCTTTATAAAGCACACAGTCTAAATAACTCCTTCTTACCAGTTGTCCAATGAACATATACAGATCAATAAATGTGTTCCAATCTGTCATGTAATTATTTTGAACCACTGGTTTTTCGTAACATTGCTAAAACTGTATGTTATATACTATTTCAGATGCCGACACAACTCTAAAGGATGCTGTGTGCACTGTTCTCCACTTGAGCCGTGGGATGAGGGCTATCTCAAGGAACACAACATAAAGCACATGTCTTTCCATTCTTATTTAAGGAAGACCAAATCTGGGCAGTTCATATCATTAGATGAAATGTCATGTAAAATTAAACCAGGTATGTAAAATTATTATATAAAAAAAAATCATATGAATTTCTTGATGATTTTATAGTTTTATTTCATATTATTATTTCTTAAAGTTGTTTTTCTACTAATTTTCATTCAAATTTGCACAATAGATGAGATGATGTGCATAAAGTAAAAAATATGATGGATTAATTGATAGCTGGATAGAATTTTTAAAAGACCAGTTTCAAAGAAGTTTTCAAAGTAATATTAACAAATTTTAAGAACAAAATTATAGCTAAATAAAATCAGACCTAAAATGTAGTTTAAATTTTTACAAGTATGTCTGTTTCTTCTTCTAGATTGTCTTGAGTCTGATATTGTGATGAAAAATTAATAATTGCAAATTTTTAACTGAAGTAGATAGTAAAGCAAAAAAATGATCAGGCTGCAATGAAAATGTACTGCTACGTGTTTGTATAAAGGTATTGGAACACTGTAATAGTGGGGAGTGGCAGGAAGTTTAAAGGCTGGTTTGTATGCAGGCTGCAAAGAGCACCCGCCGTGGCCGCGCGGCATCTGCTCCAAGTGCCAGCCGGGCGCCGTGACGCTGAACCGGCAGCCGTACCGCCACGTGGACAACGTGCTGGTGGAGCACCCCGCGCTGGTGGAGCGCTTCCTGGCCTACTGGCGCGCGACCGGGCTGCAGCGGCTCGGGCTGCTGTACGGCCGCTACGAGCCGCACCCCGACGTGCCGCTGGGCGTCCGCGCGCGCGTGGCGGCGCTGTACGAGCCGCCGCAGCGCTGCGGCCGCGACCACCTGGCGCTGGACGCCGACCCGCACGAGCGCCTGCTGCAGCAGCTCGCCGCCGGCCTCGGCCTGCGCTGCGTCGGCTGGATCTTCACCGACCTGCTGCCCGACGACCGCGCCAAGGGCACCGTCAAGCACCTGCGGTACTCGTTTCTTCTATATCACTAACCGCCATTCCTCCAACTTGCCGTGAGGAGGGTAATAATGGGAATAGCAACCCTATTACTAGCAATATACCTCAACCTCCTCGTGGTATTTTTTTTTTGTACAACTTAGAATGACAAACAAGCTGATGGCCCATCTGATGGAAAGTGGTAACCGTCGCCTATAGACATGAGCAGTACCATGGACATAACAGAGTACACTGTTTCGCCCATGATACGCCCCATGCATTGCCATTCCTGAGGACTCAGGTTTTATTCCTCTGTACCCAGTAAATTTACTGCCATATCCCACCCTTCAAACCGAAACACAGTCATGCAAATACAATTATTTCACGGTTGAAACACGAATGGGACAGAGGTACCACTGGAAACTATCCTGTATGAATCAATCATTAATAAAATTGTCACTATGGGCTAACTGGACCTACTCCATCTTCACCTATTATTCTTCACTGGTGCCCCGCCAGTGTATACCGATAGCGCAGGCGAGGTAACCATTCTGTTACCATTCATTAAAAAAGTTGTCATGATGTATTGGTAACTGCCCTAAAATAACTCATATGATAACCCAAAAATAACTATGTTCCGAGTGCTTTAGATACACTGAATTTTGTGACAATCTGCTGAGCACCTATTGCTTCTAAAGGTGTCACCGTAAACAATGTATAATAGTAACCAACTAGCAAACATTATACTCAAATCCTGGCACACAGAGAAATAACACCCGAGTCCTCAGGAATGGCAACGCATGGGGGGTATCATGGGCGAAACAGTATACTCTGTTATGTACGTGGTACTGCTCATGTCTATAGGCGACGGTTACCACTTTCCATGAGGTAGGCCGTCAGCTTGTTTGCCATTCTAAGTTGTATAAAAAAAAAAACATACTTATTTGAAACTATGTAAACAAAATTTGTTTCCAATAGATTTCATTAGTAGAAAATTACATACTAGTACATGCCCCTACGCATCAGAGATTGCCAAATAACGTCGAGATCAACACGACATATGGATAAAACATTGCTTAGTATAACAACGTTAAACTGTGTTGTTTTATTGATGTACGTCCGCTTGTGCTGCAGTGGCGTGGACACGCACTTCCTGTCGGCGCAGGAGTGCATCATGGCGGGCCACTACCAGAACCTGCACCCCAACGCCTGCCGCCACGCCTCCTCCGGCTACTTCGGCTCCAAGTTCGTCACTGTCTGCATCACAGGTTAGTCGCGCGCCCTTGCATACTTTTACCTTTACAAGAATAGCTACTTTAGTAACCAAACTAAAGTGTAGTTTTACAATATATTATGAATTCACTGCAATTAGACAAGCAATTGTGAACGCGTATATATTTTAGAGTATTCTCTGATAAATATCAAATATGAAACTATTGGCATTTGGCATTCCATTGTTTCTGCCTACCCTAATGGGAGACAGGCGTGACAGATATGTATGTATATGTATGTATGAAACTATAAGAGTGAGTCCATTCGAAACATTTAATTCATAATATAATATTATAAATAAAAATAAATAATACTATGTGATTTTAACTGTCATCAAAAGTGGACGGTTCTCTCTGTAAATTGCTGTGCCCCTATGGGGTGTCACGTGTCACTTATGTGCTCACTTATTATAATGTCTAATTTGTACCACGTGGCATGCGAATAAATATAAATAAATAAAGTGGTAAGTTAAGCGCGAGTGAGTGAGCTATGTAACACGGCGGTGTGGCTGGCGGCAGGGGACAGCAAGAAGCAGGTGCACCTGGAGGGCTACCAGGTGTCGGGGCAGTGCCAGGCGCTGGTGCGCGACGGCGTGCTGCTGCCCACGCGCGACGCGCCCGACCTCGGCTACATCCGCGACTCCAGCAGCCGCCAGTACGTGCCCGACGTCTACTACAAGGTCAGTCTGCAATCTAATGGACACTAACAATCCCATTGCTAGCAGTATACCTTGCCAGGGCGCGCTTCCCCCTCGAAACTATCATGGTTAATTCCTTATGAATTCATCATGATCATTGATGGGCTAGCTGGCCTGTTTTCATTCTCATCGATCACCCTTCAGCTCTCCCTTCCGGATTGGTGATCCGCCAGCGTATCCCGTTAGCGCAGGCGGGGTTACCGTTCAATTTTTATCCATCAAAAAAATGTATGTATTAGCCCAGTAGCAGATGCGTTAAATATCAGTTAACCTCATCAAAATTAATGTAGATATCCAACTGGCATGAGCGTTATTGATGGTGATACTCTTTTTACCACCGTCACGTCCAGACGAACCCAATATGCAGATATCAGAACAGTATCAATGTTACTCATGTCTACTTTGTACCACTTTTACTAGAAAATTAATAGATTTATTAACTAGCATTTTTCGTAAATACATATTTCGTGAGTACATAGGACATACATACACTGTCGGTCAAAAGTTTGAGACCACTATAAAAAATATAAGAAAACAAATAAAAGTCTATATATTTTAAACTTTATGAAAAACAGAACACAAGATTTGAAATTCAAAATTTACATGAAGTCTTGACAAATACAATGTTCTAAAGAAAACACACAAGAGACTAGAGGGATTTTTCATCAAAATATCCTCCTTTGCATTTTATGACCCGTTTTACCAATTTTTGAAAGCATGCAAGCAATTAATTTGTTTTTAGTCTCCTGGGAGATATTCTTCTAGCTTTCGTCTAATGCATTCCACATGGCCTACTGTGAAGTGGGATATTGTTCTCGCACGTTTTGGTTAAGCTCTTCCCACAAAAGCTCCATAGGTTAAGATCGGGGTTTTGGGGTGGCCATGTCATGTTTTTAACACTTTTTCCGACTGTTTTCATCTAAATAGCCCCTACATAATTTTGAACTGTGCTCTGAATTATTATCTTGTTGGAAAATAAATCTTTGGCCGATTAACTTTAGTCTGGAGGGAATAGCATTTTTCTCCAAAACCACTTTAATTTGGACCAGATTTCCAGTCCCATAGCCTGAGAAACAACCCCAGACTATAACAGATCCGCCACCATGCTTAACAGTCGGGACTCTACACTGTGGCATCATCTTTTCTTCGGCGGAACGTCGAACGAAAATTCTGCTATTTGGACCGAATATTTCAATTATAGATTCGTCACTCCATAGCACTTTTTTTAAATTTTCTTCGGTCAATTCTCGACCAGATAACTTGGCGCCTCGCAGTCGTCTTTGCACTGTAGACACTGACACAGGTTTTTCCCGGAATTTGTTGACTTCAACACGAATTTCTGGGGCTGTTAGGTATCTATTTCGTTTGCTGGTTACCACAATAAATTTATTTTCACTAGAAATCGTATCTCTTGGTCTCCCGGAGCACGAACGATTTTGATTACTGCCAATTGTTTATACCGTACAAAAGTGCAATGAACACAAGTCTGCAAGTCTTCGATAATTTAAGTCGAGATGCAATCTCACGTCAATTTGCCTTCATATTGGAGTTGTTCTCCAATATTATCGAACTATTTCTTCCCCGGCTCACAATTGAAAGTTAATAAACAATGTATGTTTATTGCTCTTTTTTGGCTTATATACAAAAGAATAAGCTTTTAGACAATTTTTATAAACAATAGAATATGCAGGTGTGCAGATTACTTTTTGTCACTAATATTTTGGAAATATTTGCTAATAATAAAAGGTTTTTTATTAGTGGTCTCAAACTTTTGACCGGCAGTGTACATAGAATGCGTACATCGCATCGGAGTTCACAAAAGGAATAAATTTTCCCCATTTTTGCAACATTTTTTTTATTGATGTTTCGCTTCTATTAGTCGTAGCGTGATGTTATAGCTTTCCTCGCTGAATGGGCTATTAAACACTGAAATAATATTTCAATTTGAACCAGTAACTTCTGTGATTACTGTGTTTATCCAAACAAACAAACTCTTGAGCTTTATAATATTAGTATATAGAGGGGAAATGGATTGTTAGTAATGGAGACTGAGAATCCCATTGCTAGCAATATACCCAACCAGGTCGATCTCCTCGCGGTTCCCCCTAGAAACTATCGTGGTTAATTCCTGATGAATTCATCATGATGGGCTAACTGGCCTGTTTTCATTCTCATCTATCACCCTTCACTGGTGCTCCGCAAGCGTATTCCGTTAGCGCAGGCGGGGTTACCATACCATTTTCACCCAACAAAAAAAAATGGTATGTAGATATGTATATATAGAAGATCAAACAAATACAAAAGAGACATACTCATAAATGCAAATGTTTGCGTTCTACTGGAATTGAACCCGCGACCGTTAAAAGATTAGACGGCATATTAAATCATGCATCACCGAGGTCTCCTATCAATAAAGAATACAATCTATAGCATTCTTGATGTATGAATAGTACAAAAAAAATTGTGACTTGTGTTAAATATACTGGACGTCACCAGAGGGAGACTGTACAAAAGTAGTTTGCTTGGCCACCTCTGTCCCATTCGTGTTTCACCCGTGAAGCAGTTGTGTTTGCATAACTGTGTTTCGGTTTGAAGGGTGGGATATAGCAGTGAATTTACAGGGTCCAGAGGTATAACTCCTTAGAACTAAGGAATAGCAACGCATGGGGAGTATCATGGGCGAAACAGTATACTCTGTTATGTCCATGGTTCTGCTCATGTCTATAGACGACGGTTACCACTTTCCATCAGGTGGGCCGTCAGCTTGTTTGCTAAGTTGTATAAAAAAATCTACTATACAGATTTGAATGAAATTTGGTAAATTTGGTTTCTAACATAGAACAATTTTTCTAAATTAGTGATAAGTTAAGTAAAATTAATGTCTAATTTGGTAGCGTAATTTTTTTACGTCTGTTACACCACCTGTACATATCGTAAGGTGAGAATAATAAATTAACAATATATATTTATAAGGTATAAATGGGAATGAACAAAAATATCACAACCAGGAAATCTTATCACGATTTCTTGTAACATCGCTGCAACAGTGCTGTAATGTCTTTGTGTTGCAACTGTTGAATTCTGGATTCTATTTGTGTTATAAAATAAATTAAAATTGTAAATAAAAAGATGTATTTAAATATGTTTCGGATTTGCTGCTGCACTAGATAGATCGAAAAGTTACTGGCCTGTGTTATTTATGGATGTATTGTAACTTTTTAATTTTGAATTTTCTAAACATTGTACAGCGGGTTTAATTTTTTTTATAACATTTCAAGGCAAAACTGTGTTTGAAGTCCTTGCAAAGGAAGGTGGCAATCTAATCAATTATCAAACGAACGTTAGATATCGCGTACGGCAATTTATTTCCTTTGTTTTCCCCCATCAAAAATTAGTGTAAATAATTTAGTTTTAAAAATAGTTATTGAAGAACCTCACTGCGGTCGACTCGTGGAGGCATTCACTCCAGATAACAGCAGGTAAGTGAAGGAACTTCTGCAAGACCGGTGATTCCAGGGATTTCAAACTGTGCTGATTAAGGATTGTTAATGAATCACACACATATAAATGAAGTCAGACGAGTGCCAATACTTCTTTTCAGTGTGCAACAAAATGAGTAATATCATGTTCTAAAGAAGTTGTGGGAACATTTCACAAAACGAGACCGGTTTCTTGGAGTCATTTGTTATTGGAGGTGAAAGTAGCGCTCTGTAATAAGATTCTCTTTTGTCAATTCATTCGAATAATCTTTATTCAACTAGACTTGTTTTCTTTTAAATCGACATTGTTTTTTAATCGAATGCAGGCTTCGGAAAGTTGTGATCTGTTATGAAGAGCCCGCAAGAAACTTAACTGTTACTCTTTTAAATCTTTGTTAACATTATTTGTATTTATTTAAATGTACATGTCTTATTATTACATGGTCGTTAAAAAGACGATGGAATCTATAAATTTAAGAGGTTCGTTATTTAATTTTAAGTAGAATTGGAATTATGATTTTTAGAAAAACAAATATTTAAGCGTTTTGTTTTTAGCGTCCAACATTAGATTATTAGTTATAAACCAGTGCAAGAGACGCTGCAAAGCACTCGATATAAAGGGTATCCTTGTACAAGACAGACTTAATTTATAATAAAAAAATCTGGAAAGAAAAGTGATTCCTTATTATGTTCGGAGAAAGAGTGCTATGATATATATATTTTTAATCTTCTGTCTGTGCATTAAATTCAAGCATTTGCATGTCAATACATATTCCGTATAACTTTCAATTGTCATAAGAAATGAAGTAAGACATTTGTCTTTTATTTTCCCTCTAAGTGTTATAGTGTTCAATTTATCGCATGTGTCACGCAAGAAAAAGTACGGTACCCAATTCGTGCGAGTTGAACCTCACACATGTTGCTGGTCACTATTTCTTTCACGTATTATAGGTATATAAGTACGCTTAGCTTGTGAAATTTGTTCCTATGGAGTTTTTAAAAAAAGGCTACAAGTGAGCACGTACCGGTACAATATGTTCGTTGTTTAGATGGGATCATATCTGTAAATAGAAGTACCTTATATAAAGCGTTATGCTGTATCTATTTGAAATGAACAAAGTGATTGTCAGCATAGTGTATAGAATGACAGGGACCGAGCTACAGGATTTTCTTTTAAGTAAAACACCAATGATACTGCTCCATAGACTTATTTATTTATCACGAATTCGCTTCGGACATAGTAATATGCGCGTACACGTAACATTAACAAGCCCGCGGCCGCCGCGACCGCGGACGCCACCGGCATACCACACCACGTCATATAAACTATATATCGAGAAAATAAAACGCTGCTACAATATAATATGAATATAGTCAACACGAATTACAACATGTCTAGAGCGGGGCGGCCGCCGTGCGGCGCGCCCGACTACAGTGGTGCGTGGTGGCCACGCAGCCGCCACGCAGCCGCCACGCGGCACGAACAAGCTATACACGAACATCGCAACACGCCTATATAAACTTTGGTAAAATAGAAAAATAAACTTAACGAGTACGAGCGCGCCGCGAGCGCCGCGAGCGCCGCCGCGCGCGCCCCCTGCCGCCGCGGCCAGGGGGGAAGGAACGAGGAGCACGTCGTTAACATTAAGTAGTAAATATATCCGATATAAGCAGGCACTGACCGGTAGGAGGCCCCGCCGCCCCCGCTAGCTCCGCTACCTACGGTTATCATCACAGTCTTGTAAAACTTCCGGAAAATTTGTAATAATTCGTGTTATAGTAATTTATCGTCTCCTCCGCCGCTTGTTTCCGAGAGGTAACGTTTGCTTGTAAATATAATAATCTATAATGTTAAATAACGACCGACCTATGCTTATGTACAAACACGAATACGAGTAGCCCGCCGCTCGCGGCATCCCTAGCTAAAATATATTCTCTAAATTATTTAACATTTATATTGACACACATACGATCGAAACGTCACAACTTATAAAATTAGCCTGCGACGAGGCGCGACGACTCGCCGGTCGACGGTCGACGCGACGCCTCGCGCTTATAACAAAAATATATTCATTTATAATGAGATAATACCGAGTCTAGGCCCACTAGTAGCTAATAAGACGAGTAACAGAACGGCGCGAAGGTAGTAATTATCTAAACGCGGACGAAACGTTCGGAGCGCCGAGTGCATCCCTGTCGCCGGCCGCGCTACCGTCTGCGGTGAGCGATCCGCCGATTGTATACATTATGCAAACGAACAACTACACAAGCTCGAGCCGATGAACTTCGAATAAGTCGCGTAAATACTTCAAAATCTTTTTCCTACACGTATAAAAATATCTCACGGTGCGAGTACACACGAAAGTAAAACGTTGGTCCGACGGAGTAGAAATATAAGGTACTTTGATCGCGAGAGATCGGAATTTGTGAGAGAGTGATATGCACCGATGCGACGAGAGGCAGAAAAGGAGAATTCGAGAGGAGCGTCTAGTTGAGCTTACCGCAGCTCGAGATGAGGATGGTGCTGTGAGGCTTGCCGGCACTATCGCCCGTCCGGGACAGGCGGTCCACCAGCTCTAGCCCCTCCACCACGAACGCAAAGATAGCTGTGAAGCCGCGCATCTCGCGCAGCACTATGCGGAACTGCGAGCCCACCAGGCCGAGGTTGTCGTGCCGTTTCTGGGAGCGGCGCATGCCCACCGACCCGCGCACCGCCACCATCTTCGTGTCGTCCGGCATGAAGTAGCTCTCCTCGAACACGGAGCGGCCGCCGCGCCCGTTGTTCAGCTCGAAGTCGCCGGTGATGACGCTCTCGTTCTCCCAGCACTGGAAAACGGCACAGCCACGGTATCCGATGCCGAGTTCGCCCGTCGCTAGCACGGTGAAGTTGCGAGCCATCCGCGGCGCCACGTCGCTGCGCACTTCGATCACGATGCGCCCGAACGGCGACCCGTTCACCTCCAAGTTGAAGTAGAACAGCGGGTACGCGCTCGGGTTGCGCAGCAGCGGCGAGCCGATCGTCGACGTCGCCGTCGTCGTCGGGGTCGTGGTCGGCGACGCGGTCGCCTCGCCGCCCGAGTCGCACTCGAACGCGCCGCCGCCGTCGAGCGCCTCGAGCCCGTCCCCGTCGGGCTGCGGGCGCGACCGGCGCGCGAGGAAGTGCCGCGCGTACAGCTGGGCCGTGCAGTAGTTGGCGAGGAAGAGCACCGGGTCGCGGCGGTCCGGCGGCGGCGGCGGCGGCGTCTCGGCCGCGCCGAGGCCGGCGAGCGCGCGCCGCAGCAGCTCGAAGTCGAGCGGCACGGTCGCGGAGCGGATGAGGTCGTCGAGGCGGCACTGCAGCGTGGCCTCGGCGTGGCGCGCGCGCAGGCGGTCGCGCTCGGCCGCCGCGGCCGCGAGCGAGGCGGCGGCGGCGGCGGCGGCGGCGGCGGCGGCGGCGGGCGGGCGCGGCGGCGCGGCCAGCTCGGCCTCGAGGCGCAGCTTGAGCGCCGTGGCGGCGTCGAGCGCGCGCAGCAGCAGGTCCCGCTGGCGCGCGGCCAGGCGCGCGAGGTCGGCCAGCAGGTCGCGGCGCTCGCGGGCCAGCAGCGCGCGCGCCTCGGGCGGCGGGCGCAGCGCGGCGGCGTGCGGCGCGTGCTGCGCGCAGGCGCGGCAGGCGCGCGCGCCGCACGCCGTGCACCACAGCGCCGGCAGCGCGTGCGCGCCGCACGCGCCCAGCTCCTCGGGCCGCGCGCCGCCGCCCGCCAGCCGCCGCGCCAGCGCCAGCACGGCGCCGTGCGTGGGCAGCGCCTCGGCGCGCCCGTCGGGCAGCTCGGTGCGCTTCCAGCAGTGCACGCAGTATACCTCGCGGCCCTTGCCGAGCACGGTGCGCGCGCACAACAGGCAGAAGTGGTGTTTGCAGGCGAGCAGCTTGGGCGGCCTCTCGGTTTCGTCGAAGGCGCGTTTGCAGCACGAGCAGAGCGTGAGCTCCTCTATCTCGCCGAGCGGAGACGTCGCCATCTGTGGACGGACGCGGGCCATATATTCTTTCAGTAGATAGAGGTGGAGCGGTGTATCCGGCTGTGTTGACTGTGTCCGCCGGTGAAACATCGGTAAGGGATAAAATTATAGGATGAAGCGGCCGCTTGGCTCGTCGTAACGAATTTACTAGGAATTAACCACGTTTGTTTCCAGGAGAAAGCACACGATCTTAACAGTGTATCATTAGCAATGGGAACTAGTACCCCTGTCACTACTTCCGAAAATGCTAGGTGGTGAAGGTACCAGGTCGAAGGACGCGACGAGGGAGGGCGCCGCGACGGTACTCACCTCGGATGAGGAGGGCGGAGGCCGGGCCGCCTGCGTCGCTGTCGGGGCGGCTACGTCTTGTCGCCGATCTCTCGCGACATCGGGGGGTTGTGCGGAACTTTGTACTTTAGAATATCGCCCTCGAGTATCGCGCTCTATTGTGCCGTCCGCCTGCGTGTGTTTCGGTCGATTCGATCACATTTTACGATATGCGATCGCCGTTTCGTCCGGCTCGGATTAAAACTAAATAAATTAACTAAAATTTTGAAATCGATGTGGAGTGCCACATCATTTTACGTTTTGTGTACACACGCCATGTTGTTTCTCGTTTCCGCACCGAGCTTCACGTCGCTCGATCAACAGATTATTTCTGTACGGTATAGCCTTGTTCGAGCGGCCACATTGTTACTTATATATTATACAAACTAAGAAAAATAGCGTAAAAGATGCTTTAAAGGAAAAATTCCTACTTATTACTTGTATATATCTTTATACATATTAATAAATTATAGCAAATACTTAAGGTATATACAATATCACACGATATTTCCAGGTCGAGGGACTTTCTCATTTTGTTTATCTAAAAATCAATCCGTAAATAGACTAATCTCATTGTCCATTTATACAACAATAAGGATATTATTATAATTATCCTTAAAAAATTGCTAAATAATGCGGAATGTATCTAAGAGACCTTATGTTTACAATGCAATATCAACTATGTAGGTTGGTATTTACAAAATGTTTCACAGGGAACTATGGTCAAGGACAAAACTTAAAAAAAAAATACCTTTGTTATGTCCAATGAATATATTTATAAAACACATACATTTATATACTTACCATAATATCATCGCACGTATACACTAGTTAAGACATACGAACGACGCTACAAGGTTAGTTCGGGCGGCACCGGCGGCCCGCGCCAACTTCACCGCGCTCAGCGTGACGTGACATTCTTGTGATAAAGACGGGCGGGCCGGGTCACTGCGCGGCGCGCGGCTGCGTTATCAGGCGGCCGCTTATCGCCGCCGCCCGCCGCCGGCCCGCCGTCCTCGGCGGCGGCGGCCGAGCGGCGCGGCGGCGGCGGCGGCAACGTCGCGGTATCGATCCGCGCTTGTTGCGTAGCGTCCTAGCGTCCCGCACCGCGCCGGCTCACGTAACGCGATCTTATCTAACGCACACACGTGTCCACAGTTTGCATCACAGGCGCAGCCACAGCACGCCCGAGGGCTACATATTTACGTACCGACTGTACATATCTGTACAGCCGGCCTGAATCAATAAGCATACCTACCTACTTCGAATAAGCATTTCAGGAAATAGATACGGCCCCACTTTGCTTGCCTTTGGTTGCTCGATGATATCGTTAGCTCTTGTAGCTGTGCCGTGGTCGCATTTGGGTTGTTTTGCATACATACATACATACTTTAATTACAATCACAAATTATCGTATGACGCGTCATTTACGTACCTACGTACATATGAAAAAAATGTATACAATGTTTGCGTGTGTCAAGTTATCAATCGACTCAATTTGAATACCTATTTAAGAATTTTATAAACAGTATAGATAGGTAAATAATAAAATAATCTCTAACACGAAACTTTGAAGAACACAATTATATCATCATGAGAGCATTGGCACATGTTGTCTGTGTGTTGCATCGTTAGAGTGGAGTTGGTGTGACTCTTTGCTAATAAGTAAAACATCAAGTGTGTCTATTACGAGCGTTCTCGGTGGTCCGCCGCACTGCTAGGCCATTTGTCTGCTATTGAAGTTAGCTGTTCTATAAACAGAATACAATACTTGAACACCTTGCTCTAAAGTTAGAGCGCGTGGCTAGGTAGTTAATTATTGTTGCTTTATTGCCGACGGTATCGCTTGCCATGAACGTAGCTACTATAAAAAAATTGTAAACGAAACCTAACTACTTTTATTTAAAGGTTTTCTTGTAAATTTCTTGCATTTATTTGTGCAATATCAAATTGGTTTTAAAAGCGACCTTTTTTTTATTAAAAATCTATTTAGATGTTTTAATTTATTTATTTTATTTACTATAAATTCATTGTTAAAACGTTAAGACATGAAAGTGTACCAAACTTGCCGCGTCATTTGTGTGTTCCTGTCTCCACCGTTCCGTTTCCATGCTGTTTTATCCCTATCGTATTCAGCGAGTCCATTAAACAGCAATCAATCGAACGACGCGCACCAAACTGTGAAATAGCGATGTCTATACATAGAAATGTACCTAGATGCCTTGTATTTCCTGCGTGGCCCTGACCTACCTCTATACTTTCGTAATAATACCCAGTAGACAGGGGCCTGCTGCCTGTTCAGTGAAACTTGAGGCTTGTAGCGACAGTTGCTGCTCTCTGCAACTGGATACGTTACTCGTATTCGCTTTACCGTTTTAGATTAACATCTAAAATGGTAATTTAAATGTTTATAAATTAATTTGACAGATACATTTTGCACCAAAATGAAGTAACTTCTGTTGTGAATACACACGTCGATAAGTGACGGCATGTAAAATATTTTGATTTAGAACTCTCAATCGTTTGTCCGTTAGTATTGTATCTAGTCACATTTAGTATCTAACCTTGTGTATCTAGTCAAATAAAACGGCTGCTTAAATTGCCACAAAATATAGGATTTCCGCAAAAGTAAAGTCTATCGATTACAAAATCGTTATGAACTCAGTTCAGGATCGGCTACGCAATTGCGCATCATAGCTACAACATATTTCTAACGATTTGAATCCTCTTCAATCGATTAATTAATAATTTCAAGCAGTTTCCAATAGAGTTTAAAACTATTTAATTGGTATGATAAGTAACCTTGCATTTGGGAATCTTGCATACTTATACCCACTCGTACTAGGTAGATAGAGAGTTATATAGTTTATTTGCATAACTTACAGCACATAAATAACAACAGAACACATTTACAAAAAAAGCCAAATTGCATAAAAGAAGTAAAAATTTTGCCCTTCATGCGTGTGCCATAGCAACACAAAATGGTCACAACTCAGTTTATTGCTTTGCCCTTGAAAGAGCAAAACATTGATATTTTGTTGAGGCCATAAGTCAGTCGCGAAATTACTTAATAAAAATAAAAAAAGAAATGTAGATAAAATACATTGGGTGTGTACATCACTAATTTAATTTCCCACTATCTCAATACGACGTAATTCGAACCTGTGTCTCTCAGCAATCTGGGAGAGGTAAAAGTTTGGTTGTCAGATAGATGATGTCCTAAAACCTAAATTTCCTTTTTTAATCGTAATTCACGCAGGCGATCCCTCGGTTTACGGCGAATATTCTTGTCAAAGTACCAAAACAACAGGCACAGGCTAATACAAGGTTACGGTTCAGTATAGGTTTCTAGATTTGCCGCAATAGGGATCGCATGCGTGGAATTGGTACGGGCGCGGTGCTCACAGTGCCGCAAGGCTGGTATCGCGGTGCGATTGTGAGAGATCATTGACTCGAGTGTTTGGGGCGCGAGCGGCATTCGCGGGTCAAGGTCGCGGTCACCCCCTCCGCCGCCCCTCTTCCCGCCGCCTCGCCCTGCCGCCTGTGACATTCGACGTTTGAAAACAATGAAACAGTGCCTGTATTAGTAAAATTTAGATATTTAAGTCAACTCCAGACTAAAGTACTGTCGATTTTTTTAAATTTGAGGCAATACTTTAATAGAATTGTTTGACACGATATCCACCTTTTATCTTCACACCGCTTCTCTGGAGCAAGGATTCAGGTTTTAGAGGAGTTGTCATTCCACAATATGAGCGTTCACGGACACTCAGATTGTGGATGGAACTTCTTGTCGAGATTTTCACTAGAGACTACGTACAGCGTCGGGTTTTTCAAAAAGGACCTACGAGGTTTGTCCGGAAAGTACGTATAAAAGTTTTTTAAAAATTTTATTTTACAATTATTCAGGTAAATCAATTTTATCCCCTTCAAAGTACTCCCCCTGTGACATAATGCACTTGTGCCAACGCCGTTTCCACTGTGAGAAGGCTCCTTGAAAGTCCTCTGGTTGTAGGTTTCTCAGCTGCCCCGTCGTAGCTTTTTTTATCTCATTTATGTCCCCCAAATGCCGCCCCCGAAGTACCAATTTGGTTTTTGGGAACAAGAAGAAGTCACACGGGGCCAAATCCGGCGAATAGGGGGGGTGTTCGGTCACCGTAATGGAATTTTTACTCAAAAACTCACGGACAACAAGAGAGGTGTGGGCAGGGGCATTGTCGTGGTGAAGAATCCAACGCCCCTCTCGCGCCAATTCTGGACGAACTCGTGCCACACGAGCTTTGAGGCGTCTGAGCACATCGACGTAGAATTTTCCATCAACTGTCTGGCCTGGAGGAACGAATTCTTGATGGACAATCCCCGAACATCGAACTCTTTCTCGGCCCTCTCTGAATCTTTTTAGCCACTTGTGGACGGTTGGTTCCTTCACAGCATCATCCCCATAAACTGTTCTGAGATCGGCAAAAATTTCACGGCCATTCTTGCCGAGTTTCGAGAGAAACTTGATTACGACGCGCTGCTCTTCAACGGAAGCGGGCTCCATGCCGACGGGGTTTCGTTAAGAGGTAACTTCACAGATGGCGTGACAAGCCAGTTCGCACCGCACGGCGGTCCGACCAGAACTGAAGCATTGTTAGGGACATAAGGAAGGGGTCCTGCGCTTACCTGGCCTCCCCACTCCTCTTTCTCGCATTCCAGAACACTTTTATACGAACTTTCCGGACAGACCTCGTATATGCGCGTGTATACGGTGTAAACGTTTATAGATTATGAAGAAAATAATTAGAAATTTAAACTGGAGAGCATTTGAAATGTTCTTTTAAATCAACACCTATAGGAGGTGAAATAGATCGGGTGCACAGCCACAGGTAGAAGCTTATCTAATTTATGCACTCACTAATCAGTCATCCCCTGTTCTTAAAGGTTCCTAGCTACCCAGTGGCGAGAGTGTACGCGGGAGGATTACTACCCAGTGTTAGTAATGGGGGTTAGTAAGTAAGGAGAGGTTAGTTCTCATTGCTATCAATATGCTCTATCAGGTCGACCTCTACGCGGTTTCCCCTAGAAACTATCGTGACTAATTTATCACGATTGAATTCGTCACGATGCACTAACTGATCAATTTTTTTTTCATCCTCACCAATCATCCGTCACTGGTGTCCTGCAAGTGTATATCGATAGCGCAGGCAGGGTCACTGTTTCATTATCATCTATTAAAAAAAACCAGCGAGTGGCAGTAGATTAGCCATAGCCTACTAAACAAGGGTTCCGGGAACGTGACCGGAGAAATGGTACTGTTTATATTTAGTTTATTTATAGATTTCTAAATGCCAGAACTGTAAGTGAGAGCACTTGTATTATTTCCACAGGTTTTCATTCATTCTATATCGTCATAGTCGTTAAATGCTGACGGATCTATATATGTAATATTTGTCAGATCCGTCAGTATTCTACCACTATGACGATATGTAGCACAAACATTTTGCTGAGCTAATATTATACTATGTAATGAGGGTTGAGCGCTGTTGTCTGAGATACAGGTTTTATAACCTAGTTCAGATACAGATGTTTAAGCTGATCCAAATGTACAAATAAATCCGTGTCTACTTTTACTGTAATTTCCAATGTTGAATTTGTTACAATCGTGGTTATGCAATAAAGTTATTATTATTATTATATATTTTGCCATATCAAGCCGTTATCAAAAGCAGAAAGCCTTCATCAACACGATTCTGAGAATGTTAACGTATTACATAAGCAACCTTGTGTACTGACGTCCGCCTCCCATCAGTATATTGTACCATTGTTCCTACAACTATATGTAGGTACTTTTAATACAAATAAACGATACAAAATTCTCATTGTGAAATAAATATAAAATAGATTTATGTCATCATTATTATTATTTCCTCGGACTCTTACAAATGACACTTAGTTTATTTATAATTACATATTTGCTAGTTCATTAATTGTAAATTGTTATAAAAATTATACAATTTTATTAAAGATTCAAGATTTTTCAAGAATATGATAAAATATTAAAATTATATTTACGACTTGATTATTCTTAAATGTTAAATTCCCTATTAGTTTTCTAACACGACCTTTCTCCGTCGACTTGATTGGCGTTATCGCATGTAGTTTTCAATATGTTTGCCGCTGTATTTAGGTACATCATGTGCAGAAGCCGCAGTGGTGAGGTTTTGTAGCGGGATTGCCCCGACTAGTTTGCGGTGGCTATTTTAATTTTATATTGGTACTGTCATCCTGTGGGTTATCGCACATGACTAATTAAATCTAAATATAAAAATCCATAAATCGTCAATACATGATGCGACAAACATTGTATTTGAGGTCATCACCTCCATGGCGTAGCTGTAGCTACATTGCGTATTGAAGTTCCGTGTTCAATTCTTGGTTGAATTTACTTTTTATTATTTAAACTTTATTAGTCAACAAAATGTAGTACAAAAAGTAGACTTATTGCTATAGGCAACTTGTCCAGTCAACTTGTGTGATGAATCGCTTTACTTTTTTACGAACTATTCTAAATTTAGAATAGATTGTAAAAAGTAAAGCCACGAGTCTGTTCTGGGTTGTGCCTTCAAGTGTTTATTGTTTAACTCCTCATAATACAGAGTAACCTAGTGCGGGGTACAAGCGATTATGTGATTGTACGCTCACACACAAGACTACGCTTGCCTTAATGTACCTATTATTTGCTCAGATTTACATTAACATGAAGCTTCTGAGCTCTTCGATCATCATTACTAAAAAAACCTGGTCGAGCGAATATCATTTCACTGACTACTTCAAGACAAACCAAACTGTGCTTTATCAATTTTGTAATTAAGATTTTATTTGAATTAATAATAATTTTTATTTCAGACTTTTTGATCCATTAAATATTTATTAGTAACAATATTCTTAAAACTAATGTTAGTAAATTTACATACACAATACACATACACACATACAATATATTAAGCAGTATACAGATAATCACCACTGCACAATTCCATTGGAAATTGCGCAGCAGCGATAAACGTACACACAGTGCAGCCTGCTCGCCATCATACTCAGGATGCTGTTGGCGCTGGCACGTACTCTGCGCACCAGGGATGCACACCTTTTCCGCATCGTGGCATAAATACAATCTACACGATGCTCAGCGAACATCCCTGACGCGCTACAGAATGGCGGCAGCCCCATCAACACCCATTGCTATATTTCTCTCGTTATTCAAATCGGAACAGAGTATAATGCTTGCATAGCTGCTTGATTGTATGACTATTCTTAGTAGACAAAGATGAAATATCTAATGAATAGATGTGTCTATGAGTGGTTCTCAGGACCAGTATTTATAATCACATACCATTCAGTACCCTAACTAGTTGCCCATGTCGTCTTTGTTTTTAATGAGTGAAAGCGGAATGGTAACCTCGCCTGCGCTATCGATATACGCCGGCGAAGCACCAGTGATACATGATAGGTGAAGATGAAGACAGGTCCATAGGGGTTAGCCCATCGTGAAGAATTTAACAAGAATTGATCACGATGGTTTCCAAGGGGAACCGCGTGGTGGTCGACCTGATAGGGTATATTGCTAACAATGGGGCTGTTATTACCTATTACTAACAATCCCTTTTCCCCCTGTCGTGTTTGTTACCGTACCGTATATAAATATATATAACGCGGCCTCGTGTGGTGTGCGTACCAGGAGAAGGACGAGTACGGTAACGAGGTGGGCGTGTCGGCGAAGCGGGTGCCGGTGGCGTACCTGCTGGTGGACGTGCCGTGCGGCGTGGCGGGCGCGGGCTGCGTGCCCACGTTCTCGCCCGCCGCCACCTTCCCGCCCGCCAACCGCGCGCTGCACCACCACCTGCAGACGCTGCGCGCGCTGCACCAACACATATGCGCCGCCGACACCTTCCTCGAGGTACGCCTGTTGCTCATACCTCATCTCATGCTTTAATAATAGTACATTGTGTTTTTGATTGACCGATGTTATGGTCTTATATTTGAAAGTATCTACGCCAAAGTAGCTGCAAATATATATATATATATATATATATATATATATATATATATATATATATATATATATATATATATATATATATTTTTTTTTTTTTATACAACTTAGAATGGCAACCAAATTTTTTTTTTATGCAACTTAAAATGGCAAACAAGCTGACGGCCTACCTGATGGAAAGTGGTAACCGTCGCCTATAGACATGAGCAGTACCGTGGACATAACAGTGTATACTGTTTCGCTCATGATACCCCCCATGCGTTGCCATTCCTGAGGACTCAGGTATTATTCCTCCGTACCCAGTAAATTCACGCCATATCCCACCCTTCAAACCGAAAGACAGCCATGCAAACACAACTGCTTCACGGTTGAAACATGAGTGGGACAGAGGTACCCAAGCAATCGACTTTTGTACAAAGTCTCCCTCTAGAAATTAGATGTTAACATCAATAAAGCCATCGTATCGTGTCGCTAGTCTAGTGTCAGATGAAAGTTGTCAAGAGCGCAGTCGTCTTTCTTATTGAAGACTTAAGTTCCTAAACAAGCTATTATACTTATTCTTTTCGTTCATTAAAATGTTTGTAAGAATTTTCCATATAATCTTAAAATCTGCTGAGTCAGTAATTAGTAATATTCTTGTATGTTAACATTTTACTGATCTAGGTGTTATCTTGCGAAAGTTCATATCACTGGTTAGTAAATTAAAATTATTTCGTTCAATTCCGCTACCATTACTATGTGTGTGACTGCCAACACTCGAAGATTGTCCACAACTATTACTGCTAGAAGTTCCACATTCTTTCATTACAACTTTCAATCTTCAAGCCACGTTTGGGCGCTTAACGGTTAACACTAGGCTCCGAGCAAGGATTTAATAATTTGCCTGAAGATGCCTCGTTTAGAAGTGTAACAGAACGTGCGTCGCAAAACGTGCGCGAACAAAATTGCAGTCTAAGATTGACAGCTAATATGGAAGATTAGGGGGGAAAGGTATTGTTAGCAATGGAGTTCGACATTGCTAGCAATATGCCCTATTAGGTCGACCTCCACGTGGTTCCCCCTAGAAACCATCGTGAACAATTCTTGTTGAATTCGTCACGATGGGCTAACTGACCTGCTTCATCCTCACCTATCATCCCTCACTGGTACCCCACCGGTGTATACCGATAGCGCGGGTGGGGTTACCATTCCATTATCATCCATTAAAAAAAAAATATGGAAGATTGTGGAACTTCAGTGGTCAATCTTCTAGTGTTGGTAGTCACACACATACTAATGGTAATGGGAATTAAACAAAATAATTCAAATTAAATACCTAGTCATTTGTTTCTACTCAAACAACGACGTGTATTGACTCTACCCTTTTAGATAAGTGGTAAATGAATTGATCCATGGAATTGTCGATAGCGATTCAAATTATCTTTATTTGAATACATACTTAGTTAGACATTTAGTTAGAAGGTAGTCGCTGCATCATATTCAGATTTGCATTATATTTCGAGACATAGGAGTTGTGTTAGACAATAACTGTGGTGGGCGTGCAGGCGATGTCGGACCTGCACGTGCTGCTGTACCTGGCGACGAACGAGACGCTGCCGCTGAGCCTGGAAGCGCTGCAGCCGCTGCTGGAGGCGGTGGCGCGGCGCGACGCGGCGGCGGCGGACGCGTGGCGCCAGCAGCCGCACTTCGCCACGCTCGAGCAGCTGGCGCGCGCCGCCGCCGACGCCGACCACGACCACGACTCGCCGCCGCGCCGCGCCCGTCGCGCCGACAGGTACCAGGGGCGACGTCTCATAACTGATTTACTGGACCTGCTGCCGGAGTGGTTGGACAGGTGGCGCATGGCCGTCAATGTTGACAAAACGGTCGCGCTACTTGTCCGCCGCAGTCGTACAGCACCGCCGCCGCCCTTAAGGCTCCTTAATAAGGAAATCGCGTGGGAGAGCACCGTGCGATACCTAGGGGTCGACATCGACCGGTCGTTGAGAATGGTGCCGCAGGTGTCGCGTGCCATAGCGCAGGCTCGCGCGGCGCGCGCCTTTCTCCGACCGGTGCTAACTTCCAGGTTGCCGTTACGGACGCGGGTCTCTATCTATAAGACCTACGTCCGTTCACGGTTAACATATGCCGCACCCGCTTGGTATGCACTGTGCTCTCCGACGCTTAGGCGCCGGCTGCAGGCCCAGCAAAACATCGCTCTCCGCTTGTGCACGGGAGCGGGCAGATACGTCCGTAACGACGTTATCGCCCGCGGCTTAGGGGTCCCAACGGTGGAGGAGTTCGTTGTCGACATGGCGAGCAAAATGTTCGCCCGTGCCGACAACGGACACCATCAACACTTGAGGGGCCTCGCGCCGCTGCATGCGCGTCCACCGGACGGCCGTCCCACGCCTAGGGACCTCCTGTGCACAGGCGAATAGTGATCGTGATTGCCTCGTCTACCAGTATGACGACTTACCTACCCTTTTTCCCCATTTCCCTTCTTCTTTCTCATTCCCTCCTCTCGCCCGTTCCAAGTGTGTAATTATATCCCCCGCGTCCAAGCGGGGGGAGGGCCGACACACTTCTTGTGTCGACCCTTACTAACAACCTTTATTTCTTATTAACATCTATTATATATATCTGGGAACGGGCGAGAGGGGAGAATTACAACTTTATAATAAAATAAAAAAAAAAAAAAAAAAAAAAAAAAAAAAAAATACAATATACAAGAAAGAAGAAGAGGCCACAACAAAGAATAGACACAAGAAAAGACACCACGCCGGCATACACAGACCACCAGTGTATGCCGGCTCAAAACCCAGTGACCCGGAGGTAGTTGCCTCCGGAGATGCAGCCGGGGTAAAGGGGTTTACCCCGAGACCCCTACCTCACCCGCCTACACTATTAAGGCGGGCAAGAAGACCCGGATGATGATGATGATAACTGATTTAGATGACGTTACAAAACTACTAAACCCTTTGACCTTTGAAACCAGACTGCGCGAACAGGAAATGTAACTAGATATTTTTTTAGGATGCAAATGGAATGGTAATCCTAAAAAAATATACCTATGTGAAATGGTGCTTCACTGGTGAAGAGGACCAATGAAGGATGATAAGTGTGGATGAAACAGGTCACTTGGCCCATCGTGACTAATTCAACAATAAATCAATCACAATAGTTTCCAGGAAAAGCCGTGTGGAATTTGACCTGATAACCCTATCAGATGTTGCCAGCAGTGGGATTGTTAATTCCTATTACTACCAATCTCTTCTCTCCCATATACTTTATACATTTATGCTGCTCATTGAGTGGTCAACCAAACAGGGTATATTGTTAGCGATGGGGCCACATGTCCCTATTGCTACCAACGTATTCTCCCCCTGACACATTTGTTGTATGATTGCAGCGAGCCGAGCGCGGGCGGCGCGGGCGGTGGTGGCGGCGCGGAGGGCGCGGGCGGCGCGGGCGAGGTGTGGACGTGTCCGCTGTGCACGTTCCACAACGCGGCGCGACACGACGCCTGCGAAATGTGCGCCATGCCGCGGTACGTAGCACGCATCGCACGCATTGCACGCATCGCACGCACCACACACACCGCACGCACCACACACACCACGCATCGCACGTATCGCCACACCGCACGCACCACACATCGCACGCACCACACATCGCACGCACCACACAGCGCACACACCGTACATAGCACGCATCGTACACAGTACGCACCACACACAGCACACATCGCACGCACCACACACAACACGCATCGCACGTATCGCCACAGCGCACGCACCATACACAGCACGCATCGTACACAGTACGCACCACACACAGCACACATCGCACGCACCACACACAACACACATCGTACACAGTACGCAACACACACAGCACACATTGCACGCACCACACACAACACGCATCGCACGCACCACACAGCGGACGCACCATACACAACACGCATCGTACACAGTACGCACCACACACAGCACACATCGCACGCACCACACACAGCACACATCGCACGCACCACACACAACACGCATCGCACGTATCGCCACAGCGCACGCACCATACACAGCACGCATCGTATACAGTACGCACCACACACAGCACACATCACACGCACCACACACACCACGCTTCGCACGTATCGCCACACCGCACGCACCACACAGCGCACGCACCACACAGCACACATCGCACGCGCCACACACAACACGCATCGCACGCACCACACAGCGGACGCACTATACACAGCACGCATCGTACACAGTACGCACCACATACAGCACAAATCGCACGCACCACACACAACACGCATCGTACACAGTACGCCCCACATACAGCACACATCGCACGCACCACACACAACACGCATCGCACGTATCGCCACAGCGCACGCACCACACAGCACACATCGCACGCGCCACACACAACACGCATCGCACGCACCACACAGCGGACGCACTATACACAGCACGCATCGTACACAGTACGCACCACATACAGCACACATCGCACGCACCACACACAACACGCATCGTACACAGTACGCCCCACACACAGCACACATCGCACGCACCACATACAACACGCATCGCACGCACCACACACAACACGCAAGGTTCTTAATTCGGTTTTATTTTTTTATACCACAGGTGCCAAACAAGCATATAAGCCCACCTGATGATAAACGGTTACCGTAGCTTATGAACGCCTGCAATACCAGGGGTGTTACGTGCGCGTTGGAGACCTTGAAGATACCTCTTTACCTCCATTTTGAAGAACTCCATGCTGTAGTCTCTTGGGAAACGTTGGCAGAGAACTCATTCCATAACCTGAAGGTTCGTGGAATGAGCTTCTACCGAGGTTCTTTACGAGGATTTAGGTTGTAGGGTATGAGGGTGAACTCCCTGTCGATGGTGAGTCATACGATGGTAAAAATTGGCTGTGGGCATCATATTGAACAATTCCTCTGAACACAATCCGTTGTACAAGCGGTAGAACACGCAGAGGCAAAACCTCTTCTAAAACTTTATGGTTCGATACCGCTTGTAAGCCTGAGATCATCGACAATTCTCATAGCTCGTCGTTGCACTGAGTCGAAGCGTTCAAGCTGGTATCTCGGTGCTTCCGCCCATAAGTTACAGCAATACTCTATGTGAGACCGGATTTGCGATTTGTAGAGCATTAATCGTTGATCCGGCGTGAAGTAATGCTTCGCTCTGTAAAGCACACCGAGTTTTTTGGATGCCAGCTTTACCTTATCTGCGAGGTGACCACGGAACTGTACGTCACTAGTGATGTCAACGCCAAAGACCCCAATGTTTTTAGAGTTTTTAAGAGACGTGCCCTGGAATTGAGGAGCCACAGCAAGAGGTTTTTTTAGCGGTGAACGCGCAAGCTTGTGTCTTAGCGGGTTAAACTGGACTAAGTTTTGTCGACCCCAATCAGTACCCCATAAACTAAATTAAAAAATACATATAAATAAAGGATCGTAATTATTTCACCGCCCATTGCTACTTCAGCTTAATTTTTATTACCAAAACACCATTGCTACATTTCGACGAGAATAGGTAGCGAAAGCTACTGGATAATGATTTAATTACACTATACGAGTATATATGTAGTACTAATTTAGAGATACAACAATATTGAAGTCGAAGGGTTTTTTTTTACATAATCAATTTCCATCAGGTAGACCGTCAGCTTGTTTATAAGTAAGCTACCTATTTAGCCTACTGATGGAAACTGATCACTGTTTAATGAGTGAAAATTAAATAGTAACCCCGCCTGTAGGCGAGGATGGAAGTAGGTGGGTTGGCTCGTCCTAACAAATTTAATGAGCATTAACCACGATGGTTTGGAGAGAAAACCGTTTGGAGGTCGACTTGACACGGTGTATTGCTAGCAAATATGTTATTGGACCCATTTATTAATAATAATTTTCCCCCCAACTGATGACTGTTGCCTAAAAGCATGGATATGGCAGAATAAAGTGATGTCTGTGGTATCTGTTATTTTTTCCTTTTTCTTTCTCTTTTCTTGTGAATGTTTATCTGTATTTGTCGCTATTTGTGTGCTGAAGTGAAACAGATAAATTATTTATCTATCTTTGCCATACCCGAGGACTATGGTGTTATGCCACAATACTATGTTTACATTAATATGTACATTACAATACTTACATGTACGTGTACACTTCTCTGAGGATGATTTAGTAGGTCTTGTTTCTGACAAAAAGTAGTAACAAGAAACTTTCTATTCTTGTTTCTTTTTTTATTATTATATTATTGTTTTATGTATGTATAATTAGTAGTGTTACTCTAGTGACTAGTGAGTACGCTCACAGGCGAGAGCGATGCAATAGGCATTAGAGTCCCACGCGCTGTGATCAATTAGTGCAATTAGCACCGCATACCACGTGAGCGTAGGTCCCTACGCAGCACAGACACACACACACACACACACACACACACACGCACACGCACACGCACACGCACACGCACACGCACACGCACACGCACACGCACACGCACACGCACACGCACACGCACACGCACACGCACACGCACACGCACACGCACACGCACACGCACACGCACACGCACACGCACAGGCACAGGCACTGGCACAGGCACAGGCACAGGCACAGGCACAGGCACAGGCACAGGCACAGGCACAGGCACAGGCACAGGCACAGGCACAGGCACAGGCACATGTGGCGTAGCGATGTGCGCATGACCTCGTGCGGCTCATAATTGCATCGTAGCGCGATATACAGCCCATGTACTTGTAGCCTTGGACAAAAAGCCTATGGAATACTTTACCAGTTTCCATACGAAATGTTAAATGTCGGGCTAGTTTTAAAACAAATCTTAAGGATTTTTATTTGAGCAAGTCGTCATCTTCTTAATATGTTCATATGTCTGGTTAGCATACTTATTTCTTTAGACGTCTAAAAATTTTATAAGTGTTTTACGTATACATGTGAGCAGTATTTATATGAATGAATGAATGAATGAGTATACTTTATTTGCATTATACAATATAGGAATTATATATTTAAAATTATAAAAATTTTTCTTCGTGCCTCCCACCAAATAGTTTATAATTACTCCTCTCCATCCAAAGGTTGTCTGGATGAGGTCGCTCTTAGCGATAAGGCCGCCCATTGTTTTCTCATTGTGATTATTTCTTGTAATTGTTTATATCTATTGTAAGTTTACTATTGTAATCTTTTGGAGGAACCAGTAAAGAGTATTTATTTAAAAAGTACAGCGCCATCTAGTGTCATATTAAGCAGAAATTGCACCGTCGTTGCCAGGTACAAATTAAAAAAGAAACAGCACCAACACGGAATACAACTTATCGATTGCTAAAACTATCAAAATTCAATAGAATTAGTGTAAAATACATATAAACGGATTGAAAATTCCTTCTTTTTTTTTCTTGAACTTGAAACTGTAAATACGCTTTCCTATTTGGACGCGATTAGAGTTTTTTGTACAGACGCCCATGCTTGTTTTTATAACCCACCCTTGTATGTAGTTGGAGCTCTGTGTGAAGCAGCCGCACTGTACCTGTGTTTGCCATTGTTCCAGAAGCAACGCGATGTAAATACGGCACCGGGAGCTACCGAGTGGAGTGCACTTTTTATACGGGACGTTGTCGCAGCCGACCTTATAGTGAAACTAGGTTTACGTTATTTTTATATTGATAGGTGATACGAGTGTGGCTCGCCGCCGCCGCCGACGCCGCCGCCGCGACTGAAGGCCCGCTTGGGCCTGTCGCGCCGCCCCCTGCTTCGTCCACACAGTGCCGTTTTTACGGTAAACTTGCTCCCCCACAAGCCATGAAGTACGCAGACTGAATTTGTGGTTACTATTATTTTAAGAGAGTGTTTTATCACTAAATTTGAATATTTTACTCAAAGAAATGTTGATCGAAAAACGTTAATAAATTTAGATCCCCGTATAAACTTGACAGCTGAGCGCTCCGTCTTTGTATGAGAGGATCAAAATTTGTTGGCTCTTTTTCATGTTTCTTTGGGAAAGATATTCAGTTTTACGGATAGAACAATGCTAATGTTTTCGCCCTGTGTACTCCTATATTTATTAGAGAGGAATTTTGTACGTACTATAGGTACTAATACAGGTTATCTCCTCTCTATAGTTCTTCTGCGGACTTGTTCTGCTTGTGTGGAAAATAGAATATGGCATGTTGACGTACAGGGTATGGAGGTCTCATGGGGGCGGACAAAGGGAACAGAGTTCCGAAGGCCGCTAGCCTCTTTCAGATAATACATGGTCTACGTGATAGGTTAGCCTGGGCCGCCCCCCGATACCTACATCCTTTTACTTCAACTCGAGAAGTAGTCGTTGTATTATACGTGTCTAGGTAATAAAGAAATTGTACTGAACACGTTTAAAGAGAGAACTTACCGAGTAAAACGGTACTGTATGGACAAGTCAGGGAGCGGCCTTAGTCTGCGAGCGCGGTGCACGCGTTCCTTAGGTCAATCTTTTATAGAAATGAACTCGAGCAACAGAACATTGTTTTGCTTCGCACGGACGGACGGACGGACCGACGGGGGTATTGTTATTCATGTTCGACAAACTGGATTAAACATGTCATAACATATTGAAATCCAATTCTAAATAATAATTTCTTTAATTTTTTTTTTTTACTTCGGGACTTAAGTGTATGAAATATGTACCTATAGGTTAAAGGAGCGTTGACGCTGCCCAGGTGGCCTCAGTTTTATTTCGATTGCAGTTCACCTACATATTTCGAATATGAAGGGCACTAGTCTAACTGTAACCAAGTTTTCGCCAATTTTAACATCATTAACGTCATAATCTTTGTAAAACTGCGGCTATCGTATAATTATTGGTGCTAATTCTGCTGTATGAAGTACTTTGACACAGTTAAAACTAATCGCTCAGTCAATGCTCGTATGACTCGAATCCTCGGCGTAAATTTGAACTTATTTTCTTTGAAATAAATTTTAATAGAATGCCTAGCAGAACATATACATAACATTTTAAACGAAACGAGAGATGTTTCGTACACACCTTACTTTGAATATATTATAATTTACACTCACGTGTCTGTAAAATTTTGTTTTGCGACAAGCAGCTTTTTCCACCATTATATCAACGGATCAGTTTTATTGATAACAAATCGTGTAACGTACGTACCTGGGCCTCTAGACAAGTGGCAAGCGAATTCGTCGATGGAGTCAACATCGCTAGCGAGTCCGTGAGATAAAATGAGATAGCAACGCCGGAAGACTTATTCCAACTCACGGACTCGCTAGCGATGTCGATTCCATCAACGAATTCGCTTGCCACTTGTCTAGAGATCCTGGTCAAATTGAGACGAGTAGAGAACCCCTTTTGTTAGCCACAGGTACAGTTACTACAGTAACGAAGGGAGTCCCTTAGGACTTGATATTTTTAATGTCCAGATAAGGATGGCAATATGTTTTATTTGTGTCAGATTAGTTCATTTTTGCTACACATCAGAATCGACACCTACAAGCGAAATTTAAATTCTTTATTACTTATTTATTATCGAACACCACTTATATCTCATGTACATAAAATTAAATAAAAAAAATATTGAAAATTGTGTCTCATTTGTGACCCGATTCCATGACATTCCTATCATCACCATCATTCCAGATATTATCCGTCCACTGCTGAACATAAGCCTTCCCATAGATCGCCTCAAGGAACGATCCTGAGCTTCCTGCATCCACTGAATTCCTGCAATGCATTTGAAATCGTCACTCTGTCTAGTGGGGAGTGGGGCATCTTATACTGCGTTTGCCCGTAGAAGGTCGTCACTCAAACACCTTTATTCCCCATCGGTTGTCAGTACTTCTATTTATGTGACCTGCCCATTGGCGCTTCAGCTAGCTTATCCTTCGAGCTATGTCGGTTACGTTGGTTCTTTTGCGGATATCCTCGTTTCGGATTCTATCACGCAAAGAAACTCCGAGCATAGCCCTTTCCATAGTCCGCCGAGTAATTTGAAGCTATTGCATACAGGCAATCGTGTAGGACCATGTTTTTTTTATGGGTGAAAATGGTATGGTAACGGTAACTCCGCCTGCGCTAATGGGATACACTGGCGGAGCACCAGTGAAGGGTGATAGATGAGAATGAAAACAGGCCAGTTAGCCCATCATGATGAATTCATCTCCATTAACCTTGATAGTTTCCAGGGGGAACCGCGAGGATGTCGACCTGGTTGGGTATATTGTTAGCAATGGGATTCTCAGTCTCCATTACTAACAATCCCTTCCCCCCCCCCCCCGTAGGACCATGTTTTGTCTCCATAAGTCATCACGGGCAAAACGCAAGAGTTTCGTCATTAAACTTTCAGCTATTTTAGACGAAAAAGATATGGCGTTATATTCTGAACGCTGCCCAGCCGGAGTTGGATTCGTCGACTGACCTCTCGGTCGAAGTTGAACTTACCCATTCGGGCAACTTGTCTCAAGTATACATACGACAACATAGAGCGTAGTGTTCTCAATCGTAACCGGTATAGGTGTGACATAGACATTAGACATGATCTTAGTCTTGTCCATGTTCGTCTTGAGACCTACCTGTTGAGAAACACCATTGAGGTCATTGAGCATAGTGTTCAGATCCTCCAGGGTTTCCGCCATAATAAGTATGTCATCGACAAATCGAAGGTGAGTGATGTATTCGTCATTGATGTTTACACCATATCCTTTCAAGTCCAAGCGTCCAAGATTTTTGTACTTTGGTTCTATACTCGGATAGACATCGTAGCCTTACTGTATGTACACTTCGATATACCTATAGTCAATCTGGCACCGCTCGAGGGACTGTATTACCGCCCATGTCTCGACCGAATCAAAGGCTTTCTCATAGTTAACAAACGCCAGACATAGTGACAGTTCATACTCTTCGGAAAATCCTATCATTTGACAGTAATTATAATTTCTACATGACAACTCTTTTTATGATAGTTTTCACACTATTTTACCGCCACGATAACAAGAACAAAACGGTATAAAACTATGGAGATGCGGTTGATTTTTCTCTACCTTCAAAATATCGTCAAGGAAAATTAGTTTCCAACTATGCATTTTGCTTCACTATTTATATGGCGACGAGGCGCCCATAGTGAAATATAGCTAACCATAAACTTAGTAGTCCTAACAAACTGGCAATACAATCACAAAAACGAGACGAAAATGTGATTACCTACATTTGCTGCGTGAAATGTAAATGTGATCACAGATCAGTGCTGCACTATGCACATTCTATCGTTAGACGATTAATCTGACTCTGTATATGATAATAAATCGAAACTCGAGACTATATTCTATTTTATTTAACAATTAGTAATTTTAAAAGTTAATAAGTATTAATTTAACGTCAGTACGTAAATATATAATTTATGACACGTAGTCATAAATTATATATGTACGTACACGCATAATAGCTTAGTCTTCTGGAACGGCAACGTATGAAGGGTATCATGGACGACATAGTATACTCTCTTATGAATAGTATTATGTATATATCTACAGGTGATAGTTACAACATTCTAAAAGGTGGGCCGTCACATTATTTCAAAAAAATTTCAATGTAATGCCCCACACTTAAATCCAAAACACAATAATACGACAAATACAGAAGTATACGTTTTCGATTAATAAAAGACAAATCAAAATCGACTAATATATAGCAAAGATATTTTTTAATATACACACAAAATATAGTATATATAGTCATATATATAAATAGTCCAATTAATAAACATTCATGTCAACAAAAAAAAAATTTTGATCATTCTTTCGAAATACAAAAATATTTACTCTAAAATACTAACTTTACGTCCTTAATTTAATCGAAAATAATACACCATATTGAGGAAGACAAAAATTTACTTATTTTTAATATAAGTATTGATATAAAAATAAGATATAAATCTTGTATTTTAATTCATTATATAATTTTATTTTCTGCATCTGTGGTCATTAAAAATATTTTTAATTGTTTGATTTAATTTATATATAATAATAATAGCTGTATATGTAACGGCCGGTTGCCTTTGTTGATTCGATACAATCGATTAGTCATTGACACTTATTAGCAATCTCTAAGATTCCAGACAAATTATCTTTTTGAAGACTAGGCAGCATGGTCTCCGACCTTAGCCTGTTCCAAACGGAACAAACGTACTAAAAAAAAAAAAAAAAAAAAGCAATCTCTAAGGAGTTGAAATTAAAATTTATATATATTTACATATTTGTTATTATTTTAGTTTGAATACTTGAGTCTTTAGGGTATTAATTAGTTTAAATGTAATATTTTTCTCTATCGATTCATATACAAAATGTTTGTTATGGTTCTAAATATTGTAAGAAGTGAAATGTGTCGAGCATATTTACGTAAACGCAAAACATGAAATTGTGTTTTGTTTTCTGTTATTTATATTACATTCAGGTAAAGAATACTTAATGCTAACTAACTATATTCACTTAAAAGTAATTCGACTTCAATATAAAAAAAAATTGGAAATTATTTTGTTCACACTCCCGCCAAAACAGCTTCGAGCTCTCTCTCGCTCTAATATGCAGGTTATATTTTCTGTCTCGTGCATTGCCAGTCTATATACTTTATATTTTAAGTAGCTAACATAAATTTTTTTTATATTTTCAACCAATCAAGTTCAAATTATTATTACTCTTATTTCATAAAGGTACAAAAAGGAATTTCAAGCCGCCTATTGTAATCTTTTCTTTATACAACTTAGAATGGCAAACATGCTGGCGGCCCACCTGATGAAAAGTGGTAACGGTCGCCTATAGACATGAGCAGTACCATGATACCCCCATGCGTATTGTAATCTACTTTTCAGATTAAAACTTCTATAATTAGTTGTTGAATCCCTTTTCGACCGACTTAAAAAGGGAGTTCTCAATTCGGCTGTATTTTTTTTTATGTTTGTTACGTCATAATTTCGTCAGTTGTCTCTCCACTCCAAATCGGTTTGGTCTTATAAAATTAATGAATATTTAATACTAAATCAAATTACGGATTTGAATACAATTTAGCAGGTGAATAGTACCTACAAAGTTACCTTCTTTTTTTAAATATAAAAATTTCTCATCGCGTTTAGTCCTAGTCCTTAGTTTATAATGTATTTAAAATTTACCTATTATCCCAAGAAACGTAGACAAAGCCACTAGTAGGAAGTAAATAAATACACTCATTTTTGTAGTTAGTCATGCTATGAATGTCATCACTAAACAAGCTAAAATTATTCGGACGAACTCCGAAACGGATCGTATGTTTGCCTGCCAAGTAAGTACGTAAACGACATTGAAACATAATGTCTTTTGGTGTAAATTTATTTTTAGAATATACAAGAAATTGATTACTAGTCAACCTTTATTATATTCTATGGTATAACTATTCGTATGTTAGACGCCTTGATAGTTATGTATTAATTTACTATAAACTTATATTATTTACTTACTCTGATTTTTTTTACTATAAATACTATAACAGGTTAAGGTCCCATAAATGGCTACTGTCAGAACTGTTCAGAATTCATAGCAAAGTTAAAAATGAGTAATTTCTAAACACAAATTTCTGGTTTTCCGATAATATATACTCAAGGGCTGGGGCGTGGCGAAATAAAACAAACAAAATTTCATTTTGTAAAAATATTACTTTTATAATTATTTACAATATTGTGTCTAAGCCGCAGCGACAGTGTCGCGCTGCGCCTCGCAGACTACGGGCGACTTTTTCGAATTCGGGAACGATTCACAATTAGTACAAGACGCCGATACTGATACAAATGTACACAGACAGCGTGGTAGCGCGACAGTGTGAGCGTGCGCAGCCATGCGAGTGCGATAGACGAGCAAGCGCGGGCGTGCGAGCGGGACGGACACACCAACATGACATCCGAGCTCAGCACAGACGACTACAACAGATCATTAAAATACACTGTCCCAGGACAGCCCGCGCTGGCTACACTCGAAGCGCACATATCGTTTACAATCAAATATTTTGATTACTATTACTGAGTGAGCGTATTGTGTCCGCCGATGTCAAATATCAATAACGTATATGTACATATGTATTTATACATCCGAAGAAAAATCATCGGCACAAGATCTTTATAATAAAATAAAAAGCAGCGGCGTGAGACAATGCTATCATATAATACGCGCACACATTCACACACTACTCTCGCGTGACCTTTCACCCTTCGCCACGTATCACATATAGAACGGAGGGCGCGCGCCGGTCCGGACCGGACCGGACCGGACGGCGCCGGACGACGTCGTGCGGCGTCGGGCGCGAGCCCTCCGTAGCAGTTACATTACTTTACAAGTGCGTCATTGCTGCACATTATTTACACCGGTGCGGGGACACCGCAACGCGCAAACGCATGTCTTTGCGGTTACAATAAGTTTTTTTTTTCATAGAATAAGATTAATTTATTTATCAAATGATATATAGGTACATTTATTACTGTCACTGTTTACAATAATAAAAAAAAAATATACAAATAAAATGAAATATTATTGGTCAGATCGGTTTATTGTAAAAATATTGTACGCTAGGTAAAAAACATAGTGATTACTTGCTAAACATGTAAAACCACAGTCGAAGTAGATTATACGTAATAATTTTTATTTCTATAATTATTTATTATTAAAAAAAATATTTATATACAACTTATGACACATCATTTTTTTTATTCCACCTCCCAACTTGGAAGCAGTCACACATTTTAAATAAAGTATTACACGTATTATTGATAAATGAAACTAAACGTATATCACAATTTATGATATTAACAAATTTGTAATAATAACTAATATTAACGGATACTTTGCCCGCGCTGGTGACTCGGGGGTCTGTACCGACTCACACGCTACGTAACCAAAGACATGAGTGTGCGCATTTCACTACGCTACAAGAGATGGGTAGCTCCTCGAACGGTTCCGATTCGGTCGGCCACCGCCGCGACGGTGCCCGCTTCGCCTTCCACGTCAGCACACAAAGCCGCCCGGCCTCATTAAATCGAGCTACACTCGAAGCTACAAGATACACACGAAGGCGACGCGGGACCGTCGGCTACTATTGGGAACTTTCCAGAATTACTACTACTCGAAAAGTGGTACTATTTATTTTTTTAAGCCTGACCACTGACCAGAAAAAAGGGTACGCGCAGCGTAATCGTTCCTACTGTTACGAGCGGTGAGATTTCTCCTAGCACGAACAATGGTACACAACATACTCGGGCCTAGTAGGTGACGCGGGCCCCGATCGCACGGTCGCGTACCCCCTAGGTCCAAAACCTGCATCAACTTACTAGTGGATTTCTCGCGCGGCATCACTTCTGCCTACTGTAGCCGGGGACGCGTTTCCCGACGAGCGCCCGAAGGAGAAACTTAAACGGCGGCTACGAATAACACGTAGATAGAAAGTTCACAGTACTGGGCAGCGATGGAGCGAGGGAGAAATGTCACCGCTACGAATAGGAGTGGCCGGTAGTAATTCCGGAAAGTACAATTTTTTTTAAATACACTCGTCGCCGCTGATCGTCTCGGCGCGAGGAGCTGCCGCGGCGGCGCGGGCGGCGCGGGCGACTACTGGGCGGGCGTGTCGGCGGCGGCGGTGGCGGCGGCGGCGGGCCGCATGGGCGGGAAGTGGCGCGGGTCGCGCAGGTCGAAGGGCCCGCGCGGCGGCTCGCCCGCCAGCGCCGCGCCCAGCTCGCACGCGCGCTCCGAATCTGCAACACGCGCCGCAGCTGCACTCGCGCCCGGCCCGGCCCGGCCTTGCGCTAGTATTCTACAATTACTTCCAGGTGAACCTCTCACTTCGTCGAAACTGATATCTACACCCAGCTATATATATGCCCGAGGTCGAGCGGAAAGGGGGGAGGGATTGCGGCGGTGAAGAAAAAAAACTGACATCGTCTACGGGACGCCGGTTCTCCGGCTCGTATTTCTCGGTCTTTTATTTGCTTTTAGTTTGCATTTATTTTTGCTAGTCCCTCGAGAAGCGAGTACGATAGCGGTGGTACAGAGTATTGTTACAGGGAATAGTGTCCGTTGAGTGGTAACAATAAAAAAAATATCGCTAAAGTACATAAAAATTCGTTATATATACATATACATCTCGACCACGCGGTGCTCCACAAAAACAAAAAGATAACATTGGCACGCAGGCGCACCGCACGGTGAAAATTAAAGATAAATGAGATCATGTGACGGGCGCGAGCGTACGCGCCGCGTGCGGGGGGCGGGCGGCGGGCGGGGGGCGGGGCGGGCGCTGGCTACTCACCGCCGGCTAGCGCGCGCCGGCCGGCCGCCGCAGCTCCAACCCTGCACCAAACGCACACTGTACCCGCCGCCGTCGCGGCCGTCCGGCTCGCGTTCGCGGCTCGCGGCTCCTCGCCGGCCGCCGGACCGCGCATTCTCCAATCGCCAGTATCAGTGTGTGTAATGTGCGTGGGACGGGGTGGTGCACGAGGGATCGGGACGGGAGAGAAGCGGGATTCTCGGCGAACAAGTTAGTAGTCTCGTTGCGAAGCAACAAAAAATAGATAGTCTACAACTTGACCTCCTTATCGGTCTCCGAGCGTCGACGATCTTGTGAGTAACACGAGCGGTAAAGACTCGAATCTAAGTCGACAGCAACACGAGCACTCACCGTCCTTACTTACGTGAACACCCTCGCTGCGCGCATCTCGATCGACATAGAAGTCATCGCGTGCCGAGGTCCTGGGAAGTCGCGCCATTGATTTCTTGATATCGGGCGGCAGCGAGAGGGGCGAGGCTCGATTAACATTGGTAGCGGCGCTGCGCACGCGGGCCCTCCGCCGCAGGGCTCGCGGCCCGCGTGCGCAGCCCGCTGGGGGGGCGGGGGCGGGGGCGGGGGGAGGGGAGGCCGCAGGGCACGACGAGTACCTGTCATCCGCGTGGGGTCTCGGCCTCGCAGCGCGCCCGCGTAACTGTTGTTGGCCGCCGCGGCTGCTCCGGGAACAACACGTTAGCGTCACGCGCCTGCGATCGCCGCGGCGGGGCCGGCGGGGCGGGGGCGGGGCCGGGAAGGACCAGACCCGCCCCGCCCCGCACCCCGTGACGAGCGAGCGAACGGGAATCGAACCACGTTCCATGACGAAAACGATCAGCACCCGATACGTTTCCATCGATACGAGGTACTCGTAGACCATAATAATACTTATAAATAAATAAATATCAATAAATACAGAATACGATTATATAAAATATAAACCACAGACGTGGGTATCGTATAGTTATCATACTTTGATACGTGGTGGGTGTACGATGCGATGGGGATTAATCATGTACGACCGCTATGACAACAAGTAGTAAAAGCGAACTGGACGCTTCGATGGTGATAATGTTTAGTTGGAAGTTTTAGTCGAAGCCGCGACTGCCGGCCGGTGCGGCGGCTGGTCGTAGGGCGCCGCGGGCGGCAGGGTGGTGCGGGGCGGGGGCGGCGGGCGGGGGTGCGGGAGGCAGCGGGTGAGTGAGACAGAATGTCCGGCGCGCGCCGCGCCCGCTCCGGACGATGGCGTCCGGCCGGACGCGGCCGCCGAGTTAGTCTTTGGCGAATTATTGTGATCATTAATCGTAATTGAAACGATTTAGATAACTAGAACTTAGACAACGATTCACTCGAGCGGCAGACGGACCTGTGACCCGGCGTTGGTGTGCACAGCGCAAAAATGTGTCGAAAAGTAAAGGTTCGCAGGGTACAAATAAATCACAACGTCAATCCTTTGGACTGAAAATGGATTATTAAAATCGGTTCAGAATTGACAAAAAAAAAATACCGTGCGCTCAAAATACCCGGTCGGCCGCTCGAGACGAACCTGTGCTGACAGTTTGATGACATGCAACAAGGGTCGAGGGCTACGAGGAGCAGCCCTTGACGGAATAAATCTTTAGCAATATTGGTGAACATAAAACAAAAATCCACAACTGTACGCACTTCGATTTACGAATACAAATAAAAAGAAATAAAAATACGTTCATTTGCCTTTTATTGCTTTACAATTACTCGCTAGGTATACAGTATAGACAGGTAACACAGTATAGACAAAAGGATGAAAAGCTCAGCTTCAGGTAGTTAGCTTACTACATTGCTGGTTTTGTTCTGGATTTTCTATAGAGCAAGGTAGAGTTTAAGATTGCCGGTTACCAATAAAATACAAAGGAATTAAGCACAAATGGCAATACGGGTCTACAATAAGTTACCTCCGGAAATAAAGGATCTTCCAATAGAGAGATTTAAATCAAAGTTAGTTCACCGTCTTTTAAAAAAAATGCTATTATGCCAGTGTTTCCCAACCTTTTTTGTGCCACGTCCCACTTGAACATTTCTAAAATTTTTATGCCCCCAGACATAATTTTTCCCGAAACATTTTACTTCTCGACTCTAATCGCCTAGTTGATATTTTAGTAATGTCAAACGAAATTATATCTAATAAATATTTACAGCATTTTTTTTATTTACTTTTATTGTAAAATTTGACACGATATATCTACTCGTAGCATTGAATTTAAATGGCCAGGAGCAAGAGGGTTAAAATCGCTTCGAGTCCATTTTTTTATTGACCCCCCTTAACTATCAAATTGTTCCCCCTTTGGGGTGTGGGCCCCACATTGAGAAACAGTATTATGCAGTTATTGAATATTTAAATGACAAAACAATATTAAAAGATGTAATGTATTAAAAATTACTTAAAATATAAACCATAATTTTATATGATAGTTTGACATAAAGAACACTGTAATTAGATAAACGTTTGGACTTTATAATTGTAATATAATGTAGAGACTAAATACAGTCTAACGTTTGCATACCTTTACAGGGTGCTGCATGCTAAGTACCTACTTGTATATGTAACTTCTTATTGTACCATGTAGCAAATGAATAAATATGATTTGAAATGATTTGAATGTACTTAGTAATATAATCAGCGAAAAATATGTAAATGTTGTGCCCGAAAGAAAAGCTAGTCTCCTGCCACGTGGCGTAAAATAAAAAATTTGCCCAGAAAAATTTGCTGAGTGTTGCGTTCATCACAATGACTACAATACACAAATAATCTTCCACTTCGAGAAACTTTTTAGGAGTCGTGACGTATGTTTCTTTTGTAAAATATTAACTTAATATAAAGTAAGCAGGTAGGGGCCCAGGTAAAATGTACGCCTATAGAATTTCTCCTTTTGTTCATGATGCAATTAATGAACATTTTATAGTCTAAATATTATTCGACGTATTTAAAGAGAGACAAGAAAAGGAGCCTGTCTTTTGTGTAGATACCTTTTCTATTTGTATCAGTTGTTCTGTGTACTCCCTTTACTGCAGACAATGAGCAATAAAAATCAGGTATCGACTGTCTACGACAATATGATACACCCCTCTATAATCCAAAGTATAAAAAATGTGTAAGTAAAATATTTAGTTTCAACCGAGGAATATAACTTGTTTAGTATTGCTCTGGCCAGACCAATACTAAACAAGTTTTCATCAGAAATCCACGTGCATTACCCAAATGAGCTGCCACATGGCTATTATGTTCTGAAGTGACAGTTATTTCGTATCGATGATTCTGATAGAGGGCGCAATAATGAAATTATCGCAATTAAAAAACATATGACGATGGTTAAGGAAGCAATAAATTTATTTAAGTAGTCTAGTAAGTAAGGTTAACTGAGAGAGAATGCTATAAAGAATATATAAATAAGTAGTTTATGAGAACAAAAATATTACTGATATTTCAGTTATTTTTTTTCTAATTTGTTGCTTCATAGCTATAACGTTGAATTCTAATAATTAAAGAATATTATATTTGTGGCTAGAAAAAAAGTAAATTCATAAGTATATATATATATATATATATATATATATATATATATATATATATAGACATATAGACAGTATGATCGATTCCTTGGCTTAACAAATTCTTTGAAACGTATTTTATGGGGAAAAATAGTGTTGTTAAGACACAAAAGTAAATGATATACAGACTTCAAGGCGTCGCATTAACGTTTTAGTAGTTTTAACGAACTGTCTGTGTGTACACGATGTCTCGACATCATGTAGTACGAGCACTACAAATGTTTTAAGAGTAAAAATGTCGTCTAGTTAACTATTTACATTCGGATAGAATCGAAGGCACAGTTGCGGATGAGCGAAACATGATGTAAACATAAAATCAGCAATTGTGTGGTGTCGCGCGGTGTGCGTGGTGTGCGGCTACATACCTGCGTGCAGCAGCGCCGGCGCGGCGGCGGGCGCGGGCGCCGGCTCGAGCAGCTGGTGCTGGCGCAGCAGCGTGCACTCGCCGCCCTCGGCCGCGTCCAGCGCGAACACCAGCAGCACGCCCGCCGACGTCGCCACCAGCAGCCGCGGCGCGCGCGCCGTGCTGCACACACCGACACACGTGCGTCACACACCCTGCACTCTACACCGACAGCCACGCACGCGGCGGACACTCACTTGGTGATCGCGGCGACGGCGCGGTAGCCGGTGACGGGCAGCCGCGCGGCGGCGAAGGCGCGGCCCTGCGCCAGCACGTCGGCCACGTGCGCGGGCAGGTAGCCGGCGCCGGCCGACACGGCCTGCTGCAGCCAGCCCATCCAGCCGGCCGGCTCGGCGGCGGCCGGCTCGGGCTCGGGCGGCGCCTCGTCGGCCGCCTCCTGCAGCCGGAACACGTGCACGGTCTCCGTGTTGGAGGTGGCGGCCAGGTAGGCGCCGCACGCGCTGAACGCGAGGCAGGCGATGGAGACGCAGCGCTTGACGCCGCGCCGGAACTCGTAGAGGCGCGTGCGCTCGGGCACGGCGAACACGCGGATGACGGTGCCGCGCTCGGACGCGGTGGCCAGCCGCCGCCCGCACATCGACCACGCCAGCGCCGCCAGCGGGCTGTCGTGCGCGCTGATCACGCACTTCGCGTTCTGCACATCGCACCGCGCCACGCCGCGCCACGTTACACAATACACTATACACTGTACACTGTACGGCTCATACGTCTACTTTACACACATTTGAATAAGAGTGTTTTGCTATTTTTTTTAATGTAAGTAACGATACTTACAAAAATAGCATACACAGGTCATACAAATCCTTATGCCTTATGTTTATAGGTATTTGATATTGCAAACTTAACAAAAAATAAGATCAATTAATTAGATTCATTGATATTATTCGAAACTACATTCTTCTATCGAAGCACAAGAATAAAGATTATTTAGTCATGTAAACCAAGTGATAAAATTAAAAGCAATACCCAATATACAAATCCTTATGATTGTGATACGATTGTGATATTCCTGGGGGAGGACAGGAGTGACAGACATACTGACCAGGTGCACGGCGTCGAAGATCTGCACCTCGCCGACGGCGCTGGAGCCCGGGTACGCGACGTAGCAGTGGTCGACGCAGGGCGAGAGCGCGCACAGCCCGCGCGGGTTGGGCGGCGTGTCGCGGATCGTGTGCAGAATCTTCATGTCGCGGATGTTGTGGATGTGGAGCGACTCCTCCAGGCACACTATCAACCTCTGCAATTGCACGATACGCTCATGAGCTCATAGTAGCGGGCGGGCACGCGACGGCGTCGCACCACACAGTGGCCGGTCCGAGCATAATACTCACAGATCGGTTGAGCTTCACCGCGAGGATGGTGTTGCTGTAGCTGTAGTTGCATATCTCAGTGCCCTTCTTGTAGTGGCACACGATCAACTTCCTGCAAATTAAGAAACATGCCGTTCTAAATTACTGTCCGTGTCTACATATGTACAACACAACTGCTAGTACAATACACGCTAACCGTACACACATATTATAATTGTAAATGTGTTTGAATCAATTATAAAACAATATTCATTAGCGACTCGCTTTGAATTGGACAGGTTTTAACATTTCTGATCATTATTTCTCTTCACGTCACGCTAGGAGCTGCTGATATAATAACCGCTTGCCCTTACGATGCCAGCTGAAACAATATTATCAGTTTCTATACTTGATATGCGGCTATCTGGACCACGAAAACATATCCTAAAAAATTCACGTCTCATGTAGGAAATGACAAATGCCACTTAAGTTTTTAAACATAAAGACGTCGAACGATCACATTAAGGAGACCAGAAGATGAGTCATATTCATTTATTCATTATAAATTCTGACGAAACTTCAAAAAGGTCAATAACTTTAAGTTTGGCTTGTTTTTTTTTCAGACTTTAGCGGACTTTCAATGATGTTTGGTCGAGATTTATTAAGCTCAGAATTCATTGAACTGTTAAGCGCTTTGGCGATAACAGAATCAGCGACATTGGCTGATAAATTATTACCGTTATCAGATACAAAACATTTTGTTGTTTTCCTTTTATTCGTTTAAGATAAGACGCGTTATGGTAAGTGAATTCTACCCCTAGTTCAAAGAGCAGTTTCAGTCAAGAACTAACAAATCACACGACCCACGCATGGAACATGTTCAGATTTCTATGTAGGTTATAAGAAATACTTCACGAGGTGCAAGTTTAATAAAAGAATAGAGAAGTTGATTAGATATAGACTATAGCTCAATATCCTTCCGGTAACAACCCATTAACGAGGCACGAGCCCCTGCCCATAAGGAGCGGAGACAAGTACTATCGTGCTGACCAGAGGTTTGGTATAGGGTTTCATTAGAGTTTTTTTCTTACAATATAATACACTAGGTATTGTGCTTTGTTCCCATTGTCAAGTATCTTTAATCTTTAATTCTATAATCTTTGCGTACCGTTTTAGTTATTCGTTGCGTACTCATTGAATTAAATGGTTGCTTAGCGGAAGAATAAATTGATGCGTCGACTTCGCAGTGTTCCTCGGGTGACATAATTCTATAATCGTAGGGAACGGCCTTTAGTACGTGTGTTGGGAGGCGGCGGGCAAGCGGGCGAACTGTATGGCGGTAAACTGGTGGAAACAAACGGCGGCGCGACCATGGCGCGTATTTTTACCGTCAGCGACGTGAACTTGGCCGTGGTGCTCTCTCTTCTTACACAACAGCCCGATGCACACGTCACGTCACGCTACGTCACTTGGCAGCTCCGCTCAACCTTATTATCTAATGCTTATATTGTAAATGCATTTTGTGTGCTCACCCAGAGATAATTACATAATAGTATGTAAATAAAGTAAGTGTCGCCCCTTTTGGATAAACGTTGTAACTTAACGAGTTTTAGTCTCGTTTATTTAACTACAAACTCATAGTATTATTAACTCTACTCAGTTTGTGCGTACGTGTCATTTAGTTTAGTGTTCCAGAAGGTAACTTGGCACGACAGAACTATTTAATATAATAGCGTAGGCACCACTTCAATGTTGTTGGTAATAGTTGAATTTTGTTAAAATTAATACTATTCGACTATAGCCAGGCATAGCAGTGTTTAGCATAGCATGCAGTAGATACGCAAGTATGTATTTAATTATTTGTTCGGGACTCTTAGATAACGTTTCATATTGATATTATAGGAAACTACAGCATATATCCAAATCTGTCCAGTCATGTATAACCCAAAAAACATTACACGCCTTTTTATAACGATCGATTCAATATGAATATTTATTATGTGTAGCAATTGTCTGAAACAATGAATACTGGCTGCCTATATTTATTTATCAATTTTTATTTCGTAATATTCACAGAGACCTATTGTTATTTCCTAACGTGATAATCCAATATGGCATAGTTCACGTAGCGGTAGCGGTAACGATGTGTAACCCACACCGCTACGTCGCCCTGTTGCACCCTTCACACATCACAGTTATTTGCAGCGTTCATTACTGTGAATATGAATTACAACAATGATATCTGGTGCTGCAGCCCACCACACCACGCACCACGCACCACGCACCACGCATCGTGCAATAATAGCGGTGCTCCGCTCATTTACAAATAATAAACTGGACACTGTACCTGTATTACCTCACAAACCGTAATTATGTAGTGTACCAGCATTGGTTTAGTTTACCACTTTATCTAGATAGATAGATGTAGATAGGTACACGTCTGTAGAAATAAATTCTGCAAGATGATGCTAAATAGATACCTCGACATATGAGTTTAATTCGTTCCCTAACCTTACTCGTATCTCAAAGCAATTTTTTTCATTGAAATTGAAATACCATTAATTCCCATAAAATCACCTCATTTGTTTTTTGTTAAGTGTTAGTCTGAGGTGTATGAAACTGTTAGATACCAACATCCACCCCGCATGTCGGGGTCGTGTGCAGCGATGGAGTTTGCGATTCCTCGTATTTCAAATCTTGCTCTCATCTCAAAGCAAAATATATTAATTTCTACGTGAATATTTAAAAGTTAAATGATTGGAAAAAACTTTACAAATGGTATTTTTGAACGAGCTTGGAACAGAAGAGAATTTGATGTAAAAAAAATTACGTTACTTGACTTAATAACAGTATGCTTTGCTGTTGTACTTCTGTATTAAGCACCATACATTTATATCAATTTTTTTTTTCATACGTTTATTTTATAGCGTCTGTTTTAATATTCTGTTTCTAAATCGCGTACCTACTGTCAGTGCATTTCATTTCATGATCATAGATCGTTACGCAGATCGATACAAGACAAAGTAGAAGCCGCAACAAAGACAACGATGATTAATAAACAAATGCGCATTATTATTCTATCACTGATTTTATTCTTTTATAATAATAGAGTGACGTCGCAATATGTATAGACAGGTGGCGTTGAAACAATTGATTACTTCGCGGCTCACGAGCACGCAAATAGTTGCCGATTGCAGCTGATAACATTTTTGATAGTTACAAATGCTCCAACGACTTCTACATAACATCTGTTGTTTACAAACAACGAGTCAAAGTCCCCACTAATATCATTAATGCAATGCAAATTTGCTCGGCAGTTTTTTCACGGTCGAATTGCAATGATTTGATCATATCGATAACATTGATATTGACAGAATGATAATTTGAAATACAACAATGAACAAATGAATGAAAAGTAGTATTTTGTAATTGCTTTACCCGTGTAAAGATCTAGAAACTCAGAATACCAAGTTTTTAATGAATAAAATAGTGAACCTGCCTTCGTTATCGATAATTATGCTGGCGAGGTACCAGCGAGGGATGATAGATGAGGATGAAGCAGGTCAGTTAGAGCCCCTTACTAACAATCACTTTCCCCCCAGAACACCAACTACTGAAGACACCAGAGAGCCCTAAACATGAACGATTTAAAAAGATAGACTGATATTGTAAATTTAAAGGATTAGATTGGAATTCGATCTTAAAATCCGTCAGGTCTTCTAAATTAGAATCACGGGTAACAATAATTTCCCCAAAGAAAGAAAAACTGAACCTCTTATAGTAAGAGCATGTTCAGGTGGCAAGTGTGGGCTCACTCTGTACAGTATAGGCATAAAAACTACACACTACATATGTATAATAATGGTACTTTCTGATTATGTTTGTTTTAACATTTCAATACACAATGAGATAAGAAATAGTAATAACAAAATAGTTGTGAAACAAATTAGCTTATCATGGTTATAATTATGAGTTCCTTTACATGGTAAACTTAGAAAGAAACTGTTGTGTCCCAGTATGTATTGAGAAATGACAAGATAGGCAATACACTATAGTAATGTTTCCCAACCTTTTTTGTGCCATGTCCCACTTGAACATTTCTAAAATTTTTATGTCCCATACATAATTTTTTCCGACAAAGTTATTGACCAGATGATATTTTGATAACGTCAAAATGAAATTATACCTAATAAATATTTACAGCATTTTTTTATTTACTTTTTTTTTTGTTAATTTTGGCACTGGATATCTAGCATAGCATTGCATTTAAATGGCCCAGAGCAAGACGGTTAAAATAGCTTCGAATCTATTTTTTAATTGTCCCCCTTAACTATGAAATGCCCCTCTGTGGGACGTGGGTGCCACGTTGGAAAACGCCGCACTATAGGATGCAGTAGAACATTTAATGAATTATGTTTCACATTTTACAAATAATGATCAGATAGTAGTTTCTTCCACCACATGTACAATGCTTTAGGTTCGTATGCACCCAATGTGTTTACCATAACAAGAAAGAAAAAACAAATAGACCCTGTCCCTACAGGCAGCACCTGTTTATGAGTATGATGGCTAGCTTAGCTCAACAATATTTTAGGGAACTCAATAACCCAGCACACCAATCCACTACCTGTCATAACATTCTAGTGAGCATGAATTATTCAAGGCACCCGGACCATATTATAGCCAAATTAAAATAATTTCAAACTACATAACAGCAACAAGTTTCTGGACAGATAACTTTAATGAGCAAATAATAAAATACTAAATTAGGTTGTTCATAGAAAAGCACAAATTATAAATATTTTGACTTTTAAGACTCAGTCTCAGAGACACTGGTAGGTCTGTTTGATGAATCATTACAATTGAAGGGAAAAAATATTGTAGAATTTTTACCACAATTTCTTTACAAGTATAGATTAAAATATTTAAATATACAATACCAGTCTAAGCATTAAAAGTCATTATACATTTCCTAAAATGTTATAAAATGACATTGCATATTTATTAATGAATCATCATTTCATTATTAAACAATTTCACTTATCATACCTGGGAGCTGATACAGTGACAATCGCGACGAGAGAACTGCTAAACAAGCGGTCCACGAGGCAGGTGTCCTGCCCCGAGCGGCTTGCATAAATCTCCTCCACTCCATCATCAGGGGTAAGGGCAAATAAGTGGTAGCCGCTACTACTACCTGCCACTAGTGACCTGTCACCATAAAGACAAACATTTATAGCTATATTCATAGCTTGGCAGCCATAATCTACATTATTTCATACTTGTTCTTAATGTTTCATATTAACCATTCATTACATGTAATTATCATTAAAAAAATAATTAAGCAAATATTTTAATATTAAAATATATTTTGCAATAGTTAAGTTGAAATTCACTAATGTTGTCTAAAGACAAAAAGATACAATTAAATTTCAGGAAGATATTATACTCAAATACTGCCTTAAATATATTATCTATATATTTATATATAAAATATAATTAAAATTTATGATAAAGAATGAGCTATTGTTAAGTAATGTACCACAATAATAGCAGAAAATAACATGCTAACTGATCCAAGTGTTGCAGACATACTTCAAACAAAAAGATTCATGAGCATAACTGCACTGAGAGTTCCAGCTCTCTCTACAGCCAAACAGGCAGACAAAGAAAGGCGAGGGCGGAGTATTAAGCCTATCTAGTAGCTAACAGCTGGTAAGTGGTGGACGCCATGTTTGTTTACGCCAGTAGCGCAACAATACAACGGAGATGTGTGCGACGCTCGTTACGACATACCTGGCAATGACATATTGCATCACCATGCCATCAGTAGATAGCACTTGTGGCAAAATTGACGCTATAACATGACATTGCATGCTTTCGTAACCAACCAGCCAGCGGACGGACCTTGAAGGGCAGAAGAAAGGCTGAGGCTCCGCCCTCGTAACATGACAGTCAAACTGTCGTGAGCAGTTATTATCAACCACTTCAATTGTCAACTTACGTGCAGTCCTGGTTAAATTGTACGAATATCCCTCCTGCATTTGTTCCCTCTGTGTTTTGACCTGCTCCCAAACTCATTGGAACGTTGCAAGAAAACAGATTTGTTTCAAAAGCTAAATCCCACACACGACATGCACGTACCGCGATCTTTGTATTAGATCAAAAATGTTTGTTCGTAGAAATGTTGAATTTTGTTTTGAAAACTAATTAATCGTAACAAGAAGTAAATTTTTGACACAAAGAACGACCTTGCTACTTAAACAAGCCCCCTCCCGCACAACACAAATCGCACAACAAACTCGCTCCACTGTAGTCGATGTACAGAACGGTTCACACGCGCGCAATTATAATACCACGCTTTGTTAAGTAAATAATTTGAAAAAAGTTAACAATAAGCACAGTGATAAAATTGTTGAAATGCTAATTTTTTTCACTTTAATGTTTAATATTTTTACTATCATATATTTTTAGACGCAAATTATTGAAAAATATTTTTTTCTTTGTATCAGGTATAAAGAAAATGTGATCACTTCAGTCAGATAGACAAACTTATATTAGGCAAAAATATTTAATAGTCGAACAAGACGAAAAACTTTTAATATTGTAACTGTAATCGATCACTATACGTCGTGATTGCAAATAATAAAATGTCCACTATGCTCACAAGTAAACGTCTACAAAGATGTGTCACCTCCTTCCACAACAATCAGAAGAAACAAGTGCTGCTATTGGTGGACAATTTGACACATACCCTCTCCACTGCTATTGGTGGTGTTGCCATCTAGTTGTGAGTTTAATTGTTCTTAGGTTTTATTAGTATTTCGCGCTTAGTATCTACCAATCAATTTCAAAATTTGAACATCTCCAAAAGTGATTTAATTGCCTTAAATTTATTAAAATTTAAAAGTAATTATTTAAGTACCTATGTAATAATAAATATTAATATATAGTTATAAACTTATAGTTCAGACATTAGAGAGAATGATGATTATAATGATTTCTTTTGGTATTGGTGTTGAACGGTGCAGACGGCCGTTCGGTGAGCGTGGACTGTAGGGGCGTTGGTTCAGGCTGGAGAGAAACGCACTGATTACTTTTCTGAAGCCTCCGGTACCGTCTGAAGAGAATTCTTGTTGTCCTATTTCTTCTCGGGAGTGCAGTGCGTCAATGCGAGAATGCGAATGCCGCTCGACGGAAGGCGGCCTATCTTTATACCCGCCCGGTCGCATGATAACATCTTTTTTACAATTTCTTTTCCTTATTCTATTTACAGGTAATAATAACAAGACACAAAGGAATGTTTTATTCAACTTACGCTATAGGTACATCTTAAATCTATGTAAAAGTAACAATATAAAAAAACGATTAAAACTAAGGACTTAACAATTAACTATAAACATCGCTATAACTATAAAATGATTGTAATGTCGCGAACAGGTGTTATCTGAGATGTTATGATTCCCGTATATAGTAGTAACGCAGTTCGAGGCAAACACACAATCATTGAGGTTATAAGACAAAGAAGATGAAGTAGCACCATCTCTGTCATAAATATAATAAAACATATAATAATAAAGCAGACAAAGTATAAATTGAAAGCATAACTAAGATATTTTTCTTTTGCTCGCTCCTACAGTAAAATGTATGTTGTATTGTCTTTTTTTGCCACGTGTACTAATAATCAATTGCCACGCACGCTAATTCGCCATATTGATAAGCAATATAAATTGCATGCTCAAATTATATAAAACACCGAAAATTAAATGATTTTTATTACTATAAGTGTAGAAAAAGGAGATGAAAATTGTAAAGTGCAATACTTATATGTGTGATAGTGTAATTTATGGAAATTTAGCAGATTGAACTTTTCATCAATATGTAAACATTTTTTTTAATAAGGAGACTATAAAAATGAGAAAAAATAGCAACTGATGATGTATATTTCGTCCTCTTTTCCGTAATCCGCCAAACTAAGCATGAGATATTAAAAACTAAAAATGAGGAATTACATAGAAGGAATGAGAAAATAAAATTGTAAATCATATGGTTGTCTCCTTTTTTCTTATGCAAATATAATTAGTAAAAAGAGGACGAAAAATACATTATCAGTTGCTATTTTTCTCAATTCATAGCAGGCCAGTGTATAGAAAATGTTTTATATGTCAATTATTGATCAATGACAAATTTTACATTACTAGATTATAGAAAAATGCAAGCAGGTTGTATCTGAATTTAACATAATTTATAATTTAATATAATAACATTTTCTATACAGTAGTCTGCTATAAGTTGACAATTTTATCACCTATGTAATTCTTGTTCTAAGAGCAGAACTGTCATGTGACATATCATCTATGTTATACTGTCAATGCCAAAAACATGTGCTTGTCAAATTAAAATTTCTTGAATCAAAAAAATATTGAATTTATAAGATAAACAATTGTTATTTAGTGTTTAATTATATCTATAATTAAATATGGGTCGCAAAATTCCGGCTAAAAAACATCGTGGTGTCAAAGATCCCCTGGAGCAAAATGCACGACGTTTACAAATGTAACTTATTTTCTATTAATTTTGTCTCAAATTTATGTTTTCGTTATTTATGGAGTGTATTGCTATAGATTAAAGACGAAGATCAATGCACCTCCAAAGGACCCGGATGACCAGCCAGTGCCGCGTTCTCTCATCAATCTGTTCGCGTTTCGTGACAAAGACAAAAAACAAACTGGCAATAAAAAGAAGCGCAAACACCATGTCAGTGGTACAGGTAGAACTCTTACATTTACTAACATTCCAAATTTTATCAAAATCAAAATTATTCTATTAGTGTTTTTTTTTTATAGTATGTACATAGAGACAGTCGCAGTTATTTAATAAATATATGTCCACAATATCTCATCACAGTGCCCAAGTACAAGTAAGTACAGGCTAGTGCTAGTCAGTGCATTAACAATATAGAATTTATCATAGATACTTAATTGTATATACCCTGTAATAAACCCACACTTGAAGGGAGAGGCCTTTGTTCAGCAGTGGACAGTTGTTGTGATGATGATTATGATGATGATGATATAATAATAATAATTTATTTATTAATTCAGACAACATAAGGCCCATCCTGTTGATTACAATTTTTTTTTTAATCATATTTTTGTTGAGGCTTTAGTACACCGGAGTGACTATGCCAGTCTCATAGGGATTGTCTAAAAGTCAGTCTGTCAGTCCATCAGGGACACCTTTACCCACAGATATAGATGTCTTGCATTGCGACTGCCAGGTTGACCCAGTATTAAATTGACATTACCGTTATATAATGGCATATCTCCCAGAATCCGCTGTTTCAGGTTACATTTCCGGCCACATTCCACCAGCAAATGTAGAAGGTCTTTGTCACACCACTTTGTCACAATACATACAATTTGGTGATTGTTTCAATCCTATAAGATGATAAAATTTGTTGAGTGGAACATGACCAGATCGCATCCTGAACGCTATCACTAAATATGATCTTGAAAGACTTGCTGTTTGAAACCAGGGTATTAATGAAGGCATTTGCTGTATAGTTTTATACCATATCCTCTTTGAACCTGAACAGTTTTCAAAGTGGTTTCTCCATTTCGTGACACAATCACTCTTAATTTGACAAATGAATTCATTTGCATAAGGGTTAGATTACAAATTTACTCAACTATGTTAGTAAATGAATGGTCATGACACTCTTGCATTGATAACCTGCCCCACCCAATATTTTAAGATGGGACAGGTTGGGCAATTGTCTCATATATGTATATGATATGAATGATGGTGATATATAACAAGAAAATTAAACATTTTTTAAAAATCATTCAGCAATATAGTAGTTGTATTATTTTACATTTATATGAAGACAATTATTTTCACTTGCTTCTGAGAAAAATTGCTGCTGACTTAACAAGCTTGCGCTAGGTGTGCTAAGTTTCAGTTGCTTGTAGTTTAGCACTAACAAAAGAATAATGATTGTTATATATTTTAAGTCGTTAACCATTATTTTTACTTATAGTTACAGATGATGGAAATAAAAAAAGTCTAGCCCATAATCCAGTCGCTAGGCTGCGCAAGTTGCCAGGAGAGTCAGGACGTGACTTTACTCTTCGCATCAACGGTGCCATTAGAGCACTGCACAATGCAGCTGAACCACAGCACTATCCTGTAGGTCTCAGCTTGTTTTATATTATTTCTCTATATTCTAGTTATTACAGATTATTTAATTATTACCATTAAACAGAAATGGAAGGAATATTATAATACTGCCAGGAGAGTCAGGACGTGACTTTACTCTTCGCATCAACGGTGCCATTAGAGCACTGCACAATGCAGCTGAACCACAGCACTATCCTGTAGGTCTCAGCTTGTTTTATATTATTTCTCTATATTCTAGTTATTAGAGATTATTTAATTATTACCATTAAACAGAAATGGAAGGAATATTATAATACTGCATGCATTAATTTGTGGTCATGTAATGTATACAGCATTGTCATTATGCATACACCATGCTGTAAAGTGATGGTAGCCCAACTGACTGTTTCCTGTTTCAACTAAAATATTAGGAAAGCTGTTAAGAAAAAAATTATAAAGAACTTTATTATTTAATTAATTTACAGCAAGATTTAGAGGAGGATGATGTAAAAGGCGAACGCATGGCGGCGCAGCGCGAGCGCCGCGAAAGAAAGCGGAAGCGCGCCGCCGCCGCCCGCGCCGGTCCCGCCGCCGCCGCCGCGCCGCCGCCGCTGTCACGGGCACAGCGGCTCGCGCTCAAGAAGAAGGAAAAGAAGTTACGTGCTCTAGATGTATGAGTATAATGCTACAGTTTATTCCAATTAACTTTTTCATTGGCACCAAGTGCCTAGTTTTTTTTAAAGAATGGTAATGGAATGGTAACCCTGCCTACGCTAGCAATATATTCTGAGAGGCACTAGTGAAGGATTATAGGTGAGAATGAAAAGATGGAAATGGAATTCAGTACATTGGTATTTAGGGGGGCCATGTGGAGGTTGATCTAACTGGGCATTTTGCTAGCAGTGGGCTGTTATTCCACATTACTAACAATCTCTTTCTTCGCTGAGTGCCTAGCTTACAATGGTAAAATAGTGTAAATTGAGGCCTATAAAATCTAAGACAGCTAAATTCAAGTCTGTTAAATGTTTAGGAAACTACAAAAGCTAATATTTTGTCAAGGATATGGAACAATTTACTATATTTTAAATCAAATTGAAAAAAAATTAGAATATTAGTAATAATTTGAATTTCATCTAATAGAACTCTCTCTGTACTTGAGTAGAGAGTGAAAATGAAATTGATTTTATGGCGTTTAGCTACCTTCGATTTTATAGGTCTCAATTGCTAAATAGTGTGGCAATTTCCGTGAGTGGGCGGATGAATTGTCCACCGATGGCTACGTGTAGATGTGTGGTACGGGAGGGTATGAGTGTACGGCGTGGTTGCAGGCGGACGCGCCGCAGTACGAGCGCGTGCCGTTCGGGGAGGCGGCCGCCGCGCCGCGTAGATGTGTGTGTGTGTGTGTGTGTGTGTGTGTGTGTGTAGTACGGGAGGGTATGAGTGTACGGCGTGGTTGCAGGCGGACGCGCCGCAGTACGAGCGCGTGCCGTTCGGGGAGGCGGCCGCCGCGCCGCGTAGATGTGTGTGTGTGTGTGTGTGTGTGTGTGTAGTACGGGAGGGTATGAGTGTACGGCGTGGTTGCAGGCGGACGCGCCGCAGTACGAGCGCGTGCCGTTCGGGGAGGCGGCCGCCGCGCCGCGTAGATGTGTGTGTGTGTGTGTGTGTGTGTGTAGTACGGGAGGGTATGAGTGTACGGCGTGGTTGCAGGCGGACGCGCCGCAGTACGAGCGCGTGCCGTTCGGGGAGGCGGCCGCCGCGCCGCGTAGATGTGTGTGTGTGTGTGTGTGTGTGTGTAGTACGGGAGGGTATGAGTGTACGGCGTGGTTGCAGGCGGACGCGCCGCAGTACGAGCGCGTGCCGTTCGGGGACGCCGCGCCGCGTAGTGTGTGTGTGTGTGTGTGTGTGTGTGTAGTACGGGAGGGTATGAGTGTACGGCGGGTTGCAGGCGGACGCGCCGCAGTACGAGCGCGTGCCGTTCGGGGAGGCGGCCGCCGCGCCGCGCGCGATGTGTGTGTGTGTGTGTGTGTGTGTGTGTGTGTGTACGGGAGGGTATGAGTGTACGGCGTGGTTGCAGGCGGACGCGCCGCAGTACGAGCGCGTGCCGTTCGGGGAGGCGGCCGCCGCGCCGCGTAGATGTGTGTGTGTGTGTGTGTGTGTGTGTAGTACGGGAGGGTATGAGTGTACGGCGTGGTTGCAGGCGGACGCGCCGCAGTACGAGCGCGTGCCGTTCGGGGAGGCGGCCGCCGCGCCGCGTAGATGTGTGTGTGTGTGTGTGTGTGTGTGTGTAGTACGGGAGGGTATGAGTGTACGGCGTGGTTGCAGGCGGACGCGCCGCAGTACGAGCGCGTGCCGTTCGGGGAGGCGGCCGCCGCGCCGCGTAGATGTGTGTGTGTGTGTGTGTGTGTGTAGTACGGGAGGGTATGAGTGTACGGCGTGGTTGCAGGCGGACGCGCCGCAGTACGAGCGCGTGCCGTTCGGGGAGGCGGCCGCCGCGCCGCGTAGATGTGTGTGTGTGTGTGTGTGTGTGTAGTACGGGAGGGTATGAGTGTACGGCGTGGTTGCAGGCGGACGCGCCGCAGTACGAGCGCGTGCCGTTCGGGGAGGCGGCCGCCGCGCCGCGTAGATGTGTGTGTGTGTGTGTGTGTGTGTAGTACGGGAGGGTATGAGTGTACGGCGTGGTTGCAGGCGGACGCGCCGCAGTACGAGCGCGTGCCGTTCGGTGTGCCGCGTGTGTGTGTGTGTGTGTGTGTGTGTGTGTGTAGTACGGGAGGGTATGAGTGTACGGCGTGGTTGCAGGCGGACGCGCCGCAGTACGAGCGCGTGCCGTTCGGGGAGGCGGCCGCCGCGCCGCGTAGATGTGTGTGTGTGTGTGTGTGTGTGTGTAGTACGGGAGGGTATGAGTGTACGGCGTGGTTGCAGGCGGACGCGCCGCAGTACGAGCGCGTGCCGTTCGGGGAGGCGGCCGCCGCGCCGCGTAGATGTGTGTGTGTGTGTGTGTGTGTGTGTAGTACGGGAGGGTATGAGTGTACGGCGTGGTTGCAGGCGGACGCGCCGCAGTACGAGCGCGTGCCGTTCGGGGAGGCGGCCGCCGCGCCGCGTAGATGTGTGTGTGTGTGTGTGTGTGTGTGTAGTACGGGAGGGTATGAGTGTACGGCGTGGTTGCAGGCGGACGCGCCGCAGTACGAGCGCGTGCCGTTCGGGGAGGCGGCCGCCGCGCCGCGTAGATGTGTGTGTGTGTGTGTGTGTGTGTGTAGTACGGGAGGGTATGAGTGTACGGCGTGGTTGCAGGCGGACGCGCCGCAGTACGAGCGCGTGCCGTTCGGGGAGGCGGCCGCCGCGCCGCGTAGATGTGTGTGTGTGTGTGTGTGTGTGTGTAGTACGGGAGGGTATGAGTGTACGGCGTGGTTGCAGGCGGACGCGCCGCAGTACGAGCGCGTGCCGTTCGGGGAGGCGGCCGCCGCGCCGCGTAGATGTGTGTGTGTGTGTGTGTGTGTGTGTAGTACGGGAGGGTATGAGTGTACGGCGTGGTTGCAGGCGGACGCGCCGCAGTACGAGCGCGTGCCGTTCGGGGAGGCGGCCGCCGCGCCGCGTAGATGTGTGTGTGTGTGTGTGTGTGTGTGTAGTACGGGAGGGTATGAGTGTACGGCGTGGTTGCAGGCGGACGCGCCGCAGTACGAGCGCGTGCCGTTCGGGGAGGCGGCCGCCGCGCCGCGTAGATGTGTGTGTGTGTGTGTGTGTGTGTGTAGTACGGGAGGGTATGAGTGTACGGCGTGGTTGCAGGCGGACGCGCCGCAGTACGAGCGCGTGCCGTTCGGGGAGGCGGCCGCCGCGCCGCGTAGATGTGTGTGTGTGTGTGTGTGTGTGTGTAGTACGGGAGGGTATGAGTGTACGGCGTGGTTGCAGGCGGACGCGCCGCAGTACGAGCGCGTGCCGTTCGGGGAGGCGGCCGCCGCGCCGCGTAGATGTGTGTGTGTGTGTGTGTGTGTAGTACGGGAGGGTATGAGTGTACGGCGTGGTTGCAGGCGGACGCGCCGCAGTACGAGCGCGTGCCGTTCGGGGAGGCGGCCGCCGCGCCGCGTAGTGTGTGTGTGTGTGTGTGTGTGTGTGTGTGAGTACGGGAGGGTATGAGTGTACGGCGTGGTTGCAGGCGGACGCGCCGCAGTACGAGCGCGTGCCGTTCGGGGAGGCGGCCGCCGCGCCGCGTCGAGGTGTGTGTGTGTGTGTGTGTGTGTAGTACGGGAGGGTATGAGTGTACGGCGTGGTTGCAGGCGGACGCGCCGCAGTACGAGCGCGTGCCGTTCGGGGAGGCGGCCGCCGCGCCGCGTAGATGTGTGTGTGTGTGTGTGTGTGTGTGTAGTACGGGAGGGTATGAGTGTACGGCGTGGTTGCAGGCGGACGCGCCGCAGTACGAGCGCGTGCCGTTCGGGGAGGCGGCCGCCGCGCCGCGTAGATGTGTGTGTGTGTGTGTGTGTGTGTAGTACGGGAGGGTATGAGTGTACGGCGTGGTTGCAGGCGGACGCGCCGCAGTACGAGCGCGTGCCGTTCGGGGAGGCGGCCGCCGCGCCGCGTAGATGTGTGTGTGTGTGTGTGTGTGTGTGTAGTACGGGAGGGTATGAGTGTACGGCGTGGTTGCAGGCGGACGCGCCGCAGTACGAGCGCGTGCCGTTCGGGGAGGCGGCCGCCGCGCCGCGTAGATGTGTGTGTGTGTGTGTGTGTGTGTGTAGTACGGGAGGGTATGAGTGTACGGCGTGGTTGCAGGCGGACGCGCCGCAGTACGAGCGCGTGCCGTTCGGGGAGGCGGCCGCCGCGCCGCGTAGATGTGTGTGTGTGTGTGTGTGTGTGTGTGTAGTACGGGAGGGTATGAGTGTACGGCGTGGTTGCAGGCGGACGCGCCGCAGTACGAGCGCGTGCCGTTCGGGGAGGCGGCCGCCGCGCCGCGTAGATGTGTGTGTGTGTGTGTGTGTGTGTGTAGTACGGGAGGGTATGAGTGTACGGCGTGGTTGCAGGCGGACGCGCCGCAGTACGAGCGCGTGCCGTTCGGGGAGGCGGCCGCCGCGCCGCGTAGATGTGTGTGTGTGTGTGTGTGTGTGTAGTACGGGAGGGTATGAGTGTACGGCGTGGTTGCAGGCGGACGCGCCGCAGTACGAGCGCGTGCCGTTCGGGGAGGCGGCCGCCGCGCCGCGTAGATGTGTGTGTGTGTGTGTGTGTGTGTAGTACGGGAGGGTATGAGTGTACGGCGTGGTTGCAGGCGGACGCGCCGCAGTACGAGCGCGTGCCGTTCGGGGAGGCGGCCGCCGCGCCGCCCGCGCTGCCGCGCCCGCGCCGCGCCGCCGCCGCCGCGCCCAGGGTTAGTCCGACTACGTACTCAACATATTATATGTATTATAATATTATATATATTGTATATTATAGTATTAAATACAAGAAATTTACAACAGCGAATACATTGGAGCCCGCACTAGGCGAACCTGTATCGCGGGAGTTCATAAGAGATTACCATGTTTTACGATAACAACAAGTTAAAATGACATCGTTCTCTATTATGAAATGCCTCGTGAAGACATGCGCATAAAACAGAAAATTATATCAGTACTTTCAATATTACATATATAAATACATACAATTAAATGTACAAAAGACATACACTACTATATACGAATATCAATAAATGGTATGTAATATCAATTCTGTGGCATTGTATTCAAGATTTTGTAAATATCGTTGTATCCTATGTTTGGCTTCCGCATTTTTAAAACCATCCATTTTGCAGAGATTATAAATTTTTTTACGTATAATATAAATATAAAATATTATATATATTATGTACCCATACATCTCCAATTTTTGTTCAGTACTGTAGTCTGCTCTGAAAAAGAACTTTTTTGACCGCATAGGACAAAGTCCGTTGTTATATCAGTATCGGAACTGATGCCATAATCCTGTGTGGTATAATGAAGACGGGGCACACACGTACAGCGTACAGACAGCACTCTGAAGCGGCTTAAAGGTGGGACGCCTTAGTGATAGTGAGGCAGAAAGTATATGCTTCTACATACCTTATGAACGAGCTACTGTTAATACTATTCTTCTGTCCATTAGTCGACCTTTACTGATCTTAGGAGTATTCTTTACTTTTTAACTAGAGCTCCACCCCAGCTTTACATGGGTAGATAAAGAGATTAATTTGTATTTTATTAAATTTTTGCTACTCAATGTGCAATTTTATCCAAAATATAATAATACGCAAGTTACTGTTACTCACTGTCAGTGTAGTTTTTAATTGGTGAAAGAATTTTCAAAATTGGTTGAGTAATTTTTGAGGTTATCCATTACAAACAAAGGAAATTACAATTTTCCCCCTTTATAATGTATGAACTATATTTACAAATATTTATAATTTTATACTTAATATGACTGTATTCTTGGTTATGGTCTCACTGCACTCTTTTATTTAACGCAAAATTCTAAATTCACCTGCGCTGGTAAGTCGACATCCTGTTTCCTTCCCGCAGCCGGGACAACGAGATCTGCTGCTAAAGCAGCTGCTGCACAACAAGCCGTCCGTAGCGGAGGGCGAGGGGGAGGTGAAGCAGCAGAAGCACCGTCCACTGGCGGAAGCTGAACGGATGAGGCGCGAGCGGGCGCGTCTCGAGGCCGTCGCGGCATATCGCGCTCTTAAAATAAAACCTAATAAACAAAAATGAAACCTAGCTTCGCTTTTATTTTGCTAATAAAACTCGTAAAAGAGGAAATATTCACACTTACATTCTTGCAGATCTGTCATAAATCCGTACATTTTGCGTTGCGCAAAGTTCCTCGTCTCGTATATCGAAACAGTTCGGAATGAAACTAATTTGTAAATTCAAATCATCTTTTTTTTTATACAACTTAGAATGGCAAATAAGCTAACGACCCACCTGATAGAAAGTGGTAACCGTCGTCTATAGACATGAGCAGTACCATGGACATTACAGAGTATACTGTTTCCCCCATGCGTTGCCATTTCTGAGTACTCAGATGCTATTCCTCTGTACCCTGTAAATTCACGCCATATCCCACCCTTCAAACCGAAACAGCCATGCAAACACAACTACTTCACGGTTGAAACACGAATGGGACAGAGGTACCCAAGCAATCGACTTTTGTACAGTCTCCCTCTTGTAATACATCTTTATTCAACTAGACAAGCACTTTTAAATCGTCACTGTATTTTAATTTACTGCAGGTATCGGAAAATTGTTATCTGTTGAGAAGAGCCCGAAAGAAACTCAACAGTTACTCTTTTAAATTTCTGTTAACATTATTCATTTAAATGTAGTAGGTACGTCTAATATAATATTACATGGTCCTAAAAAGTCCATGCATGATCGACTAATAGCATGCACATTTATCATTAACAGCTGTATTGGATTGCCCTATCAAGACAATAACGTTTTACGGGCATGTATATTGTACTCATTTTCATCTCTATGCATATATCTCTAGATACGCCAAAAATGGATATATTGCGAGCGCCTCTCATGTAAATGTCCTTCTGACATTTTCTTCAATTGACCCCCACTTACTATATTGGTATCAATAAAATTGATATAGCAAAAATTGTTCACAAAAAACCGTGCTATGAGTTTTCTCACAGGCGTTTATTTTATTATGCATTTTCTAATATAGATACATAGTAACAATTCAGGTGTAGGTACTTAATTATCTTTTAGTTGATATAAAAAGACGTAGAATAAAAGGTTTGGTTCTTCAATTCACCAGGAATTAACTGGGATGGTTTCCAGAGGGACCATTTGAAGGTTTTTTTTTACAACACAGGGGGCAAACGAGCATGCGGCTCACCTGATGGTAATTAATTTGAAGGTCGACCAGACTGAATGTACCTATTGCCAGCAAGAAGGCCATTAGACCCTCGTATTAATAATCTTTTCCCCTTATGATCCAAGTTGTATCTTTTCTTGTGTGGGTATCTACAGTACTATCCTACACGGAATTTAATATTTTTATTTATAACGAGGAGGGCAAGTACGCAGATGGTATGTCTTCACAAGTGGGAATTTTTACTATATCAAGTTCTATGTCCATTATTTTCACAGTGCGTGATCGACATACGTATTATTTATTTTATGTTAAAGTAACGCGTTTCAAGGCCAATGTGCTCACATTAATGACAAGAGCCTTTTAACTAAATTGTTTAGAGACATATATAAAATTGCATGAGTTGGTCTGCGTGTTCTGTTTCAATAGATGATAGTATTTTATAATGATTTTCCAACCAAATTGTAAACAGTTGAGGGAGGAAGATTGGCCCGAGATACAAGATGCAATTGTAAACAAGCTATCAAGTCCAATTGGTGAAAAATGACCACAATTACTTATAGGCATGAATAGCATAATGGATTTAACAGATTATACTGATCGCCATGTCTTATACGTTGTTATACCTGAGGCCTGAGGCCTGAGGTCTGAGACATGTGCATCATGTAGTGTATAATTTCATTGCAATCTGTAATCTGACACCTAGATAATTTTACTAAAAACGTATTTATTTTTTTGTAAGAAACAAAAACTATAAATACTTATGTTACTCGATCAAATTAACAAGCGACTTCATACAATGTTAATTGTGTCTCATGATTCGCTCCACTGGTTCTGATAAATTTACATTTTAAGTTTGTCTAACTAATACATAGTGTTACTGTTTATCCTTAACGTTGTAACCTGTTAACATAAACATAAATTTATACGTATTCCTTATCATTATGCTGTTACTCAACTATAAAGTTTTATAGAGTCATTTCAAACATTTCCTCTTGATGACGTAACAAGCTGTCGAATTAAAAAAAAAAACACGATGTAATAGAGCTTGTAAATAAGTTTGTTAATTGTCCGATACTGAACACTACATAACATGGCCGTGTGGTCCCGGCGTAGAATAGGCCACCCCTTCCCTTTCCGTGTGTGTAAGAAATGAATAATGGAGGGTGAGGGATGAGCAGTAGCGTCCCTCTTAAAACATCTTTATTCGCCTGTCAAGTGTGGAAATTACTGGCAAAACCCCCCAAGGGGGAGGTCTATTTTTTTTATATAACTTACAATGGCAAACAAGCTGACGGCCCACCTGATAGAAAGTGGTAACCGTCGCCTATAGACATGAGCATTGCCATGAACATAACAGAGTATACTGTTTCGCCCATGATACCCCCCATGCGTTGCCATTCCTGAGAACTCAGGTGTTATTCCTCTGTACCCTGTAAATTCACGCCATATCCCACCCTTCAAACCGAAACACAGCCATGAAAATACAGCTGCTTCACGGCTGAAAGACGAATAGAACAGAGGTACCCAAGCAATCGACTTTTGTACAAAGTCTCCCTCTGGTATCTGGCTTATGTTCACCAATGGACAGATAATGGCTGTTATGATGATGATGAACATAGGTCTATCTATATTAATGATATAAGCAACGGTCCTGCGCCACTTGTATCCAACGACTTCCAGCAATGCAAAATCGTTCCATCTAGTGAGGTATCGTTCTACACTGCACTTTCCAGTACAGAGTAGCTACTCGAGAATTTTTCTTCCCCGCTGGTTACCGTTTATTTGAGCTATATGGACGATTTCAATTTTTTTTTTTTACAACTCAGGGGGCAAACGAGCATGCGGCTCACCTGATGGTAAGTGACTACCGCCGCCCATGATCACCCACAACACCAGCGGCATTGTATGCTGCCGGCCTTTTAAAAAGGAATATACTCTTTTCTTGAAGGTTATGTTGTCGTATCGGTTCGGAAATACTGCTGCTGGAAGTTGATTCCAAAGAATGGTTGTGCGTGGAAGAAAGTGCCTTGAAAAACGCACGGTGGAAGACCGCCACTCGTCCAGATGATTGGGATGAAACTTTAGTTTGTGGCGGGTTGTACGGTGGTGAAAATCAGCAGCAGGTATCAATCCGAACAATTCCTCAGAACACTCCCCATGATAAATTCGGTAGAAGATGCACAGAGATGCAACATCTCTGCGCAGTTTCAGTGGGTCAAGTGGGTATTTCAGCTCGTTTGTCTTTCAAGTTATCGTTCTTTTCGTTTCTTCTGCGTGTATCTCCATTTTGAATTCTATCACACTGCGAAGCATAGCTCTTTTCATAGTACACTGAGCAACTTGGTGTTTGTGCATAAGGACGATAGTGTACGACCATGTTTCGGTTCCGTAGGTTATCGCCGACAAAAAGCGCCTTGGTTTTAAACTTTAAGGTATTCTAGATGTGAAGAAGTTTCTTGCATGCTCGATTGACAGTATATATTGTGCTGTGCTCCTGCTATGATAGGTAAGGGTAGGAAATAATAAACAATAATATGTCACAATGCGACTCGCACGACCACCCGCCCGGACGTCACCCAGAGGAGTGGCCGGAGCGGGGGGCTTGCAGTGTAAGCTTTAATGAGTACATCACATATATACATATGTATATGTATATACTCTTTTGTATGCGTATCAGTAAGATATTAATTTGAAAAACTTCAGTTTAACCTGTTTTGGTCAAATTATTTGCTTTTGTTAAACGTTATGGCGTTAACGTTACATACATACGACTAGGATTGTCAAAAGCCAGTTAAATCTGTACAGCGCGCGCTGCCCGCGTGATATCCGCGTGATATATTGTACGCTGCCTACTTCAGTATATAAAAACTTGATAATGGAACGTTTGTTTTGGATTGTCAAACATACAAACATGGTCCGTGCACACGAATGGACGATTACATATAAGTGGATACTAAAAATACAAGGTATTAGTAACACCTTCCATTCTTGGAAATGGAAAGATTTACTATTTGTTATATTTACTGAGGAAAATTTATTATACTCATTTCAGGATCCAGTGCATATGGAGTCTAATATTCTTGTTAACTTTAAGTAACTAAAGTTGGTAATGATAATCTGAGGGTCCACTTGTTGAACAATAATGACTAACGTCGCCTATAGAGGTACGCACGACATGGGATACACTGATGGGCGATACTCATGTGTTGCCTATTTATACGTCTAGTGAGTATGGAGGTCCGTGATATAAGATTTTGACTTAGGTATATGACATATAAAATAACCGGCTCAAGATTCCTATTAAGATAAAAATTTTATAGTTAAACGAAAATTGTAGTTTCTAAGGAAGTGAACGTTTTTCGTCATTTCATATCTGGATCAATTCAACTCCAACAATGCACCTTCACGCGGTCCTCCCTAGAAACCATAGGGGTTAATTTATGTTTTAATTTATCATTGGATCATCACCCTCTATGGGGGAGACCTAGGTCCATTAGTGGACAATTAACGGCTGATATATTCATACCATTCCTTGTTTCTTTCCTGAAGTTGCCTAAAATCCATGTGGGTGAGCAAACCTTTTTCTATATATGAAGAAGAGAAAGAAAAACAAAAAACAAAATAATAATAATAATAATAAAGGGAGTTTTGTTTAAAATAGTTATGATATTATTAATTTTTCTTAAATATCTGCCATGTACAGACCTCACCTAGTTGCATTTTTATTACATTAGTAAGATGGCTTTAGGGAATTGTCAGTAATGCAGAATACCAGTCGCATTACTATTTTTTTTGTTAAGTGAAAATGGTATGGTAACCTTGCCAGCGCTAACGGGATACGCTGGCGGAGCACCAGTGAAGGGTGATAGATGAGAATGAAAACAGGCCAGTTAGACCATCATGATGAATTCATCAGAAATTAACCATGATAGTTTCCAGGGAGAACCGCGAGGAGGTCGACCTGGTTCGGTATATTGCTAGCAATGGGGTTTTCAGTTTCCATTACTAACAATCCCTTTCCCCCCAGCATTGCTATTTTTTTTTTGTTGGGTGAAAATGATATGGTAACCCCGCCTGCGCTAACGGGATACACAGGCGGAGCACCAGTGAAGGGTGATAGATGAGAATGAAAACAGGTCAGTTAGCCCATCATGATAAATTCATCAGGAATTAACCATGATCGTTTCCAGGGAGAACCGCGAGGAGGTCGACCTGGTAGGGTATATTGCTAGCAATGGGTTTTTCAGTCTCCATTATTAACAATCCCTTTCCCCCCTAAACCCCAGCATTGCTATTAATATACTTAGTTAGGTCGACCTTCCCGTGGTCCCCCTTGGAATCTACCGTGCTGAATTCCAGGGATAATCATCACGATGGGCTAACTGACCTGCCTTTTTATTCTCACCTATCATCTCTCATTTGTGCCCTTCCAGCGTATACCGCTAATGCAGGCAGGGTTACCATTTCATTATCCTTCATTAAAAAACCTCCTCAGCAACCTGAAATGGTGACTCCCAGACGCAATTACTGAAAAAACTTAATAGAGCCTCATTAATATATAATAATTAATACTTAATAGGTCTATTTGTGCTTTTAATATTCAAAGAATTATTCCCTAACTTCTAGTCGTTAAGGAGTTAAGTCTTTCTATCGTCAGCTCATCTGAATAACAATTTTTACCAGAGAGAGACTTTGTACAAAAGTCGTTTGCTTGGGCATCTCTGTCGCATTAGTGTTTCTACCGTGAAGCAGTTGTTTGTATGCAGCTGTGTTTCAGTTTGAAGGGTGGGATATGGCAATGAATTTACAGGGTACAGAAGAATAACACCTGAGTCCTCAGAAATGGCAACGCATCGGGGTGATATGGGCGAAACAGTATACTCTGTTATGTCCATGGTACTGCTCATGTCATAACTAAAGGTGACGGTTACCACTTTTCATCACGGACTTTACATGCCTATAGTGTTTAAAGAATTATCCTCTAAATCATAACCATTGAGGAGTTGTCTTCCATTATCAGCTCAGCAACATAAGATAATGACTACCAGACGCAAATATCTGAATAAGTTTTGAAGAAATGTGAAACACCATATATGTGTCAATAAAATTTGAGGTTTGCCCTCGATTTTCCTTTGATCCCATCATCAGATCTTGACTTGGTTACAATGGGATCAGCTCAGGAATATATTTTTTACTAATACAAAAAGTATTTTTAAAATTCAGTCCACAATTGACGGAGTAAAAAAGTGTTTTTGAGTTAGGACTTTAATTCCAAAACACTTTTTTACCCATTTCAATGGAGGTTTATTTGCAGAGATCATTGATCGAGTAATTACTGTATTTACCGTGACTGTGACAGAGAGTCGTGCAATCTTTGATTGACAATAGTTACTAATTTATGTCTCGTGAGTCTTATAGCGGTTAACTTTAAGGTTCACATTGTTTCTAGTTTCGATTAGGTATGAAAGTCCTTTTTCGAATTGAAGTCCCGTGATAATTTACTCACTATTGTAGGTACGAGTAGCTAAGCAATTAATTATAACGCGAATTGACTAATATGCACATCTGCCGGATCATTCATTCGTAAAAATCCAACATCCTGCCTTCGAGCTTTGTATAATTTTTAAATACAAACTGTGAAAAGTCTCCGTAAGGAATTATTGCTTTCTTTCTTTCTTATTTCTTATTTCATTCCACAATGTGGTTGGTAGATATTAAAAAAATTCCAATTATGGACCCTGTTGGGCACAGCGAGTAGGAGAGAGGAGGACAACTATTTTATATTTTAGAAATATGAGTAGATAATGAGTTTACTACAATATTATTCAATCATTGAAATTACTTTACGATAGGTATAATTAGCTACATAGTATTTGGAAAATCCATGTCGTTTTTACACAAAACAATTTAATTTGGAAATCTAAAACCAAAATAGATATCTAATTATAATAAAATTGTGGTGTAATAATAAAAATCATCGATTGAAAATATCGAATCAGTGTATCTAATAACTGAACGTATATAACATTGAGAAAGATAAGAGAAATGTTTTCAATAAATACTAACTGTATACTGCAGCTGTGCCCGAGTAAATCATATTTGCTAATGCAGGAAATAGTCCACCTGCGTACGAAACATGCTTAAGTTCGATATTAGGTATCAATCAAAGCTTTCACATGTATATATAACAGTATAACTCCTTAATCATATGTATAGATATACCAAACATCTAAACCCATTTTAGCTATTGAAATGTTTTGCTTTTTTCTTTTAAACAGAAATCCTAATTTAAAAAAGTGATAAAACACTAATTGGAGTATAACTATTGAGTTAAAATAGGTTTGCAGGTTGTTGGCGACAGACCTCTTTTTATATAATTTACCTTTTTAGAATTATATTTTTATATTATGAATATGTCTTTTTGATATCTTTTTTGTTTTTCTATTTGATTGACAATATTGTTGTTACATTGTGATTGTCTTAAGAAATTATACTGGTAAGCCTCTCTTAATATTATTTTATTATTGTCGCTGCCCTCCTCTTCTACCAGCGCCGTTATTACAGCTTATAATTTTTATGACTAAGGGGAAACGCGTGTACACTCGTATACATAAACATGCATTTTTAGATAGAATTCAAATGGGCAAGTTAGTAAAAACGATTAATCAATAGGTTAAGCGAGATAGTGTTCGTATCGTCACTTGGTTTATTTCCGTTTGCATCATTTCATTCAACAATGTAATCGCATTGCGTGCAGGTGATCGTCAGGTGGTTTCCTCGTTCGCGGAGCACACGGAGCAGGTTTCTAACGAGGATAAAGAAAGCCGCGGAGCGTCATTTTTTACTTCCAGTTGAAAAAAAAAATATATTCGCTGGATCTGCTGCGCTGTTCTGTAAAGATTCGCACTATGTTTGGCAACGCACTTCACTTTTAATGTACCTAAATGTTCTCTTTATCTAATTTTCATATTTTCATACCTGTAAGATTTGATTTTATTAATGACAAATGAAATGAAATGTGTTATGAAAACTGTAGTGAGTTTTTAAGAATAGATTCCGTTCAAAGGTGGGCTATGAGAATTGTTGACGATTCCAAGCGGGGTATCAAACCTCCCTTTGTTAGTGTGTTCTATCGCTTGTTTAACGGATTATGTTCTGAGTACTTGTTTAAAATGATGCCCACAGCCATCTTTTATCATCGTTCCGCTCGCCATCGACAGGGAATTCATCCTCACACACTTGAACCGAAATGGTTAACGACAATGAGGTTTCAGAGAATTTTTCTCTCACGAACGCTTTGCCTGTGGAATGAACTCTCTGTCGAGGTTTTCTAGTCCCTACAGACTACGGAATGGGGTTCTTCAAAAAGAGTATATTAAGGTATCTTCGAAATCGGCAGCGCGCACGTGACACACCTGGTGTTGTAGACGTCTATAGATCACAGAGACCGTTTACCTTCAGACGGACTGTACGCTTGTTTACCACCTCTGTGGTACAAAATAAAAGAAACACACTTACCCTAGTTCTGTACGGGCGTCACCTTAAAGAAATGGTGTTGTAATCGATCTTAGTTGTTTACAGAATACCAAGTGTAAACTACTCGCAGATCCGCAAGTGAAATTCGACTTTGACTTAACATACCGTTAGCGAAGTATATTAACCGACAAAGGCATACTCAAATAGAACAATTCAATTTGACACATTTGTATTACATTACGCCGACCTCAAGTAATTGAAATAAAGGCAGAAATATGATATGTTTGTATAATAAATACACCCGACGTATTCGATGTTAATGAGAAAGTGTTCCACAATTTGAAATGTATCACTGGACAAATTTTCTCAAGAATTATCGCCGTAAAATTATGAAAATATATTTTTTACTTTTAGTCAATAACCTCAATAAATAATTTCGAACTAGATAAAATTAGATACATTCTTCCGATAGAAACGGCATTATATTAATTGGTTTGCCGTTGCCATAGATACAACGTATCAAATACAGAGGAACTTACAACCTTTTTTGTAAATGCATTCTTTTATCTCTTTTTATTGTGTATGTCTATCAATATCTAATGTCATTTGAGTCAAAGATTTCGGATCTGAGCGCTGTAAATAAGGCAGATAAATTATCTTGTTTATTTATTTAAACTTCAATGTACAGTAAAATTCTATGTACATTTAGCGGACTTAACACCGGACGGTGTTCTCTACCAGTCAACCATTGGGCAAACCGAGAAATAAGTAGGCGGTGCATTTTTAAATTGAAAAAGAAATAAAGCATTATTTAAAAAATTCATATAATATAAACATACAGATAATGTTTTAAATAAATAAATATAAACATACAATAAATACATGAATTATCTATCTATTTATCTCCTTCTTCTTGATAAAACCAGATCTCAAGTTATGTTTTGCTAAAATCATAATATTCTGGCAATTCTTACAAGGACGATGAAGAGACGGTTTATTCACATGTACGGATAATACATAACTAGGAAAACTAGATTGGAAACTTATTACAAATGCACCTCGTAGCTCAAAAGTCGGCGAGCACACCGGTTTTACCGGCAACTCATCTGTGATTTGCGCAGTTTACAATGTGCCACACTGACGGCATCGAACTGACGACCTACACCGCCGAGGAACATACCTATGTAGTATAGGTGCACCGGTATTGAAAATGAAACGGGAAGGAGAGTGTTAATAATGGGGTCTGACATCGCCACTTCTAGCAATATACTCTATCAGGTTGACCTCCACGCGGTTCCCCCTGGAGACTATCGTGATTAATTCTTGCATGAGTCTCGATGGGCTAACTGACCTGCAATTATCCTCACCTATCATCTGTCACTGGCGCCCCGCCAGTGTATACCGATAGCGCAGAGGGGCTATCATTCCATTATCACCCATTAAAAAACACTATTTATAAATTCTTTATCTTTATTTTATACTAGCGGCTCGTCCCGGCGTCGTACGGGTGGACATTTTTACATTTTAAAAAGTGGCCATTAAGGCTGAACACGCGACGGAATCTTAATAATGGAGTAACTTCTCCCGTTTTCTCAACATTTCCCTTCACTGCTCTGCTCCTATTGGTCGTAGCGTGATGAAAAGTATATTATAACCGGCCCAGGAGTATGAAAAATAATTGTACCAAGATTCGTTAAAATCCGTCTAGTAGTTTTTGTTTCTATAACGAACATACAGACAGACAGACAAAAATTTTACTAATTGCATTTTTGGCATGAGTATCGATCACTAATCACCGCCTGATAGTTATTTTGTAAATATATTTCATGTACAGAATTGACCTCTCTACAGATTTATTATAAGTATAGATAGAGATATATTAGTTTCTGTGTACGGAGACATAATAGCTTTATGAAGAAATACCAATGCATATGTGTCACTTACGCGTCACATGATATTCAGTGATGCTCACGGTGCTGTTCATACTCGTATCTACAGACGACTGTTACCATTACCATCAGGCAGGCCGTCAACTTGTTTACCATGTCTATATATTATACTACCACATTTATCCACAGATCCACAGATCTATTTACGACTATCAAGAGATACATGATACAAATTGAATCACGCTTATTAATAATAAAAAAAACAATGATACAATAAACAATAATTAATACAAATGTTCTTTGGTATCATCTTTATAATTTTGACATTCCACCTCTACAGGTGTGCCGGCTTCTGGTAGAGCTCGTGGTCTTTTGATGGCTGGGTACATCATCATTATTTAAGCTGAATGACGTCCGAGTACACTGCTTGCTAGACAAGCGAACACGACATGAACAACAAATAATGAGACGAGAATTATTTGAGTTATATGACCATGTCTAGCGTCACGGGTGCTCCGCACTCACTATTTACCTCTCGTGGGTGCTGGAGCCCCCGAGCACCCACGGAGTCGGCACCCCTGCACCTCTATTGCTTTTTGAAATTTGTCTTTTAGAGAAATCTTGTTTTAAGGAATTACTTGGTCTTTAAGTAAAATAATATATTATTAATTAAATTATATAATAATGACTAAATCAAAAATCCATTTTGCCCAAAATCCAAGAAATACTCGTAATTTATAAACTCTGTCAATAATATATATATATATATATATATATATATATATATATATATATATATATATATATATATATATATATATATATATATATATATATATATATATATATATATATATATATATATATATATATAGCAGTGTCATACAAATACCTCGATGAAATCGGTATCTGGCTATGGTGGCTAGTAATATTTATTGGTGCTACATAGTTTAGGCGTTTTTTATTGGCTATAGATATGCCATTATGTTGACAGCGAATTTGTATCTTTGAGTAAATTCATGAATATGGAGGAAGCAAAAGAGGTCTGTTTGGTTCGGTGTTGTTCCCAACGTGTCTATTCCGGCGGAAGGCATGCAGCTATATATTCTGTAGGTATACAATATATAGCTGTGTATGTAAGTACATGTACATATGTATGGGCCAAGTGTGTCTGGATATTTTGTAATTAATGTATTTGCTGATATAATTTTGCCCTGTAATTTCATCAGCGCGTACGATCAAGGAAAACCGTTTCTATCTATATACAACTACGCAATGCATTAATTAAATATGATATTAATTAAAGTACTTATTTGATAGTAAATTATGAAAAAGTTATACAATTTATACACGCAAATGGTTTCGTTTCGGTATATCACAGTTATAAATATGCAAGTAAGCGCAGTTATTTTATATAATATCATAATAAATACAATGAAGAAGTTACAACGCAATGAAATATACAGAATCAGTGTCGGTGCTCAGGCAGCTATTTACATAGACAGCGGTGACTTCACATATTTGTAATACTCGTAGAAGCAGTAAGAGGGCATGTGACTTAAACTAATTTATATAAATAGCGCAATTTTCACAGTTGTTATAGAGAAATAGGATTGTTTCTATTTTTCCGTTGCTGAACACGTGCCCTAAGGTCAGAGCAGAAGGAAAGTGGAAAGAATGGTAGCTATCACTGGCAGTGAGAAGTTAACAATATCTGTAAAAAAATGTCATAATTTCTGAAGTTAAGTAATAGAAAATATAGTGCAAAAGATGATATTTTTAAAAGTCACAATTATTTATTAATATGTGTATAATTAAAATTACAGTATTTGATCCCCGTTGAGATGTCAGCAACAAAACTGTAAGTAATTATAATATAAAATTTACCTTAAATGGCGTCGCGTTAAGTCCCGAAAACAAATTTAACACTTCCGGGTGTGTTAAAATTTAATATACAAAAAGGTCATTTTTTAATGTTAAAAGGAAAAATTAAAAAAAAAAACTTATAATTACGACATTTAATTGCATGAGGATGTTTTTTTATTTGTCATGCAATAGTACTTAGTGGAGTAGTAACAGTGGAAAGTTAATGGCTCGCTGAAAATTAAGGTTAAGGAAAGTGCTCTTAGGATGCGAGTTCTATTCTTAGCTACTGAATTATGGAGGCCAAACTCTCTGGTTCCGGGGGGAAAGGGGTTGTTAGTAATGGTGTCTAATTGATCAATTGCTAGCAATACACCCTGTCAAGTCGATCTCCACATGGTTTCTTCTGGATGGTTTCCGTGGTTAATTCTAGTGAAATTCGTCATAATAGGCTAACTAATCTGCTTTCATTGTCACCTATCATCCCTCACTGGTGCCCCGCCAGTATATACCGATAGCGCAAGCGGTGTTACTATTCCACTGTCACCCATTAAAAAAATTAAAACCCTCTGGTTCCTGGTGTCATGAGAGGGAGAGGACAACACATGACAACAAAATCGCAGTGTATTCTGTGACGTTCGTGAAAGAGAATTGACATAAATTTCTCGCATGTGGTTCATTAAGTATACCTTTTATTTTTTGATGGGTGAAAATGGTATGGTAACCCCGCCTGCGCTAACGGGATACGCTGGTGGAGCACCAGTGAAGGGTGATAGATGATAATGAAAACATGCCAGTTAGCCTATCATGATGAATTCATCAGGAATTAACCATGATAGTTTCCAGGGGGAACCGCGACGAGGTCGACCTGGTTGGGTATATTGCTAGCAATGGGATTCTCAGTCTCCATTACTAACAATCCCTTTCCCCCCAGTATACCTATATTAGTTTTGTTATAAAAACAATGTATATATTATTCCTATGCACCTGGTTTTTTTAAATATCACAATGACACCAACAATAAATCTGATGTAGCACCCAAACTATAAAAAAAAAAAAACAACTAGATGATTTAATTAGAACTAAAATATTGCCTACTTCATATATGGGCGTTCGGAGTTCATAGCGGCTCCTCCACAGAGTCGTAATGTCCTTTGACGCCTCCCACCCAATGTCCTTCGTGTCCTGAATTCTCAAGTCTTGACTCATGTTTCTTCCTTGTATATCTACAGTTTCTATATACCATTAATTATAGAATCGATTATAATACAGTATCTAGATTTTTTGTCCAGTGCTGATTGGATTACTTCGGAACCTAAAGGTGAGTACTGACCGAGAGCAAATTCTTGCAACAAGAATTGCGTTGAACGCAAGTTGCGTTGAAATAGCTAGCATGAGATATACATCGCCATGTTGTCGCGGCATAGAATACGCCACCCCTTCCTTTCCCGTGAGTGTTGTAAGAGGCGACTAAGGGAGAGCGAGGGATGGGCAGCAGCGTCCTTCTCAAAATATCTCAAAAAGCCTAATTGCGGTTGCACAGATTGCACACTCGCCTGCCAAGCGTGGCAACTACTGGCAAAACTCCCCTTATGGGGAAGACTAATGTTCAGCAGTGGACAGTTAACGGCTGAAATAATATAAAAATAGATATACATATTTATTTCTTTCGATTAGTTTCAGTTGCAGCATTTAGCCATGTTCCAGTGTTGCGTATAATATAGGCTTACGACGTATTTAGCAGTAAGGGGTTTTTAACGAGAGATATGCCCTTGAAAAAGGACTGTATATTTTACGAAATAATAAGACGGTCGCTGCTAGTGGTAGAGAAAAACATAATAACTGAATGATGACATTGTCAGATATCGAAAAACAA